ATAAGGACGTTGGTTTCATGATTATACACCGCATACCATCTCATCTTTCAAAAGGTATTCAAACTCGTCGTTTACACATAGCAGAAGCTGTGGGAATTCGAGATAATAATAATAATCCTAGCCTTTGTATTCAGAAGAAGTTCGCACATCCCTTATCTCTCCCTTGGCCAGGGATTACTTAGTTAATAACTTTATCATTCAGTTTTTTTCCTACCCCTTTTCTTATTCTTCACCCCTTTTCGTATACTTACTGTATTTGTCTAGGCTTTGTCTTTTGAGGGAGTTGTGGAGATTTGGAAATATTTCAAGTTGTTATTCATTGTAGACTGACATCAGTTATAGGAAAAAGGAAACATGGCAGCACTGGACAGCTGTTCCATCCGACTAGTATAGGACTTCTCAGCAGTGCACACCAACGACCCCATTCCCCCAGAGATCCAATCCGCGAACTTCACGTTCCGTGACCAGCACGTTACTATTGAGCTAGCCATTCGGTTGGCGGAATCCAATGGTTCATATTTCCAGCTTCTATTAGATCACGATATAGCGCAACCACCACCCAATATCATCGTTGAGTAACTGTCCTCACGACCATCACGCTTTACCCAATGAGAAGTCGTGACCGGTGGGGGGAAAACGTGATGCTCGTGTTGACAGTTACTCAACGATGATATTGGGTGGTGGTTGCGCTATATGGTGAGCTAGCAGAAGTTGGAAATATGGACCACTGGGTGCTGACCCAGTGACTCAATGGCAAGGCGCTGGCCGCGGGACCTGAAGGTCGTGGGTTCAAAACTTGGTGGTGTCGTTGGTGCGCGCTGCTGAGGAGTCCAGTACTAGGATGAAATAGGCCTCCTTTTTGCACTTACCTTGCCCTTCACTAATACGTAACTTTTATTTTCACAAGCTTTTAACCAATTTTGATCATTGGAGTGTCTACATTTTCATGCTGTTATCTTGGTTCTTATCATCATCATTATCATCATCCAGATTGCATATGCTTGACTAAAGTCAGCATGATCACTTTTGTCAATTTCATAATTATTATTATTTGTATTATTATCTCCACCGTTATATGAAACATTTATCACATCAATCGACAAATCTACACGATTGACTTATCTTTTTATATGTTATATATTAAGCTATTTATTTGTATTAGGGTAAAGCCTGAAGACGATCTAATTCAGAACAATATTGTTCGCTTATGTATCTTGTTCTAATTTACATGATGGGAATTTTTAAAACTCTAATCCTACATTATAAGTTGAGGACAAATTAAACGTTACTATTCAAACTGTATCTTATTGTTTTTTAGACGTTCGACTTTTAATCATCAATAGGTCACATGTCCAAGCTTCACTTCATCTATCGAGATATAGAATATTAGGTGGAATCATCAACTTTTACACAACATGTATGGTTTCTTATTTACTATATGAAAGTGTATTTCTATCGAAAAGTATACCAAATAGGCTAGAAATCAGATAAGAAATGACCGGAAAACTGTTATCCTTCTAGGAAATCAACAAGTATTAGCAACATAAGCCTAATATGGGAAAAAGAGAAAGAAAACCGTCTGCCATTCCTGGATATACTTCTAAGTCGTAGAAATGATGATTCAATAAAACTGTCGATCTACAGGAAACCTACTTGGACAGATTAGTATTTAAGTTTCCATAGCTTTTGTCCAACCCAATACAAGTGAGATTTGTTAACTTGCCTATTTAAAAGGATCCAGCGTACGGAAGACTCAATGGATGATGATATCAAATTACTAATGGGAACATTAGTAGAAAATGGATATCCATTGAAGTTAATAAACCGTTGCAAAAATCAGCAAGGATTCAAACCTAATCTGTACTCTATTTCAACGAAATGTGTTTACATCGCGTTACCATACGGAGAAGAATCTAACAGCATAATATTAAAACGAAGGTTAAGGTCTGGTGTTAGCAAAACATACTATGCAGCTAAGCTTATCGTAGTTGAGATGACTAAACACCTGGTGCAACATAGACCTCAACGCTGTATAAACGACTGCATCACATCCCACTGCATTTATAAATTTACATGTGTGTGTGTGGACAAATATGCATAGGTAGGACTAATCGTGATATGCACTTGAGGGTAGAAGAACATGTTCCAAAATGGCTGGGAAAGTAGCTGGATTCACAAACATTGATAGGCACAGTTGGCAGACAATCATCATCTGCATCCATTGCAAAAACATATCATTGATAAGAATCACAGGATTCATATTAAAACAGTCTTTCAAGTTGTTATTCATCGAAGACTGACATCAGTTGGAGGAACAAAAGAAACCTGGGAGCACTGGACAGCTAGGACGAATCTAGGACGAAACAGCTGTCCAGTGCTCCCAGGTTTCCTTTGTTCCTCCAACTGATGTCAGTCTTCGATGAATAACAACTTGAAATATTTCCAAATCTCCACAACCCCCTCAAAACAGTCTTTACAATTTTGTATAGAAACTGTCAGGGGCATATGCTTAAGTTAGTTGAGGCACTAGCCATAAATAATTTAGCCCCCCCCCCCCCATTGTGTGTACAAAAACAGTTTGTCCTTTATGGCATATTTGTCTTTCCTCAAGTTCCAGTTTTCAAGTAAATGTCTGGTGATCAGATTGTTCGAAATGTATAGCACTAATACATCACATATTGTTTAGATAATAATCTACGTCTAATTGTGTTTCAAATTATTAATGTGTACAACATTCAGGAGAGTTTAAGCTATCCTCCTGAGAGGAAAGTTTCTTAAAACATATACACACCTGATAATATTGTTGAAAATTAATCACTGTGCTACAGGTAAATTTGTTTGATATCTGCATCAAATTATCAAGCTTCTAACTGACTATTTCATATCCATTACTCCATTAACTAATGTCCTCTTGGGATTACTCTATAATTCTTCCTACTTTTATAATTCTTTGCTGCTATGAACTGTGGTAATGACATTAACTATTAGCGAACCTTAAAACTGAAGCTACTAACCTTCCGGTTAATTATTGTAAACTCTGAAAGTGGTTATTTGTAGGGATTGTCAACTGTTGTCAACATTAAAGCGGTTTTCCAAATGATGTCGTGAAAGTAGAGAGGGTAGAGGTGATACAGATACTCATCCAACCAATTACCATCAACGGGAGAAATCTAAACGAAGTTGTCTCTTTCACCTACCTAAGCAGGGCAGTATCGTTTCGAGTAAAAGTGACAGTGGTGGAACAGATGAGGATGTCAAAGCCAGGGTTGGGAAGACAGCATGGGAAGGCTTCATTAATCTGTGGAGATCTACTGCATTATGCTCAGTATAAAGAACAATATTCGGATTTCAAATCAATCAAGTCAGTGCTTCTATGTGATAGTTGAGAGACTTGGTGCATTACGAAACCATTTCAAACAAACTATATACATCATACATGAACAGCTGCCGCCTACGCTTACTCGATACAGAAGATGGAGGTCAGATGACCAGAATAATAAGAATAAGCAACAAGGAACTGAGGCTGGCAACGAACAAACCAACCAGTTTTCAAGTAAATGTGTAGTGATCAGATTGTTCGAAATGTATAGCTCTAATACATACATTACATACATTACATACATTACATACATTACATACATACATACATACATACATACATACATACATACATACATACATACATACATACATACATACATACATACATACATACATACATACATACATACATACATACATACATACATACATGCATACATACATACATACATACATACATACATACATACATACATACATACATACATACATACATTACATACATTACATACATTACATACATTACATACATTACATACATTACATACATTACATACATTACATACATTACATACATTACATACATTACATACATTACATACATTACATACATTACATACATTACATACATTACATACATTACATACATTACATACATTACATACATACATACATACATACATATATACATACATACATACATACATACATACATACATACATACATACATACATACATACATACATACATACATACATACATGCATACATACATACATACATACATACATACATACATACATACATACATTACATACATTACATACATTACATACATTACATACATTACATACATTACATACATTACATACATTACATACATTACATACATTACATACATTACATACATTACATACATTACATACATTACATACATTACATACATTACATACATTACATACATACATACATACATACATACATACATACATACATACATACATACATACATACATACATACATACATACATGCATACATACATACATACATACATACATACATACATACATACATACATACATACATACATACATACATACATACATACATACATACATACATACATACATACATACATACATACATACATACATACATACATACATACATACATACATACATATATACATACATACATACATACATACATACATACATACATTACATACATTACATACATACATACATTACATATATTACATACATACATACATACATACATACATACATACATACATACATACATACATACATACATACATACATACATACATACATACATACATACATACATACATACATACATACATACATATACATGATTAGTTAAGCCATTTGTATTAAAGTAAAGGCTGAAGAGGATCTGATTGAAAATAATATTGTTCGCTGATATGTCCTGTTCTAATTTACATGAAGGGGATTTTTAAAACTGTTAAAACCATCTAGCACAAAGAACACAACACCTTCAATATCTCCATCATACAATAAAACAGTTGTTATATAAACTGACTATTTCGAATAAAAAAATACACTACAGAAACTTGACTGTAAGCAAAATATTTCCACTTTTCCAATTCTAACCAAAACTCACTATCATTATTCTATTGGATAACTCACCTGAACGAATATTTATTGTACTTGTAGCGGGTAAAGCGAATACTTTAGTTAACGATGAATTAGTTATAGAATTTTCATCGATTACATAACCAAGACCAAGCCAACCACCAACAGATAAGCATTGATGTATACATGCAGATAAAGCAGCGCATAAATTACGCAATAAAAATATTCTACGATGACGATCTCCTGTTGGTGCCAAAATACAATCAGGACAATAAGAGTTAGATGATGAAGTTGAATTATATGATTTTGTTCTTCTATTGTTGTATTGATGTTGATGAACTGGATAGGGTAATAGAAGATTAACTAAAAATGGTGGTGGTAATAATTCTAAACAGGTGATCAAATCATGAACCATATGCTGAGAAAAATAAAATAAGAATAGAATAATGAATAATTGAAGTAGAATAATTCAACTCTATATAACAATAAACAAAAATGAACATTCCTTGCACAAATGGCAACTCTTGTACCCTAGTGGATAATATATTAAGGTGTGTTGGGCTAATAATTTCAGTGGGAATAACATCATCCACTTACTGGATTGTTCAGATACACCCAAGTGATGATTGAATCCCAAATAGGAGTGAAATGTACACCCTAAATTCCACTGCTAGTCACAAAGATTATGTTATATCAGTGCTCAATTGATGAGTAACCACATATTCGGAGATTGAAGTGAACAGCTAACCAACAGCTAGTGACTTTGAACCATCAATCAACCCTTCTTATTCGTGATAACTTAACCGCGTAAATCACCCTTTTTTGAGCCGTGTAAATCTCTATATAGTATTCATAAATGTATTGTCTTATCGATACTGTGACTTGTACAAACACTGTGTTGACATTTGTGCTAGCTACGGTGATGAGTATGCGCTTAGGATGGGTAAACCGATAAAAATACAACAGACTGTGTGTGTGTGTGTGTTGACAGTAGAGCTATTCGAAAGTGAAGGAAAACCATACGCTGACAAAAACCTTAGATGAAGCTGATATATCTGTTGATATTGTTGAGATAAAGGATCTTACACAAATGTTTCGATATTTACTTGAATACTAATTATGATTTAATTTACATAATAGTAGCTAAGTAGTAGAAGTCAGGCCGGAAAATTAAAACTATCAATAAACAACAATTGATACTGGTCTTTCAAAGGTTGATTACCATAATCTATTAATTAAGCAGATAAGGTTAGAGTGTTTAAAGTGATAGCTACTGAATTCGAATCTCAGCTAACTGCGATGAGTCATATTAGTAAAGTATAAGAGTAATCAACAGAGAAACTCAGTCATAGCTATACATTCGATAACACTGAAACATATATAACAGGATGGAACAGAGTAACAGTTCTAAATTATACAGAAAAGTCTGATCACAGAACCCCTGTTCATCAATTTGAAGCTTGAAACTTGTACTAGTATGATTCAATAATGATTCCACGTATATGGAAAATGTAACAATCAATAAAATCTCAAAGGATTGACTTAATCACAGAATATTTGGTTGATCTGGAATATGCAGATAACAGTCAAGCTAGGTGAAGACGCTGACAAGATGCAGTCTTCTGGATATCCTTACCCGGCAAGGTGGATCAACCCTGGTGGCGTAGTCACTGACAAAATCTCGACTGGAATACAAAAGGCTCAATTGGCTTTCGCCAGCTTACACCACCTATGGCACCGCCACGATATCCGATTTCCTATTAAGCGTCGAGTGTACTGTGCTACAGTTGGCTCTTTTCTACTGTATGGCAGTGAAAAATGACCATTGAAGGTGTTCGACCACTGTTGCGTTCGTAGCATAAGTCGTCTTCCATGATGTCACCATATGAGTAATGTAGAAGTCTGGTGTAGAGTTTTAGGGAGAAGAGGTAAGTTAGTTGACGAGGTTGTGAACCTTCATCGACTGAAATGGCTGGCTGGGACATGTGCTACGTATGTCTAGTCACCGTCTGCCTCGTCACACAATGTTGGTCAAAACAGATTCAAGCTGGAAAAAGGGTTGTGATAGCCAGACTTAAACATGGCACCAATGTATGAAGTCCTTGATTGTTCATTTGAGGCATCCAAGGAGATGCAAACTAGCCTGTTGCGGTCCATGAGACAAGAGAAACCAGTGGTTGGAGACTGACTCTAGATGATATGGCTCAGAATCGATGTCAGTGGCGCAGATGTATACGCACATTATCCTCATTTTAACCGCGATACCTTATCTCATCTTCCTATTCTTCCCTCCACTCTTTTACTACCTTTTACTTTCTTTGGCTGATATTTCCTCCGTTCTTTATCTTCCATTTAATTAACTTGTTACTTGATATGCTGATATGAGGTATGTGGCAACTTGGACCATTACGCAGTAATGCCTGGTTCTGTGTCGATCTTGATATCATTATGAGCGATAAATTGTACTAGAAACGTTATTCAGTAAGTAGTACTATTTCACTGTATGATATATCAATCAGATAAGCTAATCTAAAGTCAGGAATTACACTTTACTGAAGTGACTAGGTTTCAGACCTTCATCATTGTGAACCACTGGACATTAGACACACTTGACTGATTCTAAACTAAGCGGTCTTAGATATTGCACACAAAAGCAGCCAACTAAAGGGACCGAGACAAGAGGTTTCGTGTCTCAAGAATAGCATATCATTTAGCGGTAGACAAAAAACTGTAATTTCTAACTGGATAGGTAGTCCTATGTTGATATATGATGATGATGATGATGATGATGATCTTCTCATTGTACTATAACACAATTGATTCATGAGTAGTAATCAAAGTTTTTTTTTTTTTAACAACTGAAATCTTCTTACTTTAATACGTTTAACTGAATGCGGTAAAAGTAATGCTCCAGGAGATAAACGCATTACAGTACGCAATAACGGTATACCATCAATTAATGCCATAGTTGATATAGGCCAACAAGAATCCGGTAAATGACAACCACTAGTATTACCATATGCTAAAAGATTACTATCCGATTTAAAAGTGGAGTTATGTAGTGTTGATTGATTTGTAAATAAATATGTTGAGGTGTACAATTCACTGAGTAACAATGATAATTCAATTCGAACTGCAGGTAATCGTATACCACTTGAACCGTATAAATCACAGAAATTGATTAATGATGATAGAAAAGTTTCATGAGCCTAAAAAGAGAGAAAAAATAATAAATAAATAAAAAATAATAATAATAATCACACTGCCGCCACCTGTAGCTGAAACGATGCTGCCTAGGTAGGTGAAAAAACTACCTTTTTTAGGTTTCTCCCGTTAATGGTGATTGATGCCTCTTGTTGTTGATGCTGTTGTTGGTTGGATATCTTCATCACCTCCGTCTAGTCTACATTCACTTGAAGTCCCGTTTTCGCTGCCCTGCCCCTTCAAGTTTGTGCAACATTAGACACAAATCATCATCGGTGAAATCCAAATCTTCAAGGCTCTTTTCATCGGTCCAGCGTATGCCTATCTTCTCGCTCTTCACTGTTTGCTGCATGATTCAGTTCACCACAGTCAGGAAGATTATAGGTAATAGTACACAGCCTTGTTTTTCTCCTGCCTTTACTTCAAAGGCGTTGCTGAGCTTTCCATTGTGGATAACATAGCATGTGCGTAGTCATATAGCTGTTAAATGAGGTTGATAAAGATTTGTGACGCTAAAACCGTAGTGTTGAAACAAGCAGTTGCCTGCCAAATTACTTCTCCGTCAACGCTGTCGAAGGAATTTCCAAAGTCGACAAAGTTGTGGTAGAGAGTTGACTGCCATTCTATGATGATCCGTAGCGTTGCAATTCGATGCACATATGATTTGTTCTTTCTGAAGCCAGTCAGCCTGTTCCAGTCGTAATTTGAATGCAGGGCATCTTTTAGTCTTCCCCGGATGATGCGGCATAGGTTACATTTGTTTAAGAGTTTGACAAGATAGCCATTCTTCTAATCAATAGGCAAGTACTTTTCCCTCCTTCCAAACCTTCTGCAATAGTGGTGTGGTGTGAGCATGTCGACTGTTGTCTCTGCGTCTGTTTTCAGTGCTTCTGGCGAAATTCCATATAGTCCCACTGCTTTCCCGGATTTCAGCAACTTTACGGCATTCAGGACTTCACTTCCGCTTTTGTTGGTGGGCCTGTGTTCACTGGTAGTTCTGCCGTTGCTGGTGGTATCTCTGGACGAGTTGCAGGTGGTGGTATATTGAAGAGCTTTTTGAATTGGTCAGCCCATTGCTTCCTTTATTTCTCCTCTTTGGTAACTAAGTTTCCTTCACTATCTTTCGTCGGTTTCATCTGTGTTGATCTCTTCTCAGATAGTAACCTGATTATTTGACATAATGTCAGGTCTCTCTTACCTTCAGCCTGTTCTGCTTCACTTGCCAGTGTGCTGTTGAAGTGTCTTTTGTCTTTCCGAGCTCTCTTCGCTTCTTTGTCCAGTGTAGTGTTTCATCAGTTGTGTTCAGTTCTTCTTTTCATTATTCATCCCTGTACTACACTGGTTCATCTTTTGCTTCACGATTCTCCGCTCCCTGTTCTATCAGCTTCCATGTGTCGGTGGATATTCATTCATTTTCCTGTTTTTCTTCCTTCGTAATACGGTTATGCAGGTTTTTTTCTACATAGCTTTCAAAGAGTTCCAGTGTTCTTCCATGGAGATTTCTTCAAGGATGTTGCTCAATGTCTCACAATGTGTCCTGATGACTGACGTGAAGATGTCGTTTGTAGTTTCGTCCTTCAGTTTCTGTTCTGCATGTTGAACTTGAACAGCGGTCTATCAATAACTTCTGTGAAGGCTTTCAACTTGATTTGGAAGGTAAGTTCCTTGCATCAGATAGTGAATGGTCCGAACCAACATCTGCTCCTATTCTTGGTTTTGTATCCAGTAGGCTGCGTCTCTACTCTCTTCAGATTGAGATAAAGTCAATGGGATTTCTAGTGTAGTGCGTCCATCTGATGAAATCCATATCGCTCGGTGAATATCCTTGTGTTTGTACACAGTGCCTCTAATCACCAAATGATTAAATGTGCAGAAGTCTGCAAACAGTTCTCCATTCTCATTCACTTCACCGAGTGCCTATCGAATCATGATCAGTTCCCTGTGTTGTCTGGTCCCAATTTGCCATTCATGTCGCCCATTATAATTTTGATATCGCCAACTGACGTCTTGTCCAGTGTTGATTGCAGTTGTCTAAAGAATTCCTCCTTCTTCTCTTGATCTGCATTATTTGTAGGGGCGTAGCATTTTATGATTGTGACTTTCCTTCCTTTTGAGTTGAACCTTACTGTCATGATCCTGGAGGAGATTGGTTCCCACTGCATGAGAGCCTTCGATGCTCTTGGGGACATCATGATAGCCACTCCAAAACTCAGTATGCTCGTGGTTGTCGTCTGGATGACAATATCAGAGTAGATTATTGACTCTCCAGTTGACAGTTTGGACAGTCCACTCCCATTCCACCTGCTTCCCCAGATTCCTAGCACTTACATGCGATACCTTCTCATCTCCTTTGCAATCTGGACAGCCTTGTTAGGTTCAAACATAGTGCGGACATCCCATGTCCTCACGTTTACTTTCGCTTTCATCGAGAGAAGACAAGACACCTGCCAATTGGCTTTCCGTAGGCTTTCACCAAATGGCGTCATTTCGTCTCTCCGATTCCAGCGAGGAATAAGTTTGTTTTTATTTCTTATATTTTCTTTGTGCTTTGAAGTTTCTTTAGCAATTGGATTAGTTTTAGGGAGTAGGGTTGCTAGCCCTATGCTCAACCTTCCCTCTTTACCCGGGCTTAGGAAAGGCTAGTAACTAGTAAACTAGTTAACCAGGCGAGATGACAATTCTAAAATTCAATTAACACAGCTAGATGGAGGGAGAGATTGAGTACAATGGTAAGGTGCTGGTTATGGAAGCTGAAGGTTCTGAGTTCAGTACCTGGTGAGGTGGGTCATGGGTGTTCACTGCTCAGGAGTCCCGAACTAGTCGGACGAAAAAGATGTTCAATGCTCCCAGGTTTCCAATGTTCTTCCAACTGCTGTTACTCTATGATGAATGCCAACTTGAAAAATCAGTAAATCCCCCTACAAACCCTCAAATTAAAATCAAAATATTAATTGTCATGACATCCGAAGTTTACAAAATGTTCACTAAGCGTGAAAAAGCTCTACAGATGTTTTTTGCATTTATCTAGTTGCTCATAATGGATAATTCTGGGATGGACGAAGAGATTGATCACAGAATCTTGGTTCATTGAATCAACTAACACCTAACACATGTAACAGTAATGACTTATCATTATATATTGCAGATATCTGAGAACTTTTACTGCCATTAAGATAAACAAATAAGAAACTGTTGGACTATATAAGTGGAGTTCGAAAGTCGTATGATTACTTTGACATGAATGTAAGCAATAAATTCTGCTTGAAATATCACTCAGTTAATAAGACGGTATCACCACTGTGTGCTGTATCAAATAAACAAATCTAATATGGAGTTATACCATACCACAGTGCTCAAATTTTACTCTTACACACTTCTGAGAAGATCATAATCAGGACAAACTACTTATCAAGTACCATTTGCCTTTCAGGTAGTCTTTGATGAATACAACCTCAAAATTAATCAATAGTTTTATTCATTTGTTAAAAGAAGACTACGAAGTATGGCCATTGAGTCATAGAGAAGACATACTTCAGTGAAGAAAGTTCTCTTTTTCGATGATATCCTTCTTCTAAAGCTGTACAATCGCATTCATGTATATAACAGTCCATTATAAAACAATAGGGTATAATTACATCATTAACCTAGTGCTAAAATCAACCCGAATCAAGAATGCAAAGTAGTTGTGTAATACATACACTGAGATAGTAGAAATATCGAGAAAGGCAAGGAGTTTGACAAGGTGAAAATTGTTGGTAGATAAGAAACTCAAATATTGAGTGTCCACTTGATAGATACATAGATAGATGGATGTAAAGAAGGTGAAGAATGAGACAAGGGTCATAATCAAGGTGATAATAACAGTAAACTAATTAATTATAATGAAATCGAAGGAAGATTATGGAAGTGTTAAAGACCATGGTAAGATGAGAGATTGAACATACTTCTTTTGCATGCAGAGATCAGGTTTGAATTGATGAATTGCCAGTGCCTCCATTGTGCACAACTATCGAAGGTGTACTCATTTTCAACTATTCCATCTGACACGATAAATGACATTGAAGGAGGATTCTGGTCTAGCTTTATGTCCAGAGTTGATCAAATGTTCAAGAATTGAACTGTTAATTGATTTACATTCTCACCTCGACAACCATGCAGGATAGTGTTCCGAGATACGTTTGGAAAGTGTGCGCTTTGTGCCGCCTATATAACGCATCTCACAGCACTATCCTGCATGGTTGTCGAAGGGGAGAATGTAAATCAATTAACAGTTCAATTCTTGAACATTCGATCAACTCTGGACATAAAGCTAGGCCAGAATCCTCCTTCAATGTCATTTACCGTGTCAGATGGAATAGTTGAAAATGAGTACACCTTCGATAGTTGTGCACAATGGAGGCACTGGCAATTCATCAATTCAAACCTGATCTCTGCATGCAAAAGAAGTATGTTCAATCTCTCATCTTACCATGATTTTTAACACTTTCATAATGTCTTCGATTTCATTATAAATAATTAGTTTACTGTTATTATCACCTTCATTATGACCCTTGTCTCATTCTTCACCATCTTTACATCCATCTATCAATCTATCTATCAAGTGGACACTCAATATTTGCGTTTCCTATCTACCAACAATTTTCACCTTGTCAAACTCCTTGCCTTTCTCGATATTTCTACTGTCTCAGTGTATGTATTACGTAACTACTTTGCATTCTTGATTCCGGCTGATTTTAGCACTAGGTTAATGTTGTTAAAGAAGAGTTTTCCAGAGAAATAAATCAAATGGTTTGATCAACCTTTGAACTCATTTCAGCTAACCATAGTAAGAATCAATGACAACTCTAGTAGACACAAATGACTGCAAGTACATCCAGCTAACGAAACCAAAAAATAGGATAAAACACGCGTCTTTGATTTCTCTGCTGGCAACAACCAAGTAAATTACAAATCAGTATAACTGACTGTAGCATTTCAAGAAGGCATTGACTAGTGGAAACCTTAAAACATCGAATTATAATATGATAAGCACCCACCAAGTTGATGGAGTATCGATTTGCAATATCAGTAGAATACAATGAGAACCATCAGTTCAGTTAATTAGTCAAAGAGATAGAATTTATGGAGTTATGAAATTTGATTTCAGCTGGCACGAGGATTAAAAGAATTTCATTAGATAGTTTGTTATCCCATACGATTATATTTGATAAATTGGCTAGTGATTTTACTAAAACAACACAGAGGATATGAAGGAAGTCGTGTTGATATAAGTCAGCGATTCTGCACCATGAAGTTTATTCAAGAGTTAAATCAGATAAGCTGAGCACAGATAAACGGGCTTCTTTAATAATTGACATCTAAAGCTATTACTGGTGTTAGTCATATGTTTGACTATATACCAAGCGAATAAGCATACCATATAGCTGTTTGCTGAGTTCTGTCAAAGAGATGAATAATACTAGACAGTTAGTTGGATTTTTCTAGGAGAGTAAGACTATAAAAGTGAAAGATGGGTTTGCAACCTAGTAGTAAAGAAGACTATTGAAAGCATAGACGGCAGAATTCAATGAACAGTTCAGCTGACATCTAGCTAATATTCCATTGTCTAGTATTCAGTGGAATCTTTAATGTCATGTATAGAGACAGAAACCTAAACTTTGGAAGATCATGCGAGAACTGAGAAAAACCTGAGCTGAGTCAGGGTAACAGGGCCAGTAGTCGAGGTTAACCGGTCAGGTTAACTAAATCCTCACAGTCTTCGAGAAACGAGAGGAATTTTGTGATGATCACATAGGAATCAGTCTGACAAGTATAGGGTCTAAGATCCTAGGAGCGTGAGAAAAGCAACGCCCGGAAACTAGCTTTACTTTTCAAACTGGTGACATTTGACTCCATCAGATTAACTATATAAAAAAAATAGGCAGATTTTTATGCATATCGATCTGAATAGACAGGACAGCTGATTGGCGCTAGTAGTATACAACTACTTATATTAATCAGTAGTATATGTAGTATAGCATTTGTCACTCAATTTATCGTTTTGATGGGATATAAAATAGAACATTAACTAACTTTTATCCAATCATAACGTGTTTTTAATCTTTTCAATTCAGCATCTCGAATTTCTAATGAAACACTCGACAGACTCATAAAGATACCAGCTAGAACCGAACCAGCAGTTTTAGTTGTCAATAGATAAGAAGTTGTAGTTAATGGACCAGAGAATTCTGAATTTTCAGCAGGATATCCTAAATGAAAGGGAAGAAAAATGATGACAAAAAATGTTTTTATTTTTCTTAATTTTGCGGTAATAAAACATGTATTAATCGAGCAATACTAACTAGATGCCCTATAAATTACGAAAACTGTCGTTCTATGTATGTACTGTCTACAATAATTAGACAATGAATAACGATCATTGAAACACTGTCCTTGCAATAATCTACGACACAGAAGGTAGGACTGTTCAGGAAAAAAAAGTCAAAAACTAGCTAAAAATATAGCTACTTCATAGTATATTATATTATAAATGTATTTGTAATGAACATTATATAGTAAAATTATCTCCTCAAACACTTATTGGTGGATCAGTGGACCAATGAAATAACAGTAACAGCCTTTGCCAAAATATCCAATCCACATCACGTCATATGTGGAAAAATGGACCAATTAACGATCTTCGTTTCCATTCTAAAGGTGAAGACAGACAGACAGACAGACAGTAGAATCATGGACACAAATGTATCACCTCAAGTTGCTACACTTCAAAGTCGTACTCAAAGAACTGCTGGATAGAATACAAGTGATATCAAAGTAGACAGAGTCGTGTGAGAGAATAAACGATTTAAAGATAGAGGTTCGTGTGAATATTGAAGCTTTACAAGATGTTAAGGCGTGGATTTATCTTCGTTATTGTGACGGAATTTTTAGCCATTTCATCACAACACTGGTAGATGGGAGATGACACAGTATTACAGACACAGACTGATAATCCAAGATCCAACTTAGAAAACGATCGATATATGTATGTAATGATCTGAAGTCATAAAGTGTAAAAAAGAAGCATTTTTCGTCAATAGGTCGTGAATTCCCACCACTAGTCACAATGATAACTATCTGTTAAAGTAAAGCAATAGGTCAAAGAAAGTAGAATTAGAGGTGGAAAGGCGTAAAAGAGAGAAAGGAGAAATAACATCGACTCTTAGCCATATTATCTGGTCAGTCTCCAACCGCTGGTTTCCCTCGTCCCGTGGACCCCAATTAGTTGGTCTATATCGCCCAACCTGGCTCAAACCAACATTCAAAGACTTCATATATTAGTACCATATTTCAGTTTGGCCATATCGGGTATCTTTCCAGCCTCAACCTACTTAGGCCAACATTATGTGATTACGCAGACAGCCACTAGGCATACGTAACACATGCCCCAACCAGCCATACCAGTCGATGAAACTTCACAACCGCATCACTTGACTTACCTCTCCTCCCTTACACTATACACCAGACTTCTTACACTACTCACGTCGTGACACCACCAAATACGATGTATCCTAACAAGGCAACGATCATCAAACATCTCAAGTCTTCTCATCACTTCTACCTTCATTAGTCGTGGTGCTTCATAATCATACAGTACAACACAGCGGACTGCACAACACTACACTCGACACTTAATAGGCATTCGTATATCACAACAGAGCCACAAATAGCGTAATTTCGCACAAGACAATCCAACTCTTTGTATTCATACAGAGATTTCATCGACCACTGACCAACGCACCAGGTCTGATCCGAACTCCCATGTAACTGAAGTGTTCAACACACTTAACCACTTCACTCTCTATCACTAGTCAGGGTACTGTTGAAGACGAGTCCCGGAATAACAAATTGGATTCGTGTGGCGAGAAACACATCCTAAACCTTCTCAAAATGCCAATCAAGGTGTCTAGAAGACTCCGCATCTTGTCAGCGTCTTCACCTAACAGAGTTATGTCATCTGAGTATTCTACGTTAACTAAAAATTCTCCTGTGATAAGGTCAATCCGTGTGTGGTTAGATGATGACAGGAAGACTTCCATAAATCATCATCTATGATAAAATTGAATAGGGATGGAGATAGTGGGCATCTTTGATGGTCACAACTCGATGTACATAACTCATGGAATAACAAATAACCACACAATGGGCTGACAAAAAACCACTGTATCACCCAAGTCTGATATAGTTTGATGGAGATATAGGTTGATCAATGAATCTTTGGTCAGTGCATCAAAACCCAACATATGTAATAAAAATGACACAACACCTATCCCAGAGATGTGAAAAAGCTTTTATTACAGCTGAAAACAGAGAATATGTGATGGACAATGGGACTATAAAAATCAAATAACTTACATTAGATCAATCACTTCTCCAGCTAAAATTCTAATCGGATTGTTTTAGTCATTAGTACAAAAGTTTCCTTTATACAACTATTCTGAAGTTATCAGCTCAAAGATGAGATATCAACATGTTTCAGTTTTGTATTTCATGATAATAATAACAACAAGAAAGTGTAACACGAATCACTGTGTGACTGAGTAAACCTATTTTTATGTACAAATGAGAGTAGACAGTAAAACCATTATAGTCTCTCAAAAATCACCAATATTTTGGGAAATATAACGAATTTGATATATCCAATATGAAATACTAGTTACAGACAACTTACTCAATGTATTCTCAATGCTTCTTTCATCATTTAACTCAGAAGGATTAAATTTACTCAAACCAGTAAGTGAATTGACGACAGCTAATTCATTTTCAAGCCATTGCCATACATGTTGACGAAGAGAAACACCTTCAGACTGAATAGAAATACATTATAAAATATAAGATGATAAGGGAAAATTGAATATTCAGTACCAATAAACGAACAACACATTAAATAGTTCCTTACATATTCATTATTTTGTAATTTTCATTTCCTGATGAATGTAAAACAAAATAAATTTGTTTCAAATGACATTTCCCGATACCTAAAGTAGCCAACAGCTTGACCGAGATTTATAACATTAGCCATGCTTTTTTTTGTTTGCCCCTTGGCTTCCTAGTGAAGCATAGGGCTTTAGTAGCACGTCACCATTTCATTTGATTCTCTCCGGTCTTTTCAACCTGGCTCAACGACTGCACAGAACCTTTCATTCCTTCCTCAAATGATCTACTCCATGTCACCCTTGGACGCCTAACTCGTGATCTCCCATTTGGATTCCACTCAACGACCTGGTTGGGCGTGTGATCTCCCAATTTTTCCTGCAGATTTGTTAGGTGATAGGTTGTTGGTTGCTTCGTTGCTAGGGCAATGTTCCTTCTCGCTTATTCTTATTGTTCTGGCCACCTGATCTCCATCTTCAGTATCGAGTGAGCGTATGCGGCAGCTGTTCATGCATGTCTGCAGTTTGTTGGAAATGTTTTTCGTAACGTGCCAAGTCTCTCAACCATCAGATAAAAGCACTGACTTCATTGAATTAGTGTTGAAAATCCGGATCTTATTCAGGCTTTATGCAGATCGCAGCGCAGTAGATCTCCATAGTGATTTAAGATTAATGCAGGAAGGCCTGTCTTCCTGTCTTTTCGATCCTGACTGGCTTTGATATCCTTATCTATGCCTCTGACACCGTCTGTCTGTAGTTGAAATGATTCTGTCTCCTAGGTAGATAGGTGAAAGAGACTACTTCCTTTAGGTTTCTCCCGTTGATAGTGATTGGTGCTTGTGGTTGTTGGTGTTTGGGTATCTTCATCACCTCCGTCTTCTCGATGTTCAACTGAAGTCCCATTTTCGCTGCCTTGCCTCCTCTGCTAAATTGTTAGTTTTCGTCTGTAGATCTTCGAGTATGTGCTACATAAGATGTTGGACATAAGTCATCATCGGCGAAAACCAAATCTCCTAGAGCCGTTTTCATTGGTTCAGCGTATGTTCATTTTCTCGCTGCTCACATGCTAACATAACATAACTTAATAAGTGTTCGTCTGCATGAATGATTCTGTGTTGTCCAATTGTTGGAAAAACATGTTACCGACATGTCTATCTGAACAATGTGTGATATATTTACTCAATACATTTCGAACAAACTCTTCAGCTGATACTCAATTAAAGACCGAATACGACAACGAATACAACAATTAAGATAATGAGGGATTAAAACTAGGAAAGACAGGAAATAAAATGAAACAGTGGCATTCATTGATCCTAATCTTGATAAGAAAAACAAACGTTAACAAAGTAGGTGTAGTGTGTAAGAACAAATTGTCTGTGCATACATAAAGGTGGTTTCAATTTGTGTATGCCTATCACTTTGCTGACTATTTCTATCTAAAATTTTGAAAGCTGTTTGAACATCGACTTTGTGGTCTGTTTCTTTACTATGTTTAGCGATAGATGAAGAAGATTATCGCTCACCAGCACTTACCACAATTTCACACTTCATTTGTTTTTGAAGCCATTTAAGTACATGTTTTCCCACCTGTTACAACTAAATAGCGCGATTACTCCTCTCTATGTATATGTGACCACATACATATGTTAATTGGTAAACATAATGGGATATGACGTAATCATTGATGCAATGTTTAGGTTTGTGGTGAATCATATGTGTGTTTTGTCCACAATGATAAGATTAGCCAAGTAATATGCTTTTGATAGTAGCTGATGTCAGCCTACGTCTCAAAATGATAATACTCAACTCCCCCCTGTATTATTATTTGTCCTTTGGGTTCCTACTGGAACATGAAGGTTCGGTTGTACGTCATCATTTCACTCTCTTCTCTCCAGTCTTTTCAACCTGGCTCCACCACTGCCCACAACCTTTCACTCATTCCTCACATACCATCTCCTCCATAACACCCTCGCCTCGGACGCCCAACGCATCGTTTCCTATACGCGTTCTACAAGATGGCCTGATGAGTGATGTCCCCGAATGGTCTTCTCAGTGTATGCCCAATCCAAATCATCCCCACTTTCTTCTGCATATTTATTGGGCGATAGGTTGTTGGCTGGTTCGTTGCCAGGCAAGAGTGCCTTGTTGGTTATACTTATTATTCTGCCCATTTTATCTCCATCTTCAGTATCGAATGAGCGTAGGCAGTAGCTGTTGGTGAATGTCAGTAGTTTGTTGGAAGTGCTTTTCGTGATGCGCCAAGTTGCTGAGCCCGTCTGTAAGGTACAGTGATATGGACGCTTTTCTTACGAGTCATGTATAGAGTTGGTTTCGGTGCGACTTCACGTCTACAACACGGTTCCTAAACTTCATCGGATATCCATTCTCTATAAGTGTTCTGGTCAGTAATTTGACATCTTAATCCATCGTATCTGATCTACAGGTACGATAAATCCCATTAAACAGACATTTTAATTGACCTCGCTTGTATTGGATTGGACAAAACTGTGAAAACTCAGGTATTGTCCAATCCATGTAAGCTGTCTGTAGATTGGTTATCCTATTGAACCATATCCTCGTCGTTTAAAGAGTACGTCTAAGAATGGCAGACGATTATTCTTATTCTCTTTCTCATAAGCCAGGCTGATGTGAATCTGTACGGTGTTAAGTCTTTTCAGTAGACAAGCAGCTAATCTTATTATAGTGGAAAAAACAGAACACTTGCTCTACCACAAACCTAATCACTGTATCAATGATCACTTCACATCCCATTGTGTTTATCAATTTACATGTGTGTGTGTGGTCACACATATGTAGGGAGCAGTAACCAAGCCATGTAGTTGATAAGGGTGAAAGAACATGTATTTAAATGGCTTTAAAAAACAAATGGAGTATGAAACGTTGATTAGTGCAGGTAGGAGACGACCCTCTTAATCTATAACTAAACATATCCTAGAAACAGGTCACAAAATTGATGTTCAAACAGTTTTCAAAGTTCTTTACATCTGAACAGTCAGCAAGGTGATAGGCAAATAGAAATTGAAACCACCTTTATGTGTGCACAGAGACAATTTGTTCTTACACACTACATTTACGTTGCTTGGTAAACTTTGTTTTCTTAACGAGATTAGGATCAACTATGTGTCACTTCCAATTTGTTCTCATCTTTCTTAATTTTAATCCCCTATAGGAAGTTGTTTCTTTCACCTACCTACCTACTTAGGCAGGATCGTTTCAAATACAGGGGGCATAGGCATAGATGAAGATGTTGAGATTTACTCCACTGCACTCAGCATAAAGCGTGAACAACATCTGCATTTTAAAAACACTAAGTCAGTCAAATCAGTGCATCTATGTGATGGCTAAGAGACTTGGCGTGTCACAAAAAGGATTTCCGACATACTATAGTTACTCATCAATAGCTCCTGTCTACGCTTACTCGATACTGAATATAGAAATTAGACGGCTGGAAATAATAACCAACAAGGAACTCTAGTCTGGCAACGAACCAAGAACAACAACAAATATAGACAAGAAAGTGGTGATGGATTCGAATGGATTGAACATACACTGAGAAGACCATTTGGGGACATTACGCACCAGGCCAGGTCGTCGAGTGGAACCCGTTTGGGAAAGGACGAGTTGGGCGTCCATGGCGAGGGTGACATAGAGGAAGAAATGAAAGCTTGTGGGCACTCATGAAGCCCGGCTTAAAAGACTTCAGAGAAGACAGTGAAATGATGGCGTGCTACTGAAGGCCTATGTTCCCCCCTAGGAACTTAAAGAACAAATAATAATCAATAATAATTGTGTTATTTTTAATGAAACGATTTAGGCTAAATTATTTAGTCTCTCTAAGATGTCATAAAGTGTCATCAGGTTTTCAGCTAGTGAAATCTGACTTATTATTAAATTTACTATGATTAAAAGGTTAGGCGCATATTGTGACCGAGTGGTGGGGTTGCGCGCGTGGGTATAATGATACTCAGACCCAATAGACACCTCAACCGAACACCTTTACCATTGACCTCCCTCAGTATCTTCTGCTTCACTAAGCCGCGTAAAATCAGAAGACAAATACAACCTGTGACTGCAAGAACAGCGACAACAACCTCTATTAGGCAAATAATACATGACATATATGTATTTACAAAACTCTTAGAAAGTGAAGCCATAAATGAACCAATGTGATTTCTTGTATGTGGTCGAATTCCTCCGATCAGGTTCTTATATCAGCGCATGCATAAATCATGATCTGAACATGATTTGATCATGACTTGAAAACAATTCCCCTATTAGCTGCCTTCTGTCACTACGTATCAGCGCATCATATACCTGTTTAGTAATGGCCTAAGACTCATATGAGTTGTACATTTCCAACCCTGTCAAGGATGCAATCTAGCACTACAAGTTAAAACTTAATAGTCAATATTTTCCTAACTTTTGTTAATTCACCACATTTCAATTCCATAAATGAGTCTTTATCTTCAAATCCAACTTGATCAACTCTCCTTCAGGTCTAAACTTCTCATTGAACCCTTAGACGGAACATTTTAAAGAGATTGAATAAACATTATCAGATTATCATTCGATTTGAAGGTTTATAAAAAAAAATCATCGATTGCCGAAAATAGGGAAATTCATCACGTCTGAACCATAATCTATTCGATGGCTAGGATTAGAATCCTCAATAAGCATTTCATTCTATTTGAGACTTATCAGCTGAATGTATCTGCACCCTAGTGAGTGATGTTAGTCTCACTGAGACTTAAAATGTCATTGAGAAGTGGGACTTAAGATTTCCCGTCAATATACTATATGTAGTTGCTCGACATCTCTGTTGCCAGGCAGATAGACTCCAACGCAATTATCAAGTATCAATAAACAAGGGATGCTCGACTGGATCATGCAACAAACAATGAGGAGCAAGAAGAGGGGGATACGCTGAACTGCGGAAAACATCCTAGAAGATTTGGATTTCGCCGGTGATGACTTGTGTCTGATTTCGCAAAAACCTTAAAATCAACAGGCGAAAACTAAAAAGTTAACAGAAGTGATAAGGCAGGGCAGGGCAGCGAAAACAGCACTTCAAGTGAATAGAGAATACAGAGGTGATGAAGATACCCAACCAACAACAAACCCCAATCACCATCAACAGGAGAAACTTAAAGGAAGTAACCTCCTTCAGCTATATAGGCAGGGCAGCACTGTTTCAACTACAGGTGACACAGGCACAGACGAGGACGTCAAAGCCAGCCAGTCAGGATGGTAAAGACACCAAGACAGGTGTTCGTTAACCTGAAACCAGTGTGGAGATCTGCACTCAGCATGAAGCATGAAGCGTGAACAACATACGGATTTTCAACACCACGTCAGTCAGTAAGTCAAGTCAGTGCTTCTATGTGATGGTTGAGAGACTTGGCGTGTCACGAAAAGCATTTCCAACAAACTACAGATGTTCATCGACAACTGCCTACTCTGGCTCGTTACTTACTGAACCTCAGATGGCAAGAATAATGAGAATAAGCAAGAAGGAAATCTGGCTGACTGACAACGAACCAACGAGGCAAGAACCTATCACCCAACAAATATGCACTGGAAGGAAGATGAGATGGATTGGGCATACACTGAGATGGCCGACTGGGGACATCACGTGTCAGGCCAGTTACTCGAGTGGAACCCAGATGGGAAGCGACGAGTTGGGTGTCCGAGGTGAGGGTGACATGGAGGATATGGTGTGTGAGGATTAAATGAGAGCTTGTGGGCAGTTGTGGAGCCAGGTTCAAGAGATTTCAGAGAACAGAGAGCATTGGAGACGTGCTACTGAAGCCTTATGTTCCATTAGGAACCCAAGGGATAAATAAATAAATAAATAAATAAATAATAAACAAGGGATAGAAGAAAAAAACAAGAGAAATTAAAAACTATCAACATCTTACTTCAGCTCCAGCTGCTAAGGTACTCAATTCTTCAGCAAGAATTTTTAAACAAGCAATAAACTTCAGTTGATTGGCAATCAAGTCGACAACCCCTTGACCTTAGAAATCACAATGAAAAGGGAATGTTTTTTTTACATACAAATAGTAAAACAAAAATTAAACAAAAGAAAGGGGGTGTGTATTTATTCCTTTTCAAACCATTATTTATTCTTTCTGTCGTTAAGCAGTGGCTTAGTCGATAGAACTCTGGAGTTTAAAGCGAAGGGTACAGAGTTCGAGCCTCGAAGGTAACAACACCATTCGGCACTGAGGTGCAGGTACATCCAGTTGACGAGTCCTAAATGAGACGAGACAGACGTCTTGGATTCCTGTGCTAGTCACCAATATCAATATAACATCATGAATATTCAGCAGTATTGAAGCATCCGCACAGGATCCCACTTGTCAACAGAGGTCGAGTAATTCGGCGCTGTATAGCAACCGGAACTTACGAGTATAATTAGAACATTGCACAAGAGGTGATTATCGTTCCCTAGTTGCTTGGTGGATAACACTGTGGCGTTCGAAGCGCAGAGTCCTGAGCTCGAGCCCAGAAGGTGACAACATCACTCGGCATTGGGGTCCAGGTACACCCAGCTGACAAGTTCTAAATGGGACGAGACGGGCGTCTTGGATTTCTCTGCTTTTCACCAGCATCAATCATGATCTATTATGATAGCTTATATACTAGACGATGAGTAAAACGTATATCATAAAAAATGATTGTAAAATTTGACCTTGAAAATATTTTGTGGATGGAATAAACTGAGGAAATACGAGAACAGCAAGCTGTTGGAAACTTACCAGGCGTATAAATCGGGTTGTGACAGATAAATCAATGTGAAACCTGGTAGAAAAGTCGATTAGTTCAAGTTGTCACAATTCGTAACAACAAGAAAAGAACTAGATTGAAAAGAAGTGATAACATAGATAGCCAACCAATCAGGTTATTTGAACTGATGGAGTTCCATAAGCTTATGAAGTCTTCAACGCATTAAATCAATTTACTCTCTAGCCTTAAACGAGAAGTAACTACTTAGCGATCCAGTAGCAAAACGCAAAACGCATGGTACTAAATGCACTCAGAAGACGCTCTATTTTATCAGGGTTTTCATCTGACGCTCGTGTCGTTTGCATATTCTCAGACAATCAGGCACCTTCAGGCGAGTTCACTAATCCCTGAAAAGTTGGAGGCAAGAAAGTTTATATTCATTAGCATGTCTATGATAATATAATCATAATAATGTATTGTGGAATCACCCTTTGATTTACCAAGCCTTAGAATATTGAAAACATAACGAGAAATATCTGATGAAGTTAAGAACATACGTCAAGTTAGGTGACTACGAGATGTATATATTATTAACTGATGCTGCCCACTGTAGAAAGCTTTCCTTTAGTAACTGACTGCCGAATTTGCCACTTTTAGAATGCTGCACATGTGGAGAGACTGTCGACCTCAAGGTACAATCCTAGGAGTAGATGGAGTAGATTGGAAAAGGGTTCAGAGTGGCCAGAATAAGACGTAGCACGAGTGAGCGAACCTTCTAACTTTTGTTCTGAGTCGTGTGGGGGGAGATGTAGAGTGGTTGATTGGATTGCACAAGATGATATCACTTCTTTTCTACCTATCTGTTCTGTGTATACTTCTGTGAAGTGTGACAACTTGAACCGACACACATGTGTGCGACGTTCTACGTTGATTTTTTTATGTTTCTCCTCATAGGTTCAACATGTCACACCTCACAGTAGTATATCAGCAATAGAAGGCCAGAAAAAGACAGGTATCAAAGAACACATAGTTGTGTGATAGAATAAACAATCTGAAGATAACGGTTAAAGCGAATATTCAACCTTTAGAAAACATCACGGAGTGAACACATCCACGCCAAAGTGACTGATTTCATCCATGCAACAAAGAGTCTGATTCAAATCGCCTTGAATCTCAAGTCAGACAGTCTAAATCTCAGAATACAACTCAAACCAACTGTCACAAACTTCATCGATTGGTCCCATGTCTTAGTTGGGACAACCTGAATCCTCTTTCAACCTAATCTAACATCCTCTAGCATTGCACATCGAGGTAGGCGGTAGTTTAGCATACGTTGTACATGTCCAAGCCATTTCAGTCGACTAAGCTTCATAATCTCATCGACAACTGACTTGCCTTCCCTGCCTAATACCCTTAGCCTAACCTTGACATTGGTCACATAGTGATTTCACCATACGTGATCAATGCTACAAGGACGCCTATAGCCACAACCTTGTGTGTGGTAGAACAATATTGTACTAAGCTGTGTAGTAAAGCCGCAAGTCACTTTCATCTCTTTCCACCCAAGTGACAAAATTATCTTCTGGTTTTTTCAGAGAGGTATACCGGGTCTGAATCCTTCTAAGAACACAACCACTCACATAAGAAGATGCAGGTATGTCCAACTGATGAGTCCTGTATAGGACGAAACGCACGTCCTTGGTTTCAATGCCAATCATTGTACTGGCAACATAAATTATATCAGTAAATTTTTCTATTTTAATCCTTTAGTTGTTATTCATCGTAGACTGACATCAGTTGGAGGAACAAAGGAAACCTGGGAGCACTGGACAGCTGTTTCGTCCTAGTATGGGACTCCTCAGCAGTGCGCACCAACGACCCCAACCCCCCAGGGATCGAACCCGTGACCTTCAGGTTCTGCGGCCAGCACGTTACCATTGAACCACTGAGTGTGAATCCAATGCTCCATATTTCCTACTTCTGTTAGCTCAAGATATAGCGCAACCGCCACCCAATGTCATCGTTGAGTATCTGTTCTCACGGCCATCAGACTTGATTCCATCGATCACGACTTCTCACTGGAACTTCGGGAATACTTCTCGAAGCTAGTCACCAATGAGCACCAGTGGCTCAATGGTAACGCGCTGGCCGCAGAACCTGAAGGTCGCGGGTTCAATCCCTGGCGGGGTGGGGTCGTGGGTGCGCACTGCTGAGGAGTCCTATACTAGTCGCAAGAAACAGCTGTCCAGTGGTCCCAGGTTTCCTTTGTTCCTCCAACTGATATCAGTCTACGATGAATAACAACTTGAAATATTTCCAAATCTCCACAACTCCCTCAAAATTCAATTAGTGTTAGAATACTCACCTTCAAAGCTGAAATCATTAACTGACTGAAATGATGGTTGTTGTTGAGATAATTTCCGATTCACAGGTATGTCATTACTTCTTGGCTCATTATCAACAAGATGTTCATCGTTCGGTTTAACATCTTCATCATCACTCCACTGAATAGTAAACTCATCTTTAGATGTTGTATATTCTTGGAAAGGATCATCGTAAGACAACGTGAAAAGATTACTATCATTTCCACTTGGAATACTAGATATGAGAAAATTAAAACGAAAAAACAATTGAAAAGGGAATCATATAATCATGTTTTAAACTTTCGTTCATATAGATGGAATGGACCAGAGTTAGGCTTATTCCATTAGATAATTGGAAAAGTCCAGATCCTACATTGACGGTAGAATGTCTACAGATTGATGTACATACATAGTTCTAAAAGACAAAACATATGCTTTACTGAGTTTGTATTGTGGGTCCTACTCATATGTATTAGTTAATCCATCAAACTATTCGAGTATTCCAACCTTCATCTCATACATATCCTAGCATGAAGGTGATATTAATTAAGCCTGTAAACGTAGTGAGTAGTAGTGAGCGCACAAGTTCAATTCAAGCAAATCTAGTATCTTAGGGGTAAAGTCAGTGACAGCAGCACTGCGTAATGACAGATTGAATCTCAGAGAAGATATCAGTCTCGATAAAGTCGTAGAAACACTTTGCATTAAACAGCTGTATATCGCAGAAATATACACGAATATGTAAACACACGGCAGGTAAACAAAGAGAGAGAGAGACGCAAATGAAACAGTCCCCTTAGATGAAGACTCTGACAAAATGCAACCAGATTTGTTGTGAAGGCACAATGAACAACAAAATCTAGGCACAGATACAGAAGGCTCTATTTGCTTTAGCTAACTTAGGTCATTTATGGTACTGCCATGATATCCAATTGCCTACTAATGGTTGACTGTATTGCGCTGCAGTTCGCTCCAATTTATTGTATGAGGAAATGAGTTCGGCCATCACTGCCGTCGTAGTATAAGCTGTATGTCATAGTGTGACGATATTAAAAGAGTCATCATAGTCATCAACACAAGACCAGGGATTACTGCGTAACCGTCCAAGTTGCCACACCTCATCTCATTCATATCAGCACATCAAATAACAAGGAGACGAAATGGAAGATGAAGTAAATAAAAATCGGTCAAAAGAAGAAGAAGGAGTAGAAAGTAGCAAAGAGAGGAAGGAGAAATGACGAAATGATGAGATCAAGTATAGCAGTTAAGATGAGGATAATGTGTGAATGCATCTGCACCATTAACATCGATTCTGAGCCATATCACCTACAGTCTCTAACCACTGGTTTCTCTTGGTCCATAGACTCCCGCACCCCCCGAAAGGTTAGGATGTATCACCCTGCATGCCTCAAACTAACAGTCAATGACTTCATACATTGATGTCATCTTTTAATCTGGTTGCCCCGAACCTTTTCCCAGCTTGAACATACACTTCAGTCAACATTGTGTGACGAGGTAGACGATAGCTAGACATATGCAACAACTGACTCTCCTCTCCTTCGCGACACTCTACACCAGACTTCTTACATTACTCACGTCGTGACACCACCAAATACGATGTATCCTAACAAGGCAACGATCATCAAACATCTCAAGTCTTCTCATCACTTCTACCTTCATTAGTCGTGGTGCTTCATAATCATACAGTACAACACAGCGGACTGCACAACACTACACTCGACACTTAATAGGCATTCGTATATCACAACAGAGCCACAAATAGCGTAATTTCGCACAAGACAATCCAACTCTTTGTATTCATACAGAGATTTCATCGACCACTGACCAACGCACCAGGTCTGATCCGAACTCCCATGTAACTGAAGTGTTCAACACACTTAACCACTTCACTCTCTATCACTAGTCAGGGTACTGTTGAAGACGAGTCCCGGAATAACAAATTGGATTCGTGTGGCGAGAAACGCATCCTAAACCTTCTCAAAATGCCAATCAAGGTGTCTAGGAGACTCCGTATCTTGTCAGCGTCTTCACCCAACAGGGTTATGTCATCTGAGTATTCTAAGATGACGAGTGGGAGACCTCTATGATAAAAGTGAACTATAATTGAGAGAGTCGACATCCTTGACGGATACCACTAGCCTAGAATTTTAGAGCTAAAAGGAAAGTCAGTGGACAATGTTGTGAATCTTCATTGATTCATTTGGTTGGGATACGTATATGACACATGTCTAGTCATCGTTTTTTCCATCTCTGCATTACTCTTTCTGTGACTAATCATGAAATCAGTGATCCGAAATGCAGTTCCTTTCTTCTGTCTATATATTTTACTATTGGATCGGAAGTATGTTGTTGGTAGAAAATTTATCCATTCAGTTAGACTTGAACATAGAAGAGTATTGTATCTTTAGTGAAGAGAATAGACATGGTATCATTTGTCACTTGTGGTTAGAGTGATGTACATGATACTTTGACATTGAAAGACGCCACCAATTTATCGTCATCTATATGAACATCTTTAACTCACTCTGGGATTCCTGTGGTAGATTTGACAGACTATTCAGCTACATCAACAGTTGTAAGCTTAAAATCAATACTTAACAGAGTAACTGTGTTACAGTAAGTCTTTCCCATCATTGATTAACCACTTAAAAACAACCTATTTCATGTCGTAAAGTCTTGAGTGCATACGGAATTCCATCAACGATTTGACAATGTGACCAACAAGATAAGACACTTAACATTCCGGTGGATTTTGATGGATGTTAGTTGGTTGATGGCAATCAGGAGGAAATTCTGAACTTGGATTTCTTATTTGGTAGTATTCATCAGCAAAACAATTCTGTGCAATCTCAATGGAACTGGTATCCCCTTTGAGAATTCAACCTACATCAACTAGTGTCCCAGTTATCCAACGAACTAGTAAGCCATTCAGGCTGCAAATGACAAAGGAGAGCAACTAATCTAACAATGTCTACTCCTGAGGGCATATCGAGTTCATTTAATTCCCATGACAAATTTGACAAGAGTATAAAAAATGACATTTGCGGAATAAAACAAGCTCAATTCACTTCATGGCTTTTCCTCAGCTGCAAACAGTCCATAATAAGTGTTGTGACCGAGTGGTGGGGTTGCGCGCGTGGGTATAATGATACTCAGACCCAATAGACACCTCAACCGAACACCTTTATGACTGACCTCCCTCAGTACTTTCTGCTTCACTAAGCCGCGTAAAATCAGAAGACAAAGACGACCTGTGACTGCAAGAACAGCGACAACAATCTCTATTAGGCAAATAATACATGATATATATGTATTTACAAAACTCTCAGAAAGTGAAGCCATAAATGAACCAATGTGATTTCTTGTATGTGGTCGAATTCCTCCAATCAGGTTCTCATATCAGTGAATGCATAAATCACGACCTGAAAATGATCTGCTCATGACTTGAAAGCAACTCCCCTATTGACTGACTTATGTCGCTACGTATTAATAGCCAACAAAATAGTGGTAGTAACAATAATGAAAATAACATCCTTTAAATATGTAGGAATAAATGGAGATTGGAAATCCACCATTCACAATAAGGTAGTGAATAAGTCAAGCAAACACTCAATGAATAATCACAAATCCTAGTCAAAATCAATGGCGATTTATACACATCCGATGAAATAGAAACACTTCTGCAGCTGTGAATTTGGGCGACAGTAAGAAGGGGCTATTTAGGAGCTAGTAGGTTACGTAATCACATAAAAAACTGGGAAATAGTTAACTGATTAATAGCCAGTAAGTAATTTATGAAGAGATGATGCAATGGAAGAAAAAGGGAAGACTATAAACATACATACACACACACACATACAAAAATATTATATACATTTACCAAGGTTAATTACAGTCTTCTTCTGAGTACATACGTCAGGTGGAAAATGTATGATAGCGAGAGCTTTCGTAAACCATAATAAACATAGGATTGTTGATTATCCTGATGGATTGACAAACATCTATTTGATGTCATATTTCTACCAGATGCCTGGCAATCGCTCTGGTAAGGACCTTCCTACCTTTCAGACAGATTTTTCGGTATATAATCATAAAATGGAGTAGATGCCCTACTTTCGATCTATTCTATATTTATGCTTACGCAAGCACAGGTGAATTGATATACACAATTGGAGGTGACGTGAGATGGGTATTTGTCTACTTTCGACTATGTTATTGGGCATTTATTATTATTATTATTTGTCCCTGGGGTTCCTAATGGAACATAAGGCTTCAGTAGCACGTCTCCAATGCTCTCTGTCCTCGGAAATCTCTTGAACCTGGCTCCACGACTGCCCACAAACTCTCATTTAATCCTCACACACCATCTCCTCCATGTCACCCTCACCTCGGACACCCAACTCGTCGTTTCCCATCTGGGTTCCACTCGAGTAACTGGCCTGACACGTGATGTCCCCAGTCGGCCATCTCAGTGTATGCCCAATCCATCTCATCTTCCTTCCAGTGCATATTTGTTGGGTGATAGGTTCTTGCCTCGTTGGTTCGTTGTCAGTCAGCCAGATTTCCTTCTTGCTTATTCTCATTATTCTTGCCATCTGAGGTTCAGTAAGTAACGAGCCAGAGTAGGCAGTTGTCGATGAACATCTGTAGTTTGTTGGAAATGCTTTTCGTGACACGCCAAGTCTCTCAACCATCACATAGAAGCACTGACTTGACTTACTGACTGACGTGGTGTTGAAAATCCGTATGTTGTTCACGCTTCATGCTTCATGCTGAGTGCAGATCTCCACACTGGTTTCAGGTTAACGAACACCTGTCTTGGTGTCTTTACCATCCTGACTGGCTGGCTTTGACGTCCTCGTCTGTGCCTGTGTCACCTGTAGTTGAAACAGTGCTGCCCTGCCTATATAGCTGAAGGAGGTTACTTCCTTTAAGTTTCTCCTGTTGATGGTGATTGGAGTTTGTTGTTGTTGGTGTTGTTGGTTGGGTATCTTCATCACTTCTGTCTTCTCTATATTCACTTGAAGTCCCGTCTTCGCTGCCCTGCCTTGCCTTGTCACTTCTGTTAACTTGTTAGTTTTCGCCTGTAGATCTTCAAGTTTGTGTGACATCAGGCACAAGTCGTCGGCGAAATCCAAGTCTTCTAGGATGTTTTCCGCAGTCCAGCCAGCGTATCCCCCTCTTCTCACAGCTCCCCACTGTTTGCTGCATGATCCAGTCCACTACAATCAGGAATATCATGGATGGTAGTAGGTGGCAGTCTTGTTTTACTCCTGTCTTCACTTCAAAAGCATCACTGAGCTTCCCATTGTGAATTACTTGGTATATGGCGTCTTCATATAGTTGTTGAATGAGATTGATAAAGGTTTGCGGTATTCCGTAGTATGGAAGCAGTTTCCAAATTACCTGTCGGTCGACGCTGTCAAACGCCTTCTCAATATCGATGAAGTTATTGAGCATACTGTATTGTAAATTGAGATCAGTCTAGCATCAGGGATATTCCTTCTCAGGACAACTGTTATTCTTCTGTCTATTCTTTCAGATAGCTTATCACTTTTGAATGTTAAACGGATTAAAACCGATGGTATCTCAACAGTTGGATGGTTTGATCTCTCAATAAATTCTTTTCCATGCTTGATGATGAATTTCTTCGGATATTCATTCTCTATAACAGCCTTCTCAATCATCCCGAATTCTTCTCCTTATCTTTACAGTACAGCGATGTTTTTCTAGTGAATAGCGTTCTGACTAAGCCACGCTTGTAGCTGACAGGACAGAAACTATTGTGTAGTGGAGGAAGGTACTGACTGACCAAACCTTATGTCTTTCCTATGGATAGTTTTCTCGATTATACCATCACATCTCCGTCTTGTACGTGGATCCAAAAGATTGAATCTATCCTCATTTTCATATCGCATTGTAAAATTTATATTTGAATGAGCTTGGTTGAAGGTATCTATCAACTTTAATGTATTGTTCATATTATCACAAACTATGGAAGCATCATCCATATACTTGCAGTAATGTGTTGTTTCCCTAATTGCAGAGTTCAGACATGTTCGTTTGAGATGAGCCATGAACATATCAACTAGAATAGGTCCAACTGGTGATTCTAAGCTTTTCCGGAGGTTAACAACTGTTGTAGTGGAAAGTATTTGATGATGACAGTTCATTGACTTTAACCTATCAGTTGAAATAGTGGAGGTTGGATCGTTTAAGAGCAAGTAAACAGAACACGCCAAAAGAAGGGTATCTACTCGATTTTATGAACCTATGTCTGAAAGGTAGGAAGGTCTTTCTTTACCAGAGCAATTGCCAGGCATCTTGTGAAAACATGATATCAAATAGATGTTTGTTAATCCTTCAGGATACTCAACAAACATCTCTCCATCAAACTCACAAAGAGATTGTTATTCATCTTTGTTTACCTGAGTAACTGTATACTTTTTTGCATGTGCATGTAGGCATGCCATGGTTCAGAGACTTGGCATGTTACGAAATAGATTTCCAACAAACTACAGACATTCATCAACAATTGACTACGCTAGCTCGTTACTGAACATCAGATGGCAAGAATAATGAGAATAAGCAACAAAGAACACTGGCTGACTGACAACGAACCAACCAAAAACCTATCGCTCAACAAACATGCACTGGGGGGAAGTGGAGATGGATTGGGCATACACTGATAAAACCATTCGAGGACATCAAGCGCCAGGTCGTTGAGTGAAACCCAGATGGGAAATGACGAGTTGGGCGTCGGAGGTGAGGGTGACATCGAGATGGTGTGTGAGGATTAAATGAGAGTTTGTGGGCAGTCGTGGAGCCAGGTTCAAGAGATCTCAGAGAACAGAGAACATTGGAGACGTGCTATTGAAGCCTTATATTCCACTAGGAACCCAAGGGACAAATAATATATAGTATAATAGTAATGTTAGCATAGTCTTCTGTGTGTTTTTCGATTGCACTACTTAGTGACTGTTTATCTTTCAAGGATTTTCTAGTTTTTCATGCAATTACGTAACCTATTAGCTCCTAAACAGTTTCTTCCTTTACACTGACTGTCGTTTTTTTTGGTCCCCACCTTATTCCCACTCCACAGCTCCAGAAGTGTTTCTATCCATCAGATATGTATAAATTGACATTGATTTTGACTAGGATTTGTGATTATTCATTATGTGTTTACTTGACTCATTCCTTACTTTATTGTTAATCCAGGATTCCGAATCTCCATTTATTCCTACATATTTAAAGGATGTTATTTGCATTATTGTTACTACTTATACTTCATTTCAGTTGTAGACTGTTTGTAGCTGGTGAAAGGTCATGAAATGAAATGAGGTCTTTTATTTCCATATTAGATTTGTTTATTTGATATAAAGCGCACAGTGATACAGTATTATTTACTTGATTACGTTTCGAGCATAAATTATTACTGCTCATAATCATATCAATGTAATCACACTTCTTTCGACATCTGATTTTATAGTCCTGTCACCTGATCTCTCTTTGTTTTTTGTTTTTTGATTGGTAGTAAAGTTTTCCATATCTCTGGTATAGGTGTTGCGTCATTCCTATTACATGTGTTGGGTGTGGATTCGATGAACAAAGATTCAGTAATTAATCTCTCTCTCCACCTAGCTATATTAGACTTAAGTACAGTGGTTTTGTCCCATCCTATTGTGTGGTTGTGTGTTAATGAATGTAATGCAATGGCTGAGTGTTTTTCTAGGTTATTGATCTTATTGGGGTCTGTCGTTCTATGTTTAGCTAAATTCCTATGTTCTGTTAATCTAACTGACCCCGACCGGCTAGTTTGACCTATGTATTTGACTTCACAGTCATTACATGGAATTTGGTAGATTATATTATTTTGCTTAATTGGTTCTATCGGATCTTTTAGCCGACACAGCTTACCTCTAAGTGAGTTTGTTGGTTTAAATGCCACCCTAATTCCAACCTTGTTGAGAATCCTACGTATGGTTTCTGATGTTCCTTCCTTGTATGGTATCACAATAGAGGTGTTGATTTCCTTTCTACTTATGTTGTCACTATTATTTGTATTTGTATTAGTGTTATTATTTTGCTTCTTATGTGTCCGTGTGAATTTCTTAATAAAATGATGGGGATAATTATTAATTATTAACGCTTCTTTTATGTGTTTCAATTCCTTATTTAAGTCCTTACAATGACTAGTGAGTTTCTCAGCTCTGTTATTTAGACATTTGACTAAACCCGCTTTAACTGACACTGGATGAGATGACTTGAAGTCTAGATATCTGTTAGAATGTGTTGGTTTTCTGTAGACGGTAGTATCTAAACCACCATCTATCCTTCGTTTTATTCTGCAATCCAACATAGGTAATTCTCCTTGTTCATGAACAAGAAATTCACACGGACGCATAAGAAGCAAAATAATAACACTAATACAAATACAAATAATAGTGACAACATAAGTAGAAAGGAAATCAGCACCTCTATTGTGATACCATACAAGGAAGGAACATCAGAAACCATACGTAGGATTCTCAACAAGGTTGGAATTAGGGTGGCATTTAAACCAACAAACTCACTTAGAGGTAAGCTGTGTCGGCTAAAAGATCCGATAGAACCAATTAAGCAAAATAATATAATCTACCAAATTCCATGTAATGACTGTGAAGTCAAATACATAGGTCAAACTAGCCGGTCGGGGTCAGTTAGATTAACAGAACATAGGAATTTAGCTAAACATAGAACGGCAGACCCCAATAAGATCAATAACCTAGAAAAACACTCAGCCATTGCATTACATTCATTAACACACAACCACACAATAGGATGGGACAAAACCACTGTACTTAAGTCTAATATAGCTAGGTGGAGAGAGAGAGATTAATTACTGAATCTTTGTTCATCGAATTCACACCCAACACATGTAATAGGAATGACGCAACACCTATACCAGAGATATGGAAAACTTTACTACCAATCAAAAAACAAAAAAACAAAGAGAGATCAGGTGACAGGACTATAAAATCAGATATCGAAAGAAGTGTGATTACATTGATATGATTATGAGCAGTAATAATTTATGCTCGAAACGTAATCAAGTAAATAATACTGTATCACTGTGCGCTTTATATCAAATAAACAAATCTAATATGGAACTACATTCTACCACAGTGCCCAAGTTTTTCACTTATATTAATGAGGTCTTTTATTGTTCTGCAAATGTCCTAATCCTTACATTGTTCAAATATCGAATTCCACCAGAGATTTTTCTATGTGACCATCAAGCTAGAAGCCTTACAAACGTGATGGATTCTTATGGATGCTAGTTGCTAGAAGGCAATCAGATGACCGAAGGTTTCTTGGAGTTTGCCTTCAACAAGCTTACAATCTTATTTGCGCTGTTGCCAGTTTACTCATTCTTTTGTGAACTTATCCCAAGTTGCATTGTTTATAAACTCCAATATGCTAAACCGCTGAAGATGAACATACCTCTGCTTCTTCTCCATTACTGGCTGAACATATCCTGTCAACAGTTCAGACTGACGCCTGGACGTGGTTATAGTATCAGCACCTGACATTCTTCGCATATCAGTAATTGATGAAGTGATTACTTCAAGAGGTGGTAGTTTAGTGAGTACTTCAAGCGCTAACGTTGGACATCCAAGAACAAAGTAATGATGAGCAGTTCGAAAATATAAGCGTCTCTCCAAACTTTTAACACGATATATAGCAGATGAATCAATTGAAGTTGAAGCTTGAATACGCTGTTGTCGTAGTACCAATGGATGTGATTGTAGATATGTGTAAAATTTGAAGACACTTGGACACACTGAAGTGGTAGATGAACCAGGAAGACAATACTCATTACCGCTTAAATGTCGAGGATGTTGTGGACTCTGTTGAATTGACTGAGTTACACTATCTTTCCTTGTAGAACCGATTGAATCCACTGGACTAGCAGAAATTCCAGGTCCTTCCAGTAAAGTCTGCAAAGCAGCTAAAGGATCACCCTGGAAAAAAAAGAAGAGAATAACTCACAAGGCTCAAACAATGATTCAAACGTTTCATAATCAAACTAGGAAGATTTATCAGTGTGTGCCTCATAGAGAATTATATGTTTTAAAACAAAGATTTCAAAGAAGGAAATTCTTCTTTGAGATGATTTCACAATCAAAAAGTTAAGTTTTTCTTGGCAAGCGTAAAAAACATTGAACTTTTTCAAACTATCATGATTCTACACTTGTTGAACAGCTATATGAACAATATTATTATTTATTTATTTTTCTCTTCGGTTCCTAGTGGAACATAGGGCTTCAGTAGCACGCCCCCATTTCACTCTCTTCTCTTCAGTCTTTTCAACTGGGCACCACGTTTGTCCAAAAGCCTTCATTTCTTCCTCACACGATCTCCTCTATATCATCCTCGCCTCCAACGCCCAACTCGTCCTTTCCCAAACGGGTTCCACTCGAGGGCCTGGCGCATGATGTCCCCAAACCGTCTTCTCAGTGTATGTTCAATCTAATCCATCTTCACTGTCTTCTTCTGCATATTTGTTGGGTGATGGGTTCTTGCTTCGTTGGTTTGTTGCCAGGCCAGAGTTCCTTGTTGCTTATTCTTTCTGGCCATCTAATCCTCAGTATCGAGCGTAAGCAGCTGTTGATGAATGTCTGGAGTTTGTTGGAAGTGCTTTTCGTGACGCGCCAAATCTCTAAACCACCATATAGAAGCACTGACTTGACATTGGTGTTGAAAATCCGGATCTTGTTCTTTGTGTTGAGTACGGTTCTCTCCACTGATTTCAGATTAATGAAGGAAGCCCGTCTGGCTGTCTTTCCGATCCTGGCTGGTTTTGACATCCTCGTCTGTAGTTGAAACGGTGCTCCCTAGGTAGGTGAAAGAGACTACGTCCTTCAGGTTTCTCCCGTCAATGGTGGTTGGTGCTTGTTCTTGATGCTGTTGTTGGTTGGGTATCTTCATTACCTCCGTCTTGACATTTATGATCATATTTCAAGCTGAAAAGCATACTAAATCGGTTTATTTGATATATATTGTACAGCGATGCAGTATTACTTACATGTGTTCAGTGTTGACTGATTCGAAAATTACTTATATCGGACTTAAGGCGTTTAGTAGATTTATCCAACCCTATTGTATATGGTTGTGTGTTATTGCATGCACTGTGATAGCCGAGTCTTTTTTCTTCGAGATTATTGACCTTATACGGGTCAGTCATTCTATGTTTAGCTAAATCGCAATGTCCCGCTATTCTGACTGACCCTGATTGGCTAGTTTGCTTAATTGCTTCTACCGTATCCTAAAGTCAATCGACAAAGCCTATCTCTGAGTGAACCTGTAGGTTTAAATGCCACTCTAATTCCAGCTTTGTTGAGAATCTTACATAAGCTTCTGATACTCCTTCCTTCCTTATAGGATAACACAAAGGTTGTGAACTCCTTCCTACTCGTGTTGTCATTATCGTTCATACTCGCGTTACTGTTACCATTTCGTTTCTTGTGTATTCGTACGAATTTCTCAATAAACTGTAGAGGATAATCATTAACTATTAGCGCTTCTTTTATATGCTTCAGTTCTTTGTTTAGGTCTTTGTACTGACTAGTCACTTTTCGAGATCTATTATTTAGACATTTGACTAAATCCGCTTCAACTGACATTGGATGAGATGACCCGAAGTTTAGATACCTGTTAGAATATGTCGGTTCTCCATAGACAGTAGTATCTAAATCACCGTCTGTCCCCAAAGTTAATTCTCCTTGTTCATTTTCTACCTCCTCGAAAGTAAACTGGATTGCGCATACTACTGAGTTCACGTGTGAGTTCAGTGCGCACCCATAACACACCATATCAGGGATCGAATCCAGAGCCATCAGGTTCTGTGGCTAGCACGTTATCATTAAGCTACTCGGTCGGAATCCAGTGGTCCATATTTTCAACTTCTGTCAATTCATGGCATTGCATGACCATTACCCAATATCATCGCTGAGTATTTGTCTTCACCATCACCAAGCATGCCCTGCCGGTCACGACTTCAAACCAGGCCTTGTCTCTTCCTATATTCCGCTCTTCAATCAATTTGTTATTGTCTACCACAACATATAAAAAGGACTGTACACAGGTATATAAAATGAAATCGTCGCAAAGAGAAATTTTCATTGTTGAAATCTTATATCTGAATGTTGAAGTTAGGCTAAGAATACTAGAAAAGACAGGCAAGTCAATTGGTGAGGTTGTGAACCTACATCGACTGATATGGTTTGGACATGTAAGGCGCACGCCAAGCCACCTCCCACCTTAAGAAAGACATGCTAGGGGAAGTTGAATCAGGATAGAAGAGAGTTCAGGGTGAATAGACCAACACCTGGTACCAGTAGACTAAGTCTGTGGCTGTTGATTTGAGCCATGTGGAGAGATTTAGACTACCCGATTGGAGTCTCTGAGGACTCTTGATGAAATGTGTGAAAATCGGTCACTATGGTGTAGATGTATTCACTCTTCGATATCTTCTGAAGCTTGAATACTTGCGCTAACTATTGTCTCTCACGCAACTTCATCTACTTCGATATCACTCGTATTCTATCCAGCTGTTATTTGTGGACTACTGTGAAGTGCGGCAACTTAAGATGATACAATAGTGTGCGAGGGTATAGGTTGATGTAATCAGATAGTTTCTGTCTCAATAGTGGGAGAATAACGAAATTAAAAGAAAATCTAGGTAAAAGTAGGATTTAAAACAATAGTTTGATGATAAAAATTTGAACCGGAAATCTGGAGGCTGTTATTATAAATCCTAGTAGGATCCAGGTTTTCGCTGAACCTCAATTATACACATGTAACTTATATTACTTCAAGTAGTCTCATCAAAAATTATCATTTTCTACCTGAACAGCTACCAATTTCTCTCTAGCAAGACTGATATCCAAGTAAATAAAGTTGTGTGACAGAATAAACAAACTGAAGATAACAGTCAACGCAAATATCCAAGCTTTAGAAGATGATAAGTACTGAATACATCTTAGCCATTGTCACCGATTTCCAGCCACGTCACGAAGAATCCTCAACCACGTCAGAGAACCTAATCAGATAATCTATAGCTCTCCACAAGTCTCAGACCAACAGTAAGAAAGTTAATCGGTTGGTATCATGTCTTTTTCTAGCCACCCTAACCATTTTCCATCCTAATGCAACTTCCCCCCAGTATGACACTTCGAGGTAGGTGGTGACTCGACCTGGGCATTACATGTCCATGCCATCTCAGTCGACTGAGGTTCACAATCTCATCAATCGACTTGGCAATCTTTCCTAGTACTCTTCTCCTAACTTCAGCATTGCTTTTTCATTGTTCACGAAGATATCTGTGCTTTTTATCTTCTACTTTTAAAGGAGTTATGTCTCACAAGACAAAAAACGACAAACTAGGGTGCAGTGCATTCGTTCTTTGATAGATAGTCAGATATCTCACCAGTTGGTGCCAAAGATGATATAAGTTAGTGCGTACCAAACCAGCCTTCTTTATTCATCAAGCGGACATATCATAAACAACAAACCCGTTCGAACTGATCCTCAAGTAAGTGGAGTGGTCAACAAATTCCACCACTTCACACTCCCTATCATTAAAAAAACTGGGAGAAGTCGCAGTATTCTAGCTGATTTTGTACAATCCGATCCATTCAAAAGATTGGAAGAACCCATAAGTTCGATATATGTAGAACGCTAGTTAAGGTTTTTTTTTTCTTGCTAGTTAGATAATAGGAGAAAACAGTCAACAATCAGTAAAACTTATCTTCCGGATGCGCACATAAATGCTTAGCTATATTAACGTATTTAGTCAGTACAGTCAGTCAATATGCAACAGATATACTTTCCAGGATGGTATTCATCACAAACTGACGTCAGTTGGAGTACCAATAGACACAAGCTGATTTCAATCTGCGATTTTCATTTATTTATTACCAGATATATTACCCATGAAACCATAAATTCAGCTTTTAAAAAATGACATGATGATGAATAAACTTACCAGACTCCAGAAGGCCATACTTCTTAGGAATGGATCTTCATGTTGAACAAGATATTTTCTTAAGAAGTCATGGTATGCAGATGTTGTTATATGACCTGATATCCCTTGAGCTGATGATGTATACAACCTATGGAGAGATATAGAGAGTAGGATAGGGGGTGAAGAGAAATGGAATACTATATAATAGGATATGGGATAATTGCTGCTATTTAGTCGAGATCAAGTATGCTGAAGACACGGAAATAGACAACGGAAAAAAGCCAACAAGGCAGATATAACTGAAACTACCATCGCAGGCGAACGTGAAGAACTCGCGTTTATCAAGAACAAACACTTTTTACTGTATGATGTTCAAATAGCCATAGTAGAACACTTTTGTGCCTGGTTGATGCTTGGAGTGATGGGTGCTGGGTCTAGAATTCAGCACATAAAAAACTATCACTGAGCAAGATAAAGATACATCTTGTGAAAGAGTCTCAGATAGGACGAAAGGCGTGTACTGGACCTCATTGAACAACAATTAAAATGAAGCTTGAGGAAATTATCGAAGTGTCTGTTAAAGGAGCAAATATGCCAAAAGTGACCGATCAATTTCGTCCAGTATACTAATGAATGGAAAGTATGAGTAACTGATGAGTCCTAAACAGAACGAAACGATCCCAAAAAAAACTAATTGCAAAACAATAAGTGGATACCAGAATGAGAGTCAGGCTTAAGTGTCAGTGGATTGTAAAATCAACCAATCAATCAATATCAACATAGGACCAGGCATTACTGTGTAACGGTCCGAGTTGCCACAGCTCAGTACAGTACATCAAGTAGAAGGGTAGTGAGGTGAAGAATGAAGATAAGAGAATGCAGTCAAAAGAAGTATAAATTACGACCGATAGCTGCTATCTTGACGTGGTGGTCAGGCTTGCAAACCACAATGACCCAACGAGCTACGCTGGTGGAACACTTGTTCTCTCGAGGTCCTACCATACCAGAAAGGTCTGTTGGGTAGTGGTTAGACGAAAAGCAGTTACCGTCATAGTGTAAATTGCTATACTATGATGGGGGTCTGAGGGCGAAGTCGTACTGCTGCTAGCTAGATGGGATGTAACAGCAGTAAGGTGTTTCCCTTGGATGACCAGTAGTGCAATGCTGATGCTGCCTTCTCAGTGGATTAGAAAAGGTTGGTCCCAGAAATAACACACTCCACTATGCCCCATGGTCTGCCGGGCAGGCGGTGTTAGTTCATTTGTCTTTTCCTTTCGACCATCCAGCCCCGAAAATATGAAAGTCCGAAATAATCATTCTAAATTGTAAAAACACACAAATAATTTCAATTAACTGAAGCTGTGAGCAGGCGACTGAAATTTATAAAGTGAGCAATGTGACAAGGTTTGACTATGTGCATCTTAGCTTCCCTACATGGTAACTAACTTCAAAATGGAAGAGAACTATTTTGTTGGTATAGGAGGGTACACACAAGATGTTCACAGAACGAATACTGACGGTGATATATCCTAAAATGGTGCAGGAGAAACAGAACCATCAAATTGTTTGCAACAGTAATGTAATGAATATATGAATGTTGAACAAAATATGATTCGATCAATACTGAAGATACGATCTACTAATGATGAATGCTGACAAAGATGAAACAGTTGCAAATGGCTGGATTCTAATACTGAAAAGAAAAATTCTGAATAGAACATGTAAAACCTTGAGGAGGTATACATCTGCTGCAAACACGTATAGTTCTCTTCAACGGTGAGCACCCACTATACAATCTCCTCTACTAATGTCATTTTGTAATCAAAACTATGTTCCAATCAATTAATCAACCAATCTCTATAAACCTTCAAACTGGACAATTATCTTTCAATTGAATTTTGAGGGATTTGTGGGGATTCAGAGATATTTCAAGTTGTTATTCATCGTAAACTGACATCAGTTGGAGGAACAATGGGAATCTGGGAGCACTGGACAGCTGTTCCGTCCTAGTATGGGACTCTTCAGTAGTGGGCACGAACCTGCTTCCTTCAGGTTCCGTGGCCAGCGCGTTAGCATTGAGCTAACCACTGGATCAGAATCCAATGGTCCATATTTCCAACTTCTGTCAGTTTACGACATAGCCCGACCTCCACCCAATGTCATCGTTGAGTATTAGTCCTCACGGTCATCAGGTTTGCTCATTGGTGACTAGCTTCGAGAGGTGATTCCCGAAGTTCCAGTGAGAAGTTGTGACCAGTGAGGCAAAGCCCGATGGTCGTGAGGACAGTTACTCAACGATGACATTGGGTAGAGGTCACGCTATGTAGTGAACTGACAGAAGTTGGAAATATGGACCAATGGATTCCGACGCAGTAGCTGAATGGTAACATGCTTGCCACAGAACCTGAAGGCCGCAGGTTCGACCCGTAGCAAGGTTGTTCGTGCGCACTGCTGAAGAGTCTTTTACTAGTTGGACGAAACAGCTGTACAGTGCTCCTAGGTTTCCATTGTTCCTCCAACTGATGTCAATCTACGAAGAATAACAACATGAAATTACTTTTTTTTTTAAGCGAACGCTGACTACTTACTCTACTCACAGTACAATAACATGAACTCACAAATAAGAAAGCTGACAAAAATATATAACATACCTGACTAGTAAAATACCCAATTGTAAATCCTTCAATGTATCTAAACAAACACGTATAGCATCATCTAAACATCCAGCTAATAAAAATAATCCAGCAGCTTGAAGATATTTATGCTGACTTAAAAGACGAAATGCATTCAGTTTTGCTTGTCGACATGCTGGTTGACCAGATGTGAAATCTAATCGGAAAAAATTCTCCAATGTCTTATTCCCAGTAGTTCTAATGTTATATTGGATAAAAATAGAAAAGATATGGTTGTATACAGAAATTACAGAAGAGACGGATCATATACGAATAACATAGGATTCAGTAAAGCTGAATGTCAAACAAAATCAGAATATTTCGTATTAGTGATACATAACCTACGTGAGGACTTCTGCACTTGTGGGATGAAGCACCCAGCGGTTTAACTGCTAGAGTATTAGCTGATGAGAACATTCGAAAAATCGAAAAAACAAATAATATGTATTATTACTTAACGATACTTGTAACTTCCCATTGCATAAGAAGCGGCTGTTATGCCTTAGTGACCTAGTGGGTAGCGCTATGGCACTGGATTCGATTATCAGTGGGAATACCATCAATCACTAGGGTGTAGGTAAATCCAACTAATGAGTGAGTTTTAAATACGGTAAAACATGAATCCTGGATTCAACTAATAGCCAACAAGCAGGCAGTATTGAGAAGCTCATCTGACAACAGAGATTGAGCAATCCGAATCAGTATACCAAATCCATAAAGCGTATTTCGTCTCACCTGATGAGACTCATCAGATGAGACTCGAGATGCTTAGAAACTATCCTTTTAGGCGTGTTTGTGTAATCCACAATATCCATTAGGCGGCAACAACCGTGTAAAATCAGTTTATTCATCAGTAAAAATTCCCCAGAGGGTAAGTTATATGTTTAACCGATAAAGTAAAACTAATATGAAGTCAGCTTAGATGACTAAAATAAATGGGCAAGTAGGTATGACATGAAACAAAACAGAATGGTTGAATAGAATTGAATTTGTTCAAGGTGTTAAAACTAACCGCAGAAGAGACAGCAAGAAAATACATTCAATATACATGAAAGAAAAGATGTTAATTCAACGAAACTTTGTAAGATTTTGAAGAAGATATGCTGTGAGTTCATCAGCATCACTGTGATGGAATCTTGGAGCTATATGAACTATTTGTCACGTTTTAATACTTGTATTGTGAAGGCGATGAAAAGCACCTATTTGACAAGAAAGCCCTTTATGCTGTTGCTTGCATCGTTATTATTATTATTATTACTATTATTATCAATTATTATTATTATTATTATTATTATTATTATTATTATACAGGCAACAGTACAATAACTATAGCCATCTCACAAGAAGCGGCTATCGTGAGTCGGTGATCTGTTAGATAAGGCTATGGTATTCGAAAGAATTTATCATAAGTTCGATTCTTAGTAGTGACAATATCACTTAATGGGATGCAAGTATATTCAACTGACGTATCCTAAATAGGACGAAATGCATATCCTGGAATCCATTACCAGTCACCACCAACCAAGCGGGTCATAACGACTAGTTTTTCCTGCACAAGATGTAAATTTTATGATTCAGTAATTTATTTAAGCTTAAACATAAACAGACAAACAGCAGGAATTCTTGTAAATAAAATGTATAATTCTAGAAATTCGGTTATTCCGAAGACAGTCATATTCAGAAATGAAGGAAACTAGTTGAACGAATAACTCAACGTTCTGGTTGAATAACCACAATGTATGTGATTTCATTATTTAGACTGATACAATACAATTCTTATTCAAACTAATCATAGACATACTGAGGCAGTATTTCTTTTCTACATCTAACTTTACAAGAGAGTCTTCTTAGTAGACCTAAAAGATGGAGATTTATCATTATTATTATTATTGTTTTCCCTTGGGTTCCTAGTGGAACGCAGAGCTTCAGTAACACAGCTCCATTGCATTCTCTTCTCTGCAGTCTTTTCAACCTGGCTCCACGACTGTCTACAACCTTTCATTTCTTCCTAACACACCATCTCCTCCATGTCACCCTCGCCTCTGATGCCCAACTCATTCTTTCCCACTTGGATTCTACTCGATGGTCTAGCCTGGTACCTGATTTCCCCAACTGGTCTTTTAAGTGCATGCCCAATAAAATCTATCTCCACTTTCTTCTGCATAATTGTTAAGCGATGGGTTCTTGGTTCGTTCCCAGAGTTCCTTGTCGCTTATTCTTCCTGGCCATCTGATCTGATCTTCAGAATCAAGCGAACGTAAGCAGCAGCTGTCTGTAGTTTGTTGGGATTGCTTTACGTAACGCACCAAGTTTTTGAACCATACAGAGGCACTGACTTGACTGACTTATTGTGTAAAATCCGGATCTTCTTTTCTATGCTGAGTGCAGTAGACCTCCAAACTGGTTTCAGATAAATGAAGAAAGGCGTGTCTTGCTGTCTTTCCGATTCCGATTTCGACATCGCCATCTATGCCTGTGCTGCCTGTAGTTGAAATGATGCTGCCTAGGTAGGTGAAAGAGATAGCATAGTCTTATTGCATGAAGACGCTGACAAGAAGCAGATGTTTCTGGACATCTTGAGTGACAATTTGAAAAGGTTTACATGCATTTTTCACTACCCAAATGCAAACTATCGCTCAATAACTGTTCTCCAATGCATCAGCCATTGCCAACAAAATCTGCGTACAGATGCAAAAGGCTGGATTGGCTTTCTCCAACTTACACCATTTATTGTAAAGCTATGATATCCGATTGTCTATTACGAGTCGAGTATACTGCGTTACAATTTGTTCTCTTCTACGATATGGATGTGAAACAAGGCCATTAAAGGTAGGAGACATGAGAAGACTTCAGGTCTTCAACCATCATCACGATCGGAGCATAAGCGATGTTTTGTGGTGTCACACTGTCACTACGGTAGAAGTCAAGTTTAAATTCTAAGAGAGGAGAGGAAGGTTATTTGATGAAGTTCTAAGCCTGTCTAATCATCGACTTTCCCATCGACTCTAGGTGACTTCCTTCTCCATTACCTTATCTTTCAAGTTGTTATTCACCGTAGACTGACATCAGTTGGAGGAACAAAGGAAACCTGGAAGCACTGGACAGCTGTTGAGGAGTCCCATACTAGGACGAAACAGCTGTCCAGTGCTCCCAGGTTTCCTTTGTTCCTCCAACTGATGTCAGTCTACGATGAATAACAACTTGAAATAACTCCAAATCTCCACAACCTTATCTTTCATCTGAATGCTTTCTCATTTGATATATTGATATCAGGTGTGGCAACTTGGACTGCCACCCATTAATAGCAAGTCCTATGTTGGTTATATCTGTCTGTTATGTAACCATTCATGGTATGCAAAGTGAGACATCACATCCATACACACAAATTGAAGCAGAAGGCTCCAATAAGAAATTACACACCAAACAACCGTATTCGAAAATCGAATAATTGTTAGTATCGGAAGTATATCTGTCTGTCTATCTATCCGTCTGTCTGTCATACGTCATACGGAAATGAAGCTAATATACACCATTAATTCGTGATCAGAGCCTATCAATAACTTTAGGCGAACCCTTAGTAAACATTGTTCTAGTGGTAAGAAATCTACTATTCATGAAATGATTATCGGTGAAATACATGGTGAATAATCGTATTACATATCTACTACTACCACTACGAATTCTCATCAAATTACCATCATCTATAAAGAGTGAAAATGGAATAAGATCAAACAAATCAATTGATATGACAGAAAACCAAGCGATAGAGAAAAAAAAGATAAGATTGTAAAATCATTATCAACAAATGAAGAATATTCCATCTATCTCATGATAATAAAGTCCTAAACACTTAGCTTTCCTCTTTTACAGTATATACTATACTATATGGTGAGAAATACTCACAGCTTCAAGTAAAAAATGTTCTTACAAGTTTAAGATTGACATGGATAGATGATTCAATGTCGTTTATTTGCAGATAATCGATTGGATAGCTTATTTGACCTAGGTTTTCTTTTTGTACATATCATAAAAGTTATCTTAAAGGAACTATTGCTCTTTGATAGACTTAAACTTTCGTCACCTACTGGTGTCACAAATACCGGTTTATAGAGTGAAAATCAATGTAGAACCTCAGATACAAGTCCAATGATTCAAGTTATCATAGCCGCATGCAAAGAATGAATGAATACATCTGTATCACTATGACTGCTTTGTAGATAATATGCCAGAAGGTTCCCAACCATTGATTTTTGTTACCTTAAGGCCACTTATCCAGACGACAAGTTGTACTACTCTACACGGCTCAGACAAACAATCAACGATTGATGCCAAATCTTGGTCTGATTCCTATGTCTTTTATCAACAGAATTTTACTTTGGTTAGCATTGCACCGACACCTGACAATACCTGCATTTCTCGACTCCATTGATCGAAAAGTCTTATGGCAATGTCTCCGACCAAAAGGCATGCCGAGTAACTACATCACTTTATAGAAGGCTCTCTACTCGAACACTAGTGGGTGTGTTACAGACTATGGTGAGATGTTCAGAGAGCTATGCTCGTCAAGTGGTGTCCGTCAAGGCTACCCACTCTCTCCATTCTTATTCAATTTTATCAAAGATATTCTTATGGAGGTCTCGCTCTCGTCACCTGATTACACAGAGGTTAACCTAATCGCGAGAGAATTTTCGTTAGACCTATAATATGCGGATGATATATTCCTGTTAGGTGAAGACGCTGACAAGATGCATTACCTTCTAGACAATTTGATTGTCATTTTGAGAATGTTTAACATAGTTTTCCCACCACGCGAATCCAAATTGTTGTTCCAGATTCCTCTTCAACGGTACCCACACTAATGATAGAGAGTAAAGTGGTTGAATGCGTTGAATATTTCACTAAAGTGGGAATTCAGATCAGACCTGGTGCGTTGGTCAGTGGTCGATTAAATCTTTACACGAATATAAAAGGCTCGGTTGGCTTTCGCCAACTTACACCACCTGTGGAGCCACCGTAATATCCGATTATCTATTAGGGCCGCGTGTACTGCACAATAGTCCGGTCTGTTCTACTGTATGGCTGTGAAACATGGTGATAAAAGGCAAAATAAATGAGAAGGCTTCAAGTGTTTGACAACCATTGTCTTCGTAGTATAGGCTGTATTATGTGGTGCTACCACATGAGTAACACAGAAGTCAGGTGTAGAGTTTTAGGGAGCAGAGGTAAATCAGTTGATGAGGTTATAAACCTTCATCGGCTGAGATGGTTGGGACACGTGTTACGTATTTCAGTGGCTGTCTGCCTCGTCACACAATGTTGGCCGAAGTAGGTCCAGGCTGGAGGCTAGGAGCTGCCAGACTAAAACAGGGCATCGATGTATGAAGGCTTCGACTGTTGGTTTTAACTATGTAAAGAAATGCAGACTGGGTGATATGGCTGAGAACCGATGTCAATGACAGAGATGTATATACAATATCTTCATCTTAACGCTATACTGAATGTCACCATTTTCCTTTCTTCATCTTCCACTTTACTGCCTTTTCACTTAGTGTACTGATAAAAGCTGCGGCAACTCGGACCGTGATGAAACTCGGACCGTTAGACAGTAATGCCTGGTCTTATCCTGATAGATGATGAGAATCGCACCCTGAGAGAAGCAGTGACTCAGCTTGCGCAATACACTTACAGGTCATTTCACTAGTTGAAGTTTCTCATTTTTATCGCGTGGAATAGCCTTCTTTGACTAATTTCATAACGCGTATTTATCTATTGCCTAAGTGGAGATTCCATCATACGATATCAATGCTGATGAGAAATTTATGCTCAGAAATCTACCTCCAATGGGAGTCTGACAGTCAAACAGTAGGACAGAGTGGCCCAAATAGCTCAATGGGAACGTCTCTGACGCACGCCTGGATCTCAGTTTCGTCGAGGTTGCAGACAAGTCTTGTTGGCGAATACTAACAGGTGCGAAACCTAGGTCCAGGGCTTCCTGTCGTTCACCTCCATCCAAGTGATAGAGTGAAATACAATGCAAGAAACGCATTCACGATGACAGAAATGGTGTCAGTTGACAAATGCTATATACAGGCGCTATATGTTTGAGCTAAAATTTCGTCAGCAACCAACCCATTTGTGATGATACAACTTCATAACAAGAGTTAGATAATCAACACATTTGACCACTTCACTCCCCATCGTCAAAAATAGGAATTAGAGAAAAACAACTTCTGAAGGATCATCTTATAATTGGTAGATGAAAATCTCAGGCTGAATATACTTTGATTTCTGCTTATAATATACAGAGAACTCAACATTTTGCCAGAGTTTCCACCAAAAGATATAATGTCATCTGTAAACTTCAAACCAACCAAGTGCTCATCTCGGAGTAAATCAATCCTTGAAAAGTAGGAGATACTTAGGGGTATACCCATTAGTATATCTAGAACAAAGTTGAACTGCGATGATGATCGTGAGCATACTTGGTGAAAACCACTAGTTCTCACTGATTTAGATGACTAATCGTTGGAAACCCTGACACAACTCCATGATTTGGAGTATAGAGTCTGGATGAGTGCCGCATACTTACTTGGTAATCCCTTCACAGTCAGACATCAGGGCAATACCTCACGGCGACAGAGTTGAATAACGCCTTCAGATCAAGAAATAGGGCAAGTGTCGGCCACCAATAACTATGTCTGTGTTCCTAAAACTGACGAAGTGAATTCGAGCTCCAATCAAGCGTCGGATAAATATAGACCTTTGAATGATAGTTAAAATGACAACCACATACCATGTAGTTGTCAAAAAGAGACTTCCCTCTCTTCAAGTAGGCTAGAATGATAAGAGATAAAGACCAGTTTGACCGGTTTACCTACTATTTATATACACTGCCAACTCTCCCCATTATTCTAATCAGTAAGTTACAGCTCCATCTAAAAAATACAGATGACTAGCCGTTAGGTTCTCCTTTTTTGCATTGTTTCAGGTTGAAAACGGTCTCCTCAATTTCGCGGACGGCTGGGGGATCAAAATCCTCATTTACATTAAGCTCGGGCTGGATTTTGAGCAGCTGAACTGTTGCTGTGGGCCAGTGGAACTGTATTTCAAAGTGTTTCACTTAACATTCTTATCGCTTCTCTTAAGAGATTATCAGGGTACTATCCACTGTTGCGATGGTCTCAACAATCAACGTTTTCTTGCTGAGTATCGGTTAATATTTATGGCATCTCCCACCACTGCTGGCGATCACATCGAAGACCCTTCTTGAATCAGTCAGTTCGGATGATGCTGTGGAAATCGAGTTACTTTTGGTAACCTTTGATTGTAGGTCACCAAATGTTTTCACAATTGTTTCTTCTGCAGATGGACTATCATGTTAGGTTTTCCCAGGATAAAGATTCCTGTTACACTCAAACAGATGCTTAGCTATCTATTCCCTTATTATTATTATTATTATTATTTGTCCTTTGGGTTTCTAGTAGAACGTAGGGCTGAAGTAGCCTGTCAACATTTCACTCTCTTCGCTGCAGTCCCCCTAGACTGGCTCCAGGACTGTCCATAAGCTTTCATTTCTTCCGCACACTATCTTCTCTATGTCACACACGGACGCCCAACTCGTCGTTTCCCATGCGGGTCCCACTCAACGGCCTGGCTTAGCCTAACGCGTGATGTCCCCAACCAGTCATCTCAGTGTATGCCAAATCCATCTCCACTTTCTTCTCCTGAATATTTGTTGGGTGATAGGTTCCTGCTTCGTTGGTGTGTTGCCACACCAGAGTTCCTCCTCGCTTATTTTTATTATTCTGGCCATCTGATCTTCAGTATCTAGTGAGCGTAGGCGCCAGCTGTTCATGCATGTCTGCAGTTTGTTGGAAATGCTTTTTGTAACGTGCCCAGTCTCCTAACCATCACATAGAAATATTGACTTGACTGACATTGGTGTTGAAAATATGGATCTTGTTCCTCATGCAGAGTGCAGTAGATCAAGTTTGTCTTGCTGCCTTTTGCGATCCTGCTTGGCTTTGACATCCTCATCTGTGAATGTGTCGCCACTTGTAGGTAGGTGAAAGCGAGAACTTCCTTCAGATTTCTCCCGTTCTTGGTGCTTGCTGTTATTGTTGGTGGTAATGGTTAGGTGTCTTCATCACTTCTGTCTTCTCTGCGTTCACCTGAAGAAAGTCCCGTCTTTCTTGGCTGCCCTGCCTCTTCTGCCAAATTGTTGGTTTTCGCCTGTAGACCTTCAACTTTCTGCGACATATAATATTGGACATAACTCATCATCGGCGAAATTTAAATCTTCTAGGGTCTTTTCACCGGTCCAATAGGGCATACAAAGTATTCGCTACTATTGCGAATGTTGTACATCACTTTGTCACTGAAGAGGAGCCAATTTTATGTTGTTTATTCCTGTCTCATAAATCCCGAAAACTCCATTATGAGAAAACTACACGTATAACACATACAAACATGCACAACAAATTGATGTGTAAAATGAAATTAACTTAGACTACGAAACATGCTCATTGAGTCATAGAGAAGAGATAATTCAGTGAAGAAAATTTTGTTTTTCGATGATATCCTTCTTCTAAAGCTGTACAATCGTATTCCTGTAAATACCATAAACATATAACAGCCTATTATAAAACAATAGGGTATAATTACATCATTAACCTAGTGCTAAAATCAACCCGAATCAAGAATGCAAAGTAGTTGCCTAATACATACACTGAGACAATAGAAATATTGAGGAAGGCAAGGAGTTTGACAAGGTGAAAATTGTTGGTAGATAAGAAACTCAAATATTGAGTGTCCACTTGACAACAGATAGGTGTAAAGAAGGTGAAGAATAAGACAAGGGTCATAATCAAGGTGATAATAACAGTAAACTAATTAATTATAATGAAATCGAAGACATTATGAAAGTGTTAAAGACCATGGTAAGATGAGAGATTGAACATACTTCTCTTGCATGCAGAGATCAGGTTTGAATTGATGAATTGCCAGTGCCTCCATTGTGCACAACTATCGAAGGTGTACTCATTTTCAACTATTCCATCTGACACGATAAATGACATTGAAGGAGGATTCTGATCTAGCTTTATGTATCCAGAGTTGATCAAATGTTCAAGAATTGAACTGTTAATTGATTTACATTCTCCCCTCGACAACTATGCAGGATAGTGTTCCGAGATACGTTTGGAAAGTGTGCGCTTTGTGCCGCCCATATAACGTATCTCGGAGCACTATCCTGCATGGTTGTCGAGGGGGAATGTAAATCAAATAACAGTTCAATTCTTGAACATTTGGTCAACTATGGACACATAAAGTTAGACCAGAATCCTCCTTCAATGTCATTTATCGTGTCAGATGGAATGGTTGAAAAGGACTACGCCTTCGATAGTTGTGCACAACGGAGGCTCTGTCAATTCATCAATTCAAGCCTGATCTCTGCATGCAAAGGAAGTATGTTCAATCTCTCATCTTACCATGGTCTTTAACACTTTCATAATGTCTTCGATTTCATTATAATTAATTAGTTTACTGTTATTATCACCTTGATTATGACCCTTGTCTCATTCTTCACCATCTTTACATCTATCTACTGTCAAGTGGACACTCAATATTTGAGTTTCTTATCTACCAACAATTTTCACCTTGTCAAACTCCTTGCCTTCCTCAATATTTCTATTGTCTCAGTGTATGTATTAGGCAACTACTTTGCATTCTTGATTCGGGTTGATTTTAGCACTAGGTTAATGATGTAATTATATCCTATTGTTTTATAATAGACTATTATATGTTTATGATACATACCTGAATATGATTTTACAATTTTAGAAGAAGGATATCATCGAAAAACAAAATTTTCTTCACTGAATTATCTCTTCTCTATGAAATTAACTTACTTGAACAACGCAGCTACCATTTTAGCTTTATGCATTGCTAGATAAAATACGGCTGCTTCCATTGGATCCTTAGTTGATTGAAATGCTGTACGAGCCATCTACAAAAATACAGAGAAATAAATTCATATTCTCTTATTGTTTCCCCCCTTTTATTGTTTACTTATCATTCTATATACATTCTCATATGATTATCAGAAATCCAGTCGCATAATTAATGATAAGGAAAAATGAATTTTAATTATACAAGTGTAAAAAGTAATTGGATATTATTCAAAAAGTGATAATAAAAATGAGATAATGTACAAAAGAGGGCTAACAAAGCGAAACAACTCATGAGAAGTAGGATTGAAAGGCTAAAAACTACTGTTATGTACCCCTAATTTTGCATAACTTTGACCTGACATTTGCTAAAAACCTTGAAACAAGTTATCAGAGCTGTTTTTTCATTGCTCTGAAGGTTGAACTCTGATTGGTTGTTAACTCTTTTAACCTAGATGTTGGTGGTGTCGTCAAGGTCATTTAGAATGTGTATATATTCAGCCTTGCTCTCAAGTGTTTTGACTGTTATGGAGACAGTGAATAGCTCTCTATCAACTGTCCTTCTTCATGTGTAGGTGGTATTGCTGTGTTGTGGTAGGTGACGTTCTGATTAGCTATTAGAGTTGATTCCTTAGCGCTCTAGGTTCAGATCGCTCAAAGACTGTTAGGTAGTACTACAGATTATACCAAATAATGTTCTTCATTTTCAATAATTATCTAGCCAAAATCAAACTATGCTGAAAAATAAAGATGGATAGTGGCTAGCAATGGAATCTAGGAGGCGCATTTCGTCCTATTCGGGACTCATCAGCTAGATTTACCTGCCTTCCAGTGATTGATGTTGTTCCCATCGTGATTCGGACTCGGGACCAATCGCTTCAAACGCCAGAGCGTTATTCACTACACCACAGAGCCACGATGGCCATTTCTTGTGCGATTGGTATAGGTTTAGTGTTATTGCTTGTATTATACCGTCGTTGATTGGACCGGATTGATCGGTCTCTATTGGCATATGGGATTCTGAGCGGATGCCTCTATATACCTGTGTAGTTCTAGTTACAGTAAAGATGGATAGTGGCTAGCCGTGGAATCCAGAATACGCATTTCATCCTATCTGGGTCTCACTCACTCTGGCGTTTGAACCGATCGGCTCCGAGTTCGAATTTCGTTGGGAGCAACATCACTCATTGGGAGGTAGGTATATCCAGCTGATGAGTCCCAAATAGGACGAAAAGCGTATCCTGGATGCCACTGCTAGCCACCATCCACCACCTCTAATATCGAGGTATCCGCACAGGAGCCCATATGCCAATAGGAAGTGATCAGTTCGGTTGAAACAACGACGACATAATACAAGCAATTATACTATGATGAAAAGTGTCTGAAAATCAATCTATTCAGTTAGTAAATATCAAAATGGAACACGATATCTCTGCACAATGAATGGCGGGTTATGAAACATTATTAACAGACACAATTGAGAATATGGACAGATACCTATCGTATACATTAGATGATGATGATACAATTTCCTGACATCATTAAAGTTCCTATGGCGGAGGAGGATTACTTTACAATTCAGTGACCATTGAAGATTTGTGAAGAAAACTACATTGGTTATTCATTTTACTTGCAGGCCAATTAATGTCGTGAATTGACAGGAGTTGGAAATATAGATCGTCAGATTTTCATCCAGGATCTCAATGATAACGTGGTGGCCACAGATGGTCCTAGATCCAACCCCTGGCGGGTTGGATAATGGATGCGCAATACTGAGGAAACCTATGCTAGGACAAAACGACTATCCAGTACTCCTAGGTTTCTAATGTTTCTCCAGCTGTTGTCAGTCCGTGATGAATACTAACTTAAAACTAATAAACATCCCTACAAACCCTCGAATTTTAGTGAGGTGGGATTTAAGATGAACCAATAGACATCAACTCAATGCAACTACACACCCCGCCTCCATCCTACAACCAAACATACAGCCAGTAAATAACGAACAGCGTAGAAGTCAGTCGGAAGGCATACGTAGAATATGTAAAAAGACTCATTTTACTGAATACTGGTGCTAAACATCCCCTCACTCACATTACTAGACACCTTAGGATTACCTGAATGAAGTTTCTATTGAATGTTAATAATCTGATTGCCAGTGTACACACTCAAAATTATTCTATTACACAGACTAATTTGAACCGAAATAATGACTGCTAATATCAATCATAGTATATAAAGTCAACATAGCAACATACCAGAGACCAGCAGTAGAACAAGCCTATAAGTGAGAAAAATTCTCAGCTTAAAAATAAACAAGCTCTTTGTATACACATACATAGAAATAATTCACATAGATTTACCTTTTCAGCACAACGAATAAGTAGACTTTCACTTCTTATCCACCAACCACAACCATATCTTTTAAAATCAGGCCAATTCAACTCTGAAGTATCATTGTTAATACCTATCGATGGATTGGTAACAATTGGTAAACATGATAGAAGCTCCTCTTCCGAGTCAGAATGATAAGCCCATACTAAACTGGAAGTAGTTAAACCAGATGCCTATAATGAAGAGAAATAAGTATGCTTTGTTGAATTAAAATAATTGGTATTTCCTGGTAAGTCACAAAAAAGGATACAAAAAGCCGTCATAATAAAGTGTAGTCCTAAAAACAAGCCAACGGCTTCTGGGTTAACGGGACCTGCACTATACCTACTGAGCTAAAACATTTTGCCAACTAACGACATCTATGGGGCCACCACGATATCCCACTGTCTATTTAGGATCGAGTGTATTGTGTTCTAGTCCGTTTTGTTCTACACTATGACTATTGAAGGTAAAAGACATGCGAAAGCCTAGGATGTTTGGGCCATTGTTGTCTTCATAACATAGGCCATGTTTCGTAACGTCACAACATCAGTAACGCAGAAGTCAGGAGTAGACTTTTAAGCAGGAGAGTTAAGACAGTTGATGCAGTTGTGAAACTTCACACACAATGTTGGCCGAAGTAAGTCCAGTTTGGAAAAAAGCTCGAGGTGGCCAGACAAAACAAAGGTATCAACGCATGAAGGAAGTCCTTGACTGTTCGTTTGAGCCATGTAGGAAGATGCAGACTAACCGGTTGGAGTCCGCCAGACGAGAGAAACCAACTGGTCAAAGACTGTAGGTGACAGTGGTGCAGATGCATACATACATTATCCTCTTCTTAACGACTATACTTAATCTTATCATCTTCTCCTTTACTACTTCTTTTAACTGAGTATTGCTTTTTTTCGCCATCTTCCATTTCATTGCTGATGTGAGATAAGGTGGAGCAACTTGGACGGTTAGGCAGTAATCCCTTACGCTATGTTGATCTTGATGATGATGGTGAAATTCAATTCAATAAGCAAGGGTCTTGCCTGACCAGCACCCATGTGAATCCATGATACGCCAATTTCTGTTCATCTCAATAAGACTGGCTGTTCAACCAGATCTCATCCTAATCCAAAACGAGCTAAATCAGAGAGAGAAAGAAAGAAAAAGACAGCGGAATACTAATCGTCAATCAGACTATTACAGTAAGCGATAGTTTGGCGAACTGGTATCAATTTGATCCCATTTTGGACTCGTCAGCTTTGTGTCACTGCGCAATTACCTTCCTTGGATGTCATATAACGAAACAGCTATATAGTTAGTTAGTTGGAGGCAACCGACAGGAACTCCTACTCAACCTAGTTTTCGTGCTTTGACTTTTCACACAGCAAAGTGTATCTATAACGTCGACGTAAATGATATTCAGTCGTGCTCTATCAACACTGGAAGCGTTTTGCGCAATTTCAATCTCAATAGGCAATAGACCCACCTCGAACCATCAGTAAATGAAATCAGAAATCCTCCACTCATGTACCAGTCACCTTTTCATGACAATATTACTCTCTTCAAATAATAATAAAAACCTCACAAAATCAATAATATACTACAAGTGACCTCCAATATCAGTGACAAGCGTTTATCAATGCACTAGATAATTGATGCTGTTACTTGTATCATCCCCTAGTGGAGTGCACCGAATTTACCGGTCTCTATTGGTATATGGGCTCCTGCGTGGATGCCTCAACAACAGAATAATACAAGCAGCAACATCAAAACTATACTCATCGCACAAGAAGTGGCTATCGTGACTCAGTAGTCTAATGGGTACGGCTCTGGCATTTCAAATGATCGGTACTGAGTTTAAGTCCTCGTGGAAACAATAGTGCTCACTGGGAGGCAAGTACATCTAGCTGATGAGTCTCAAATGAGAGGAAACGCACGTCCTAGATTCTAATGCTAGCCACTATCTATCATTAATGTCCTAGAAAAGTGTTTGCTTTTTCAATACTCTGTGTATGATATTCTTTCTGATAAAGTGCCAAATATCGAACAAACAGGCTTAATACCATTGGTATAGATTTTTCGTTAGGGATGCCATACATTACGATCCAGAAAAAGATTAAAGAGAATATGAGAAATAGTGATAAACTTCGTACCACTTAGATACACTTCCCACTTCGATAGTTCTCAAATGAATGCAGAATCCTTATTGAATCGTATTTAACTGAGCCATTCCATTCATCATCTATGGCAGCCTGGTTAAACACTAGGCTACCATCGAATATTATTGTATTTTTTTTTAATTTCAATTGTTTTATTCTTCTGAATATCTTTTAATAATATCCAAGACTCTCAGACAAATCACGCCGATAAGAAATGAACTTGGAAATACACGAAAGATACAGCTGTTATTGTCGTTGTTGTCGATGTTCTTCATTATTATTATTATTATTACAGTTATTATTATCATTGTTATTACTATTATTATTATTATTATTGTTGTTGTTGTTACTATTATTATTGTTACTATTATTATTATTATTGCTATCATTATTATCAGCACTGTTATTATTATTATTATTTTGAGGGGGTTGTGGAGATTTGGAAATATTTCAAGTTGTTATTCATCGAAGACTAACATCAGTTGGAGGAACAAAGGAAACCTGGGACCACTGGACAGCTGTTTCGTTCTAGTGTGGGACTCCTGATGTCAGTCCTCGATGAATAACAACTTGAAATATTTCCAAATCTCCACAACCCCCTCAAAAAATTTAATTAAACTAGTACTCGTTGGTGACTAGCTTCGAGAAGTATTCCCGAAGTTCCAATGACAAGTCGTGACCGGTGGAGTCAAAGCCTGATGGCCGTGAGGACAAATACTCAACGATGACATTGGGTGGCGGTTTGCGCTATATCGTGAGCTAACAGAAGTTGGAAATATGGAGCATTGGATTCTGACCCAGTGGCTCAATGGTAACGCGCTGGCCGCAGAACCTGAAGGTCGCGGGTTCGATCCCTGCTGGTGGGGTGTGGTCGTGGGTGCGCACTGCTGAGGAGTCCCATACTAGGACGAAACAGCTGTCCAGTGCTCCCAGGTTTCCCTTCTTCCTCCAACTGATGTCAGTCTTCGATGGATAACAACTTGAATTATTATTATTATTATTATTATTATTATTATTATTATTATTATTATTATTATGGGAGTACCGAGATGTAGTATGTCATATCAGTGATACGGGGATAGAGAGAAAAGATTAGTCTGGAAGGAGACCAATCAAAATGTAGTTTATGTCCTCACATCTACAGTCAATAGATAGACAGACAGATAGACGGTGAATTAGCCAATCAGCAGCATTATTTTAAACAGGCAACTGTATATATAAGATATTTTCCATCCTTCATATTTTCGGTCCTTCAACCCTGACACACGTCAGAATCACAACAGTCAGTTATCACTAAAATGCAGTAGGATATTTTGTTTATTTGTTGACGGCTTCATCAACATATCCCTGAATGAAAGACGAATCCTTTCCTTATACTGTCTCTTGTTTGATTGAAAAACAACTAATCTCACTGGAAAATCCAATCAAATGGTATGTAAGAGACATTGTACACTTGTTCCCTGCTAATCTGCAAATCTTCTACAGTACACCCTGAAATGATACCAAGCCTAAGGATGTCAGGCCTCAAGAAAAACATAGACAAATCCAAACCAAAGCGTTATAAACTCAGCAACTTTGTGCAAGCCCATATAATAGGCAATGAGTCAGATCTGTTGTATGAGAGCTGCCTGGCTGCGAAGACCTCAGTAGGTGGAGAGGGCTTCCAGCCCTATACCAATTAGCCAAACTTTTGGTTTCCATCCGATGACTGAAATTTTTCAGTTCCAATCAATCAATAAGACGGTGCAAAGATCGTTTCATAACAGACAGACAGAATCAACACAAATACATCATCTCAAATTACAACATTTCACAGAAGTATACAATGAACAGATGGATAGAAAAGGAGTGATATCAAAGTAGAAAAGTAGTATGAAAGAATAGACATTCTGAAGATAAAGCTTAGTGTTGTCAAAGATTGAATTCATCTGCACTAAAGTCATCGATTTTCAAACATGTCACCAACAGACCTTAACCACTAATCTCTATCGTCTCGACGACACCACATCTCCCCACACGGCTCAAACCAACAGTTATCGACTATTGCCACGTCTTAGTCCGACCACCATCACTATGATCTAAGATGACACGTTAAGGTAGACGACGGCTAAGCAGAAGGCATCGATCTTCAACGCTGCATTCCGGTATCAATAACTTCAAATGTCTCAAAAACACACTTAACAACTGGTAGTCATAATCCCACATGGAAACTATCCACTGTAAAAATGAAAACACTAATTGAAACTTACAAGTAATTGAGCTCGACGTCCAGGTGGTAGTGTTTTACTTAAATACGAGTAAAGTTGAACAGTTAGAAGAAATCGAAGACCACATTCATCCAAACCTTAACAGGACAGGGGGGAAAATCGATGCCAATTATTTTAACTCAACGAGAATATTATCATAAAAAAAGGTCAGATTTATTCTTTGTAATAATGACAATGATGTCTAGCCTGCTACCGAAACGTCCGCTAGTCGAAATTCCAGTCCAAAGAATAAAAATAGCCTAAACAAACCGTAACTAAGAGTTCATGAATAAAATCCCATCCTCTAAGTATGAATTTGATATGTTTAAAGCTACTCTGATTGATTGCTACTATCAGTTTAAGAACAACAAACAGCTTATTCACTAAGAATCCCCGACAGGTTATTTAAAAGCTCAGAAAAGATGATAATTTAATTATCACCAAACGCTTTAAGGAATCTGGTACTGTTATCATGAATAAATGTGAATATATAAAAAAGATGAACCTTTTTGTTAGTGATGAAACAAACTTCCATAAGTTAAGAGACTGTAAAAACACTACAGAAGTAATACGATGTCAACTAAGACTCTGAGGACAATGATGGAATAGAACTTGATCTCTAAGTTTACATTTGGTACATATATACCTCAACTTTATGGATTTCACAAGCCTGGAATTCCACTACGTCCAATTCTAAATATGGTCAATTCTCCATATCACTCAACAGCATAATGGTTAGTAAGAGCGCTAAAGATTCAGGGTAAAAGATGTATTCAGCCTTGTAAAACACCTCGAAAACAGCAACGTTAGAGACAAGATGATGATTTCATTGGATATAACATCATTATTCACCAATATGCTGTTTATAGAAACAGTCAACCACATTTGTGATGAATTAAGAGAATGACAGATAGACGTAAGAATTCCACCGGAAAGAGTTAAAGAATAACTACTAAAATCTACCATGATTGTTCACGAATTATATAGACAAGTAAATGGGGTTGTAGTGGGCACTTATTTGGCTCCTATGCTAGCGGAAATCTTTTTCACTAAACTTGAAAATGCACCACTTAGGGGGGACAAACTAGACTATTATTCCCGGTATATGGATGATAAGTTCATCATTTATAAGAATGGCTACAATAAAGATGATCTCTTGAATACCTTCAATAAAGATCAATCAACTATGAAATTGACCTGTGAGAAAGAACAAGGGAACATATATTCTGATGACTCCTATTGAAGAAGAAACGAATTTTAGCTGAAGATAACATTTCAGCAAAATGGTTATCCACCAAAATTCATAGATAAAAACATGTTTCAAAAGTGATATTACTTCCGATATTTTAACATATGGATTACGTAGATTAATTAAAACGTTTTGTCAGCTTCTCAACAAAAACCATTGCTCCTGTTGAGCTAGTTACATACATTATAATAAAATTAGTTCTGAAATATGTTGTGATGTATTAGCGCTATACATTTCGAACAATCTGATCCCCCACACATGGACTTGTCGAACTATTTATATGAAAATTTACGAAAAGGTCAATGAAGTTAATAGGAAACATAGGAATAGGAAGGGATAGAAAAGGAAAACCTTATTCTTGGTATGAAAATTAAAATCAATACTACCAAGGTAGGTTCAACGTGAGTACAAATTATTTTTGTATACACACAGCAGGGTGTTTGAATTTACGGATGGCAGGAGCTTCAATAAATTTAAGCACTCGGCTGTGACCACTTTTATGTAGTACTTTAAAGGCTGTTTTCATGTCTATCCTATGGTTAGTTTCTAGTATATGTATAGCAATAGACGAAGATGGATGTTTGTCAGCTACACTTATCGAATCTGTTGAGGTCATTTATCTTTGTAGCCACTTAGGTACATGTTCAACCTTCCTTAACTGCATATCACGATTACTCCTCCCTATGTATGTGTGTCCACACATACAGGGACTTTATCTTCTCTACAATGATGACCTTGGCTTTATAATATGTTTTATAGATGGCCGATCAAAGTCTTGTCCTCACAACAAAGCTGTATAAATCACCTCTAAATGGTAATGAGATGTAGACATTTCTCTTAGCAATGAAACACTGTGTACTTTTCAATGGTACATAACTTTTGCACCTGTAGATAAATCTCAACGGGTATCCATTCTATGTCAGTGTTGTCGTCAGTAAGTCGGTCTCTTCCTCCCTGGTGTCATCGGTGCAGATACGGTTTATCCTGTTGAATAAGCATCTAACTAAACCACGTTTATATTGGACTGAGCAACAGCTATGGAAATTAAGATATTGCCCTGTCCATGTAGGTTTCTTATAGATCGACCTCCTGATCTAGCCATCCTCCCGTCGACTGAGCAATACGTCTAGGAACGGTAGCTGGTTGTTCGTCTCTTCTTCACAAGTCAGGCTAATGTGATTCTGAGCCGTGTTCATTTTCTGTAGCAGGCACATTGCATCATCAGGCTTTTCACATATAATGACTATATCATCAACTTATCTCTTATAAAGTGAAATCCTTCAGATAATCTTCGTCTTCTCATTACGCTGTTTAAATTTATCAAAGGGACCAGTTGCTTTAAAATTAGTTCTATCCAAACGCGAATGTGAATATATGTACCAATTTACTGAGGGAAAAGAATGAAAAAAGCATCAACATTTCAATTCTCTCTCATCTAGTAGACACTACATATTAGATCAAGGTAGGTTTTGCCTTTTCTGTGATATACCCTCTAGAAATGGACAACTATGCATCTTATCCATAAACGAAATCATAGGTACAAATGAAAGAAAACCTTATCTGTATGTCTAGAAGAAATATGTACATCAAATTTGTTTACTTTGGACTATAATGTGATGAATACGTTCTTCATGAAATTTCCCACAACAAATTACACATTTTCACCTGCAGCCCTCTGCTTCTATATTATCATCACTTTCATGAACATTCATTTTCTTATGTTATTAGTTTTACGCCCTTCTCCCCAATTAACACCACAACCTGTAGTAGTTTTCAATTGTGACGTAATACTTCACATCTGTTATTCTCTATTTTGTTAGAGTATTCACATGATTTTCATTCCACTTGAACATAACTCATCACTAGATTATTATTATTATTATTATTATTATTTGACCCTTGATAGATAAATACACAAACACACACACACACATACATGATCTAGTAAACGTGTAGCTGAACATTACCCCGTTTGGTTTATCAAACATGACCAAAAGAAAACGACTTCATCCATATATGAACATCTAGTAGAATTAGGTGGTTCACCACCTCGAAATTCATCCATTTATGATCATTTACAAAGTTCAGATGAACTACTCCAAAGGTTCACGTTTCTATCATTCATGCATAGACCCGAAACATTAGCTCTATACATGAACAAAAACCGAAATTTTGCATTCAAAAACTGTTTGTGAAACCACACTCTCGACCTTGGCCTTAACAATTCCTTGTCAATTTCATTTCACTTCATTTTGGTATACTTCTCTTTTATCATCATGAACATTATCACCAATTTTTTACTTCATTGACAACATGCTCGGTCGCGGCCTGAATAGCTCAGTGGTAAAGACGCTGATGACAACACTGGGTGACATGGGTTCGAAACTCAGGCGGGACATCGATTCCGTCCAGGTTGCAGATACACCTTGCTGACGAGTGCCAAAAAGCACAAAACCCAAATTCACGGCTTCCTGCTGATTGTCTACAACCAACTAACATTTGACCTATATTTCACTATTTCATATGGATTCAGCTAAATTAGCTATATTATCAACGTTTTACAGTTCTTTGACAGCACGTGTCTATTATCTTGCTATCACTTGCTATCAATTCATCCCTCCTTATTCAATGACCCATTTTCTATTTCTTCCACTTGAACAAATACCACCACCTACACCTATTGTATATTTTGCATATTCACTGAACAACTCATCTCAGTGCAAATATCTATCATTCTACGACTGTACATCTTGATAATGAAATCGTTGAAAAGAAATGCTTCTTCTTCACTGATACATGTCTTGTTCTTATTCACGAATAAATGGGTATATTTCGTCAGAATAATTATCTGTAGATTTTGTTGTCACATTAAACATTCTTTGGTGAATCCAACTATTGAAAAACCAAGTTCGATGTACTATTATTTTTTCGCTCTATTGATTTTCATTGTTATTCGGCCTTTAAGTCAGCCTTTCTACCTAACCCCTAGCTATTTTCTCAACCCTTATCTTCATGAGTTTTTATATAAATACCTATGACAAGTACGTGTGTGTGTGTGTGATCAGATAGTTCGAAATGTGTTGCACAAATGCATATTACACAATTCAGACAATTTACGTCTTCGTATTGTTTTGTTGAAGTTTATAAAGGGAACTAATTGTTTTAAAATATGGATAGAAAATTTAAACGTTATGCAGGTTTCTTTTAGTACAACAAGGTTAGTAGACACAACTACTGTAAATAAAACAAGGATAAATAGAGTAATATTAAATCTTGAAACAAAATTTCAGTGATTCAACTTGTAACATTCATAACACTTGGAGGGGGTTCATTGATCTATGAGATAACTTTCAGCTTATGAGTCACAAATTCTAATCCCGCTCGATCTAACGAGGTTTAAGCAGTCAAGTATTATCATAGACCCTATCATACAAGAGATGTGATACACTACCTACACAAGTAAGAAAGTAAATACAACTTGATGGTAAGTATTTCAAAGATGATTACGTATATATATCTGGTAACTGTGATAGATTCCAAGCTACACCATGGAAGATCTTTCAATAATACAATCCTAAATATCTCAAGGATTTGGTCCTTGACAAATGGATAAGTGATGTGTGCATACAATCAAAATCGCTGATCCCCTAACTGTAAGAGAGAGATATAGCTCAAAATTCATCTCACTGACCCAGATACATCCATACAAGAGCTCCATCTTTTTATCATAATATCAAATTTCATTATTGTTCCATTCTAATACTGATATTAGCTAAGATCAACATTCAGTGAGATGTAATTACCTCTAAGTTAACCTCTAACCTAATAACAACTCAAGTGTAAAAAGATGACTAATCTGTGAATGACTTGCATACTGAACAGTTTATCATAGTTGTGTTTTCAACTATTGCCCAACTGTGTTGTCAACAGAGTTTCCGTTGGAAATCACCCCCTTTAGCATAGATCTGAGGTATTTTCTCTGTCATAATAGTGTCATAAATGAGTAGTTGGAAACTATTTTTAAACTGAGCTGAAGATTTCATCGGTCAACCAGACTAGAATGATTTGACCAACTTGCCTCTATCAGCTGAATTTGTCGATACACACCACTTAGCTTTAAATGGGTAAAATTTCCTTTTTGATAAAAAGATTTTACTTGGCATCTTTTAGGACACCGTATTTATATACCATCGACATGATAATGGACCTGCAACCCACACATTTCACATAGGAACCCTAAGGTCATGAGTTCGATCCCTGGAGAGGCGGGGTGCGCATCGCTCAAGAGTCCCATACTAGTCGGACGAAACAGCTGCCTACTACTTCAAGGTTTCCAATGTTCCTCCAACTGATGTCAGTTCATGATGAATACCAACTTGAGAAGTCACTAAAACCCCACTAATTTCCAAACTAAACTGACCCAGTGATCATTGGTGACTAAGTTCGAGAGGTGATTCCTGAAGTTTCAATGAGAAGTCATCACTAGAGGGGCAAACCGTGGTGACCGTGAGAACAAATACTCAATGATGACATTGGGTAGTGGTCGCGCTATGTCGTGCACTGATGGGAGTTGAAAATATGGACGGCTGGATTCCCACCCAGTGGCTCAATGATAACGTGATAACGTCACGGGACCTGAAGGCTCTGTATCCGAGCCCTGACGGGGTGGGTTGTGGATGCGCATAGCTAAGGAGTCCCATACAAGTTGGACGAAGCAGCTTTCCAGTTCTCTCAGGTTTCCAATGTTTCTCCAACTGATGTCATTTCCATGATGAATACCAACCTGCAATCAACAAATAAATCCCCACAAACCTCCGGAATGAGCCAGATATAGAATCGTATACCAGACTATTTAGGGTATATTAGTTCTGTGAAGGGTTGACGGTGCGAAGTGACTGTGTAAAAGAAAAACGCTAATCGAGGCAGTCACTGGATATATGACCCAAAACCTGTAACTCCATCACTTAGGTTAACAAAAGTCACCTTTACTAACCTTCTAACCAACATATGATGAAAACCAAAATGCGTCACTAACCACGAAGTTTAAACTAGAGAACTGACAAAAGGACTATCCCATTCTGTATGTGGAACGACTCCAAGATCATGACTAGATTATTGTAGCCTTTTGGAATTGCTGCATTTCATAGACCCACAAAATTTTTTCAGTCTCTGTTATGATGGTCAAAAGATACAAAAGTGAAAGGAAGATAAACCAAACGTGGTCTATAAAATAAACCGCAGAAACTGAAAAAAAAAACAACGCTACAGAGTAGTCACCCTCTTCGTATCCATCTACATGAACATCGACTAGCTGTGAAGCGTCATGATATATCTCCCTTTATATCAAGGCATATAGACGATTTCGGACAGGAATTTGACTAGGAAAATCTTGGATATAGGAAATAACAAAGAATATCAGATAATGTTTGGTATTCAGGTCAGTCAGTGATGAACAAATATATTGATGCTGAGAAAATCTATGAACCAATAAGAAATCTCAAGAAGGTCAGATTTCAGGTCATCAAGATAACCAATCAAAATAAATGTGGAGACAATGACAAGACATTGGCAGAAACAACCAATTACATACAAGGTCATCAAGACAAGATAATAAATAAATTTGGGATAAAACCTTATCGGTGACTACTTTCTGAAGTTTATGCTGATGATGTTGTCTAGATTGACAATGAAAGTTGCATAATTAAACAATTCAGCTGAAAGAAATCGACTCTATGAAAAATGGTAATTTATGCATAGAACAAAAGACAATAAAATATCTTAACTAACCTTGTTTTGAACCATCTTTAATTGATGCTTGTTTTGTTAGTAATGGATAGTGTTTATTATCATAAGATGAATGTGTTCCACTAGCTTCTGATAAACAATCAGTAATATCTGAATGTGTTTTAGCCATTAAATCAGCTATACCAAGTAAATACATTTGATCCAATGGTGAAAGACCAGGCAGTTGACGTGTAGATAAACTTTATGATGATTTATTTTGTAAATAAAAAAGAAAAAGAAAAAAAAATAGTTTCAAATAAACGAGAGTGTTTATAGCTAAGAATTAACATGATGAGGGTTTAATGTTCTCTAAATTTAACAATCGGACGTCCATAGTACATCAAATTATCGTCAATGAGCAAACGTTTCACATTGTGTACACAAATATACTGTAGAAGATTATGCTTAACTAACGTTGTAAACATTTAACCAATGAACTTCTATCGTTAATAGTATCATCTTATACGGATTAATCTAGATATACAACCTAATGTAACCGGAGATAAATAATGGTCTAAATGGATCCATAGCTTCAATACTGACTGATGTATACTAAAATCTTTGAGGGAAAATAAATTTCATTTACTTTTTTTTACGAATTTGAATTGCTGAAGAATCATAGCAAGTACGAAACTCAAGTTTAGAGTTTCCGACTGATTCTTTTGTATCCTATCCGAGAATAGCTGATATCCAGAGTAATCGAACAGGCATAACTGAACTTATACACACACAAACACAAAGAGAGGGTGAAAACGAGCAAACTCGAAGCATCAGACGAGTATACAGTTGATAGGTAGACATAAAATCCTAAATAAATAAAATAATATATCATGATAAATTGGTTGGTTGTGGCTAACAGAAGGGTCCAGGACGCGAGTCTCATCCTATTTGAGACTCGTCAGCTGGATGTACCTGAACCCCAGTGATATTGCTCCCATCGGGACTCGAACCCCGTACGCCAAGGCGTTATCCACAATGCCACGGAGGAATAATAACCACGATAGCCACAATGGAGAACAACGAGTATGTCAATAAATAGTAATAAAATAATATATCGTTTATAATAATGATTAATAACAATAGTATTAATACATAATACACATACTGATCAGCAAGTGAACGAGCATCTTCTTCAGAGAATTGAATACTTCGAGCTAATGCTGCCGGTTTTAATGACCATATACTAAAACCATACAGTTGTGTTATTTTCTCCGTCGAATGATTCAGTAGTGATTGGTGTTTAGATTGCTTGAAATTTCTTGATGAATCGCCTTCATCAACCTCTTCATCAAGGTTCCGATTAAAATCATCATCCTAATCAGAATATATATATAAATACACAATTGGATAGGGTTTAACGTAGTTTTATGGTGTGTTTTAATACTGAAAATACAATAAACTCAAGTTCATTTTAAGGTTTTTACTATCATAGATCAACACTAGTCAGTAAAGTGCATGACTGCTGTTAGCAGACGGGCTCCTAGACAGTAATCTCGATACTGTCGGATATTCGTTATATTGTAATTCATGTTGCTGAGTAGGGGTGGGATAGAGTGTATGGTAGGTTCTGTTTGGGATTGATCAGCAAGATGTACCTGCACCGCAGAGTGATTTTGTTGTTCCCAGTGGGACTCAAAACCTAAGACCTATCGCTTAAAATGCCAAAGCAATTCCGTCCTGTTAAGTAACAGGAAATTACAAGTAGGTGACTATCGTGCCACAGTAGCCTAGTGGATAACATTTTGGTGTTTGAAGCGACGGGTACTTAGTTCGGGTCCCAGCGGAGTGCAGGTATATCCTACTGACGAGTTCTACATAGAATGAAATGGGCATCCTGGATCCCACTACTAGTCACCAAGATGAATACATGAGTATATCATTATGCACAGTTAAATGATAGACATTCAGACAATACACTGATCAACTGCCAATGTAAACACATTTGAATTAACTAGTAGTATTCATCAGTTCTCCACAAAGATTCATAAATTAGGCTGTACGCTGTTAGAAGACTATTAGATGACTGTTTATGACGCTACCTGGCTCTCTGAATCTATGCAGGCGGAATGGACATAAGAAACTGTAATCCACTCGGTCAAAAGTCGAGTGTCTAAGGCAAATAAACCTTCAACTCACATAAGGTAAAGAAAGAAACAATGTCTATGATAGGTCGATCGCAACATGAATAGCTCAATAATGGCGTCTCTGACAACAACACATCAGTACCATCAACGTTGCAGATACACCCTGCTGATGAGTGACAATAATCAGGAAATCTAGGTGAAGTAGGACTTCCTGCTTTTTCCTTCTAATCATCAAATAAATACATCAAAAGCATACAACCTCTGCAACGTAGTAGTTTACCTTAGAATGGGCACAAGCCGAAATTAATCTACACATTAAACTCACATCATTCCATCTCACAGGGATACCCTCTTTTCAATCATCTGTCTAAAACAAAGATTCTCTTGAGTACATCAGTATGCCATCTATAATAAATATCTGGAAGGAAAACACTAGTTGTTCATGATACGTCAATACCACCTAATGACTACTGAACCATTTATGATCAGGAAATTTGCTTCGTCTCTAAACCTGCAGAAAACAAGGTTGTATCACTAGGTGTCATATAACAAGTGTAGCTGAATGCATGAGTCTACAGGTGATATAACTCAGCTATATTGTGTTTTTGTCCTCAGAGTTGAATCCTTACAAATATAATTGTTAAGTGAATAACTGATAAAAAGTGAAATATAGACAAATATTAATCAGCAGAATACACCCATTTGATCATAAGAAAAGACAAGATGTGGTTTCAGCGAAGACAAATGTTTTCTTATCGATTAAGTCATTTACTGTGCTTTACATTCGTGAATATATGTTACAGTGAATAGAACGTTCCAGAATTGTTTCTAGTCAGGGGTCAAAATATATTGAGTAACTAAAGAAAGTTAACTAGTACACATTTGTGTTTAGAGTGGGAGAATAGACAGGGGCTTATGAAATTAAATGTAATGTATGGTAAAGTAGGAAACTGAACGAAGGGTTATGAAGATAAAATTGCGATTATTTAATACCAGATAAACCTATGAAAGAGTATGAGAATAAACAGGGGATCATGAAAATAGGATTGTAATTATGTAGTGCAGGTTAAATCTATGACAGAGTAGAAAAACGAATACATGTTATTTGTGACAGACAGGGTTTTATAATGGCCATGGCAAAGATAAAGGTTGGATGTGCCTTTTTTGCATGCACAACTCTGGTTTGAACTTTTGGATTGCTTGTGCTTCAGCTATAGATAGATACCTTGATTTTTTTCCTTTCGAGTGGTTTGATCGAACCTTGTAGAGAATTTTGAATGAGCTGTCGTAAGGAGCTAAGTGGTCTAAGTTCACGAGGTGCTTTGTTATCGAACTGAAGATGCATTACCGCTCTCCCTTTGCAAGCCAGGCTGAGTAGTGTTCACGGACACGTTTTACAAGCGGACACATGGTACGGCCGATGTACTCAGCTCCACAAGAGCAAGTAAACTGGTATACACATAGGTGAATGAAGATATTTGGCGATGAAAAAAATTCGTTTGTTGAATCTTGAACTCAAAATAATATTGCTGCAGACATCCTCAAGAAATAACTGTCAAAATACATAAACAGAACATACTTCGCCGACAACTTTCGAATTATTTTCTCATGCAAGAAATGTTTTGATCAATATATGAAAGACAAGCTGACCCATTTGGACCATATCAGTGTGTATACTTGATCTTTACTGGCTCTTGTGGAGCTGAGTACATCAACATACCATAAATCCACTTGTAAAACATGCTTCTAAACACTACATACCTCCCTCCTGAAGGCAGAAAGGAGATGTATCTTCAGTTTACCTTGTGAACTTCGACCACTTAGCTAGCTCCATTCGAGAACTCATTCGAAATCTTCTACACGGGTCAATCAAACCACTCGAAGAGAGTGATATAAAGGCATTTCAGTATAGCTGAAGTGCTAGCCATTCAGAAATTCAAACCAACCTAATATGTTCAAAAAAGGTACGTCCATCCTTTATCTTTCCCGTGGTCAACATAACACCTTCACTGTCATAAATTCATCCTGTATTATGTAATCATATACTTTATCTTCATAATCCCCTGTTTATTTTTTGACTCTAAACCATGATTTGTATTCATGAACCTCCTTTAGTTATCCAATATACTTTGCCACCTAGCTGGAAATAATTCTGGAACGTCCTGCCCACTGTAACATATATTCACAAATGTACAGCATAGTAAATGACTTCGTCAGGAAGAAAACTTTTTCTTCGCTGAAATTACGTCTTGTCATTTCCTATGAAAATATTAATCAAATAAATAAAGTATAAATTTATAGACAGAAACGACTAACTGACAGAATCAACGTAGAACCACGTATATGGGTGCACACTTCACAGAAGTATAAAATGAACAAGTGAATAGCAAAAAGACTGATGATAAAGTAAAAAAGTTGTGTGAGAGAATAAACAATCTGAAGATGAAGGTTGGTGTGAATATTCAAGCTTTATAAGATGTTAAGGAGTGAATACACCTGCACTATTGTGACCGATTTTTACCAATGTCACCAAGAGTCCCCCAAACACTGATGCCTTTTGTCTCAAGGACCAAGCAGTCTACATTACCTCAGACTGCTCAAGCCAACAGTCAAAGACTTCATCGACTCGTGTCATATCATGGTCTGGTCACCCTGAACACTCTTCCATCCTAATACAACACCCCCTACCCTAGCATGGTACTTCGAGATAGCCAGCGGCTTGGCATGCGTAGTACATATGCAAGTCATCTCAGTCGACTCAGTTTCACAACTTCATCAATTAACCTGGCTATCTTGCCTAGTACCTTTCATCTGACCTCGAGATTGTTCACACAGTGATTCCATCACACATGATCAATGCTACGAATACATATATGGTGGAAAAACAGTAACTGTTTCATGTCTCCTACTTTAACGGGCTGTACAACAAGATAGAATGGACTGCAGCGCGGTATACTCGTTCTTTGGATAGTCTAAAATGCTACCAACGACACAAGTGACATAAACTGGCAACTGCTAAACTAACCTTCCGTATCCGAAATGAAATTTCGTCAGCAATCATCTCGTTCGACAGGCTAATCAAACTCTCATCACTTCACTTTTATCATTAAACTGGAGCATCATCTTACATTTGACAGGTGTCTTTCACATGCAAAAAATACACAGATTTCTGTTCAAGACTAGTACCTAGTGGGCATACTCCAAGTCAACCAACTGACTTCTAGGAAGTAGACTCATCCATGTGAAGTCGAACGTATCTGAAATTATTTCAATTAGTAGATATGTAACTGAATTGAATACGAAAGATGACATCGATCATCACAGACGGACACTACAAGTTGTCATCAATTCAGTTGACACATCACCCATAAACCTTTACATGATTGCATGAGTTCGAGTAGAAAGGTGATTCAATCAATGACACTATAAAGAAGAGGATTCAATGAAAATAGTCTTCGTAACAACATGAGAAAAAAACTTTGCATTTGATCATTACTGTGTAAGTATACCAACTCACTTGCCCTTAAAAAAAATCAGGCATATAGACGGTTCGTTATAAAAAGGTAACAGTGAATCAATGAAGAGTGTTGTAATTCAATATATTAACACGAGTCATCCAACCTAAATTAAGAACCTCCCCATAGAGTTTTGGTAAAACAAATCTATGTGTTCTAGTGACGTAGGGAGAATATATCGAGGTAAATTAATCACTTCAGTGGATATTACAGTATTGAAGATAATAAGTGAGTAAGATAGTAGTTTCAGTTTATAGTATTTCAGTAGAATTTCCGAAAACCTAGGAGCATTGGATATTGTTTTGTCCTAGTATTGGACTTCTCAGAAGTGCACACCATGCTAGCCACAGAACCAGAAGGCCGTGGGTTCGATCCCCGGCGAGATCGTGGGTGCGCACTGCTGAGGAGTCCCAGTGTAATTAAAGTAAGTTTATCTGTTTTATATTTTCTGAAAGGATATAATATGCATGCTTAACTGACAGCTAACTTCGTATATAAGACTCGCCAACTCCAGCCTAGAGGAAATATAGAAAACTGAACTTGATGGAAGAATTTATTCCCCCGAGAAGAATAGACAATTAGCCCAAACATACATGTGTATATATACATGACATATGAACTTGTCCAGAATAGTAAAGGTAAACAACACCAATCAATGAATTACCTTGAAAATAAGGGGGCAAAAATGAACTACTGACCATACCGTGAAAATTTACAAATGTTTTGTGCGAATCTGCAGTCGGTCAATAGTCTGCTAAGTGCTGTCAACCCCACTGAATATCGATCCAACTACGCTTCAGAATATTGATTTTGGAATCTTCGTAAATCAAAAGTTCAAGTACAGTACACAGTCTCGGCGAAATACCAGGTCAAACACAGAAGTATCAGTCAGAATTTGTCAACTTACGTCATCTGTAGCGTCAACTGGCAAGATATATGACTACGAGTGAAATCATGGGTATACTGTGCAGCTGTGGGCACTAGTTGTTAAAAGTAAAAGATAAAAAGCAGTTAAATACCTTAGATCGACGGTTTTTTCGTAGCGTTGCTCACGTTTGACAGAATCATCGCGTGAGGAATGTTGAAGTTAGGCGAAGTCAGGGAAATTATCGTTCACTATCTCATCGACCGAGTTGACTTGGAAACAGTACTACACGTGCTAAACCACCGCCTACCTCGACATGACACGCTAGAGGAAGTTGGACTAGGATGGAAGAGGGTTCAGGGTAGCCAGACTAAGACATGACACTAGTCCACTAAGTCTCTGACTGTTGGTGTGAGTCGTGTAAGGAGGTGTAGCCTACCTGGCTAGGGTCTCCGAGAGGATAAAAGTTATTGGTTGACGACTCTTGATGTCTTCGAAAGCTTGAATGCTACTGTGAAGTGTGGTAACTCGAACCAATCCACTCCAATGCGAGATTCCAAGTTAATTTGTATGTTTACCTTCAATGTGAAAGGAAGCATGCCAGATAAGAAATCTCCATTCTTTCACAACCCATACATTTATGCTACTGAGGAGTTCTATATCAGGGTGAAAAAAAGGCTAACAGAAGTTTTCTACCTTTCAAAAATCTGTTAAATGATAGGATTTATACAATAGTATGAGTAACAATCATAAATTTACATACTTGTATCTCAAAAATCTTTGATTCATCAATGGATCCAATTTCAGACCATTCATTTATAGGATCTATGGTTGTTGTTTGTTTTTATTTTATTTCAAAAGGATAGAAAAATGAACAATACAATAATATATAATAATAATAATAATGACATAAATGAGTTTTTACATCAAAAATCAGTTGTAATAAAGCACAAAAGGAGAAAACAGGGTCTCATACACTTGAAGGAATTACACAGAAAGTCGTGACTTCACATCACGTCAATGATAAAGATTAGCGTGTTAGAGTTGGTGTTATGATATTTAAAACTGCCTATGCTTATTACTGAAGATCAGATGGCCACAAAGAATAGGCAACAAGGAACTCTGGTTGGCTGGCAATGAACCAACGAAGCAAGAACCTATCGCTCAACAAATATGCACAAGAAGTGGAGATGGATTGGGCATGCCCTAAGAAGACCATTCAGGGACATCACGCGCCAGGCCAGTCACTCGAGTGGAACCCAGATGGGAAACGATGAGTTGGACGTCCGAGAGTGACATGGAGGAAATCGTGTGAGGAAGAAATGAGAACTTTTGGGCTGTCGTGCAGCCAGGTTCGAAAGATTGCAGAGAACAAGGTGGAATGGAGACGTGTTACTGAAGCCGTTATGTTCCACTAGAAACCCAGGGGACAAATATGATATTCAAACAGGTAAATATTTCAAGACTAAGCTAGTTGTTATAGTGTATGCAGAAAGATTGACAAAATCTTTATTGGTGATTGTAGGCTGTTAAAACTTTTTCTGACTAATCGCTTTGCTTCGAAGTTTCAAGAAAAGAACAAACAAACCAATGTGGAAGTATCAGATTGGTTGAAGAGATGAAAAGTCAATAAGATTCAAATATAGAATAGGCTTGGAAATAGCTATCTTATTATCACCTTTTCTATTTACAGAGGAACTAAGCGACCATTAAGGGTGGAATCTGAAGGTATTTCTACAACTATTCTCCCATAATGAGTAGTCCATACATACATATATATATACATACCTCAGACTTTATCAAGTCACTGTAAGATTTGAAAAGGTGGCAACTAAGAGTATAAAAATGATGATGAGTAAAAAAAAAGAGTAGCAACTCTTTCAACTGAAGAATCTTAAACGTTTTTGCAATGTTATAATGAGAGAATGGAAGCTATACTACTGAGAATTATTTCAGTAAACTGAATATTCCCACTTAGAGAAAACACTAATTGAACAAATATATTCCTTTTCAATTAGGTCTTCGTCTTCGGCTCTACACTAATATATCTACAGGTTTACAATTCAATCAAAGTGTCAATCAAGTGGTATTGGGGGTTGGTGAAGATTATAATGTAAATAATCAACAGAGTAATTAAAATGGGAATATGAAGCTGGTTATTCCTATGCTAAATGGAGTGATTGTCGATGAATGTTGAGTCATAAACAATAAGTATGGTAATGATGGACAGTGGTTAGTAGTAGAATCCAGAATATGCATTCCGTCCTATTTGGGACTCATCAGCTGGATGTACCTGCCTCCCAGTGGCGAGTGGCGTTGTTCCCAGTGGGACTTGGACTCGGGGGCGATCGGTTCAAACGCCAGAGTGTTATCCACTACACCACAGAGCCACGATGGCCACTTCTTGTGCGACGAGTATAGTTTTAGTATTGTTGCTTGTGTTATACGGTCGTTGATTTGACCGAATTGATCGGTCTCTATTGGCATGTAGGCTGGTGTGCGGATGCCTCGATACTATCTGTGTTCTAATTATACAATTATGGATGCGTAAAAACTATGCCAAAACTATACTCGTCGCAAAAGAATGGCCATCGTGGCTCTGTGGCGTAGTGGATAACGCTCTGGCGTTGAACCGATCGCCCCCGAGTCCAAGTCCCACTGGGAACAACGCCACTCGCCACTGGGAGGCAGGTACATCCAGCTGATGAGTCCCAAATAGGACGGAATGCATATTCTGGATTCTACTACTAACCACTGTCCATCATTACCATACTTATTGTTTATGACTCAACATTCATCGACAATCACTCCATTTAGCATAGGAATAACCTGCTTCATATTCCCATTTTAATTACTCTGTTGATTATTTACATTATAATCTTCACCAACCCCCAATACCACTTGATTGACACTTTGATTGAATTGTAAACCCGTAGATATATTAGTGTACAGCCGAAGACGAAGACCTAATTGAAAAGGATATACATTCCTTTTCTCAATCAGCTTTTTTTCTAAATTATTAAGGTATTCAAACAAATGCTGGATGACATCCAGGCAGAATCTACTTCTACAAGTCCTCTGATTTTGAAACAAACTCTTAGTATATGCTTCAGTGATGGACATACTTAAGCTTAAAATGAGTTCAAAAAGCCTGATAATATGAATTATGTTACCGTGATGGATGAGAATCATATTTACCCGTCCACTACCCACCACGAAAGAGTAACTGATGCAACATCAATCAGGTCGTGTTGATGATGTAACATCCTCAGTGTCATCCAACCTTTCTACAGTCATAACTCAAGAAAGGAATGTCTGCAAGAAGTTAACAAAAAGAACCAGTGTACGCACGTATATTTACCTGATGAGTCCTGAGTAGGACGAAACGCGTATCCTAGATATCACTGCCGGCCACCACCAAGCAAAATAAAAATGATACTGTATGACTTAACATAGATAAGTAGACAAGCCTTAGTTTCAACACTTAACTCAATATATTGATAGAAAGCCAATTGTCTAAACCACTGAAGCATGTATGCTTTATATAGTGGAAACGAAACTGTGAATAACCAACGCAAATTACGGTAGAAAAATCTCTTTCAATAAAGTAGAATACATTAAATGGAATAGTTATCAAGCATAAGAAATCCGCGGACGTATAGTCCAAGGCACTATGAAGGTTGGAATCAAACTGATAACCAGTTATATGTAAAACGTAAATCCTTATATAGAAGGAAATGATGTTTTTCTGGCTTATATGCTTGTCACCAAGTTAAAAAGTCGAATAATATAGGTTGGTGCAATTCGAAAAATCTTATCTTCCTTATGAAATGAATGTTGATGAAGCTATATGGTACACTGACCAATCACCTACGAGTATTTAATCTCCCATCCTAGTTGGACAATCGTTAGTTGATTCATAGCAGCTATACGGGTGGGACACCTTGTTCCCTTGAGGTATTATCATCCCAGAAATATCCGCTGGTAAGCGGTAGGAAGGAAGGCAGTTCCGGTTATATGGATTGATATACTCCCTGGAGGTGATCTGGTTGACTTGAAGTATGCAAACGATATTGACCTGCTAGGTGAAAACGCTTTAAAAAAATGCAGTCTTTTGAACGCATTGATCAGAAATCTGAATTGGTTTGGCATGCGTTACAAACGCCTATTAAATGCAGGATAATGCTCCAAGACTGACTGGTCTGCAACAACTAATTGCAGTTTAATAATAAAGAGTGAAGTAATGGGATGTTTTGATCGCTTCACTTACTTGAGGAGTTGCATCAGCCAATAGAACGAGCTGGTTGCTGATGAAACCTACGCTCCCATACAAAAGGTCCTTTTGGCATCTGTCAACTTGTGTTATTTGTTGGGACAACCGACATGAATCGGTTCTACGGTTTCAACCACAGAAGTTCTCATAACAATCCTCGAGTGTGGTGGAATCACCATATAAGCAGTGTTAAAGTCAGTCGGAGGTTACTAAGCAAGACAGGCAAGACGACTAATGAGATTGTGAAGCTCAGTTTAGTGAGATGACTTGGACATGTATTGTGCATACCAAGCGACCACTTACCTTGACATGTATTACTAGGTAAGGTTGAATTAGGCTGGAAGAGTGTTCAGAATGACCAGATCAACACCTGCCATCAGTCGATGAAGTCTCTTACTGTTGGTGCGAGCCATGTAGAGAGGTGTAGACTTCCTGGTTAGCGTCCCCAAGACGACAGGAATCAATACTTGAGGACTCTTGGTGATATAGCTGAAAATCGGTGACAATGGCATATTTGCATTCACTCTCTGATTTCTTCTAAAGCTTAAATATTCACACTAAACTTTGTCTTCAGATTGTTTATTATCTAAAGCAACTTTTTCTACCTTGATGTCATTCTTTTTCTCTCCATTTGTTCTTCGTAAACTACTATGAAGTGGGACATCATGAGTCGATGCACCTGTGTGCTAGGTTCCATATTGATTTTCTCAGTCAGTATCAGTTGATTGTTATTATTATTGTTCCCTGGGGTTCCTAGTGAAACATACAGCTTCAGTAGCACGTCAACATTTCACTTTATTCTCTGCAGTCTTTTCAACCTCGCTCCACGACTTTCAACAAGGTTTTATTTCTTCCTCACACAATCTCCTCCATGTCATCCTCGGCTTGGACGCCCAACAAGTCGTTTACCATTAGAATTCCACTCAAGGGCCTGGTGCATGATGTCCCCAATCCGTCTTCTCAGTGTATGCCCAATCCATTTCCACTCTCTTCTGCATATTTGTCGATCCATTCATCCAGATCAACCTAGGACCAGATATTACTGCGGAACGATCCGAGTTGCCACACCTCATATCATTACATCAAGTAAAAAGGGGTGAGGCGCAAGATGAAGATAAGAGAATGCATATTTGTTGGGTGATAGGTTCTTGGTTGGTTCATTGTCAGGTCAGAAGTCCTCTTTACTTATTTTTATTATTTAGCCATCTCTGGCCATCTTCACTATCGAGCAAGCGTAGACTGCAGCTGTTGATAAATGTTTGTAGTTTGTTGGAAATGCTTTTCGTGACGCACCAAGTTTCTCAACCGTATAGTAGCAGTGACTTGACTGAATTAGTGTTGAAAATCCGCATCTTGTTTCACGTTTTGTGCTGGTGAACTAGGTCTCCACACTGATTTCAAATTAATGAAAGCCTGTCTTGCTTTTCCGATCCTGGCTGGCTTTGACATCCTCATCTATGCCTGTGACGCCGTCTGTAGTTGAAATGATTCTGCCTCCTAAGTAGATAGGTGAAAGAGACTAGTTCCTTTAGATTTCTCCCGTTCATGGTGATCGGTGCTTATTGTTGATGCTGTTGTTGGTTGGGTATCTTCATCACCTCCGTCTTCTCTACATTTACTCAGTTGATAAACACGATTAAATACCCAGAACACTCAAGAAGTTTCCACTAAAAACTAATGTCATACTTTCTGATCCTCAAAAGCTGAATGAATGTAATTGGTGAAGTTTGCACAATAAGTGACTTGACCTTCAAGGAGGATAAATTACGCTGCAAGTAATCAGCTGATTGACCAATTACTGAACAGAATGACTATCCATCGGTAAGGAACTACTACATCATGCTAAATCTCTTCCGATACAACATAAGATGCTATTATGGCAGAATCTGAATTCATCTCCTTTCATGCTAACAACAAATATTAACAAAATGATACAATCATAAGGGAAATAACACATGTGAATAATATGACAAGAAGTGAATGGCGGGGGGGGGGGGAAGCTCACCGAAATGTTTACTTGACTCGATATCTGCATTGACATCTGACATTTGTAAGGAATCAACAGCTAAAAGAATATACAATGGAAGTGGTGGTATAGCTTCAGCTTCTAAAAGATTTCTTGAAGAATAAGATGTATGCGATTGTGATGTGACAGTAGTTGATGTCTTTCCGGTTGGTATTGTTGTTGTTGTTGTATTGAATGAATCCATGGCAAAATTTGTTAATTCAGAGTTTAAATTAGCCTAATAGAAATATCACAGAATCAAGTAGAAAACAGAATATGCACAATAATAACTTAAAATAAGTAATATTGAATATGTTTGGTTACCGTGGTACTGGTATGCCTAGGAACTGATGGCTAAAATTACGCTTCATATATGTTAATCAAACTAACTACAGATAAACACGATGAAAAACCAACAAGTTTTTTAAGTTAACAGAGAAGAACAATTTTGTTCAACACTGAAAAGTAATCAATCAAACAGAATCTTAAACGGTGGCTCTCTTGAACTTTGCGTCATCCATAATGACAACTTCCGAGTATACTACGCTGTAATCTGTCTTATCCTGTTATACAGCAATAAGAAATGATCGTTAAACGTAGAAAATATGAAACCGTAACAGGTTTTTGACCACAGGTGCTTTGATAGTATTGCTCACATATGATGAAATCATCGTGTCAGCAATGCAGAAGTCACTTAGAAAGTCATAGACTAGATAGGAAAGTTGATTGATGAGATTATGAATTTAAGTCGACTGAGATAGCTTCGACATTTACTGTGCATATCAACCTATCGCCTAACTCATTATACCATGCTGAGAAAAGTTGGATTAAGTTGGAAAGGGTTCGAGGTGGCCATATCAAGACCTGGAATTTGGTCTGGGTCATATGAGGAGTGACAGACTAACTGGCTGGGGTCCCCGAGATGACAGGAATCAGTGGTTGAGGACTCTTTTGATATACCTGAAAATCGTCATGAAGGCGCAGCTATATTTACCCCTAGCGTACTTCAATGAATTTCTTTTTATCCACTTGTTCTTTGTATGCTACTGTGAACTGTGTCAACCTGTGCAAATACCGCTGTGCACGAGGCTCTACGTTGATTCTATCCGTCTGCTTGAATCCTATGTCAGCCGGAAGAAGCTTCCCGTTGAATAAAAAGTTGGTATTCATCACAGACTAACATAAACTGAAGAACTATTGAAAAACTGAAAACATTAGACAGCGATTTTATCCGAATATGAAACTACTCAGCAGTGCGTAACCATGATCCATGATTGTTCCTGAAATAGTTACCTTTAAATAACAGATTTGTATACTCGCTTAATGAATTACCACCAACAGGAAACTTACTCCTTCCTTCAAAACTAGAAACTGGACAATTTTTTCATCCTGGTATGGGACACTTTAGCAGAATGCACCCAGATCACCATCGGGAATCGAACTTGGGACCTTCAGGTCTCCTCGTAACTATTCAGCCATCGGGTCAGAGTTCAAAAGTCCACAAGTTCTTACTTCTGTCAATTCGCAATATACCGCGACTATCCCTACAAAGGTCTTCAGTTGATATACCCTTCAATTCAACATGGCTGGCAGCCCAAGTCACGGTGCAGTCGTGGGTGTATACTGTCGAGAAGTCTCATATTAGGATAAAACAGCTTTCCAGTGAATTCTGGTTGCCAGTGGTTTTTAAGGTGATGTCAGCTTAAAAGAATTCCTACAACATAGGATCTTGTCACTAAGTTTGGTGGTGGTGTTCAACAATGAACTCTACCGTCAATCTAATGGTGTTCTATGGGGTCACCCCTTGGCCTGCTCTCAGAAGATTTTTTTCTGGCAAAACTTAAGAATGGTCCACTGAACGATACTATTAGCCGTTTAGAGTTACATTGTCGTTTCATGGATGATACCATTATAGTTCTCAAAAGTGAGACTGATAAGAATCCTATTCTGAATAAGTTCGATAGTGTTCACACGGCAATCAACTTCACAATGGAAAAGGAGAAAAATGATAGTATCCCATTTCTTGATGTTCTGTTGGTAAGAAAGTCAGATGGAACCAGGAAGAGAAGTGTTTATAGAAAGCTAACATCAACAGGTCAATATACGCACTTCTTTAGTGCTGTACCCCTCCAATACAAAAGGAGTCTAGTGAAATGCTTAGCATACCGTGCCTCAGCTATTTGCTCAGAGAATGCTATGAAGGAAAAGTGCGCCACCATCCATGATCTGCTTAGTAGAAATGGCTACCCAGACAAGTTTGTAGGTAAGCACATGAATATTACAAGGGATAAGACAACAATGCCAACAGTTCCTATGAAGCAAATCTTCTAGAAGCTGGAATTTAACAGTAATATAGCCAGTGAGATCATCACACAACGCATTAAAAGAGTCTTGCATAAAGCATTCCTAGCCACTGCATTATGTCCCACCTTCTACAACCGCCCGATTCTAGGTGCAATAAATAAAGGTGAACTGCCTGATTCTGCCATTTCTATATGCATTTATCCATACAACTACTCTGTGGAGCTAGTTACATTGAGCGTACAATGAGGCAGTTCCATCGTCGAATTTCTGAACACCACTCATCATAGTTGAACAAGGAACAAATCAGAACTGTAAAGACCTCCATACTTGCACACTTAGTTGACACAGGACATCAAGTGGTTACTGGAAAAGCCTTTAAAATCATCCATTAGATTCCAGTTAATTTACCTCATGGATTACTCACTCATTTACTTCACATAGGAGGGTGATTCCAATCCACCTTTACAAACCTAGGCCTTTGTATCCAAAAGAAGTTTGTTTGACCACTTTCATTATTGTGGCCACCGTCACTACAAGATGTAACTTCTAGGTTTACTTTGTACACATCTTCCCCTTCCCCTTGTTTCTATCAATATTCCTATTTCCAATTTTAGTAACTTTATTGATTATTTACATCATTATTTCCGAAACACCACCATGTGATTGGTAATTTGATTAAATTGTAAAACCATGCATATTAGTGTAGAGCCCAAGATCAAGACCTAATTGATAAGGAATATACATTTCTTCATCAGCTCAATCAGTCTTGCTTCAAAATGTCTAAATGGGAATATTCAATGCATGGAAACTAGTCAGTTACGTTGATATATAACCTTAAAATAAAAGGATGTACTGACAGTTTCCATTTTGATTTAACACTTCACAGTAATAAGTATCTTTATATATAATAATTAAGGGGATTTCAAGTGAATAAAGAGAAGACAGAAGTGATGAAGACACCCAACGAACAACAACAGCAGCAACAGGCTCCGATCACTATGAACGGGAGAAACCTAAAGGAAGTAGTCTCTTTCACCTATGTAGGCAGCACTGTTCCAACTACTGGCGGAACAGGCAAGATGAGGATGTCAAAACTAGGATCGAAAAAGCAAGACAGGCTTTCATTAGCCTGAAACCAGTGTGGAGATCTTCTGCACTCAGCATGTGGAACAAGGGCCAGATTTTCAACACCAATGTCAAGTCAGTGCTTCTGTGTGATAGTTGAGAGACTTGGCGCGTCACGACAGAGATTTCAACAAATTACAGATATTCATCAACAACTGCCTACGCTCACTCGTTACTGAAGATGAGATCAGATGGCGAGAAAGAATAAGCAACGAGGAACTCTGGCTTGGTAACGAACCAACCAAAACCTATCTCTGAACAAATATGCAGAAAAAGGGGAGATGGATTGGGCATACACTAAAAAGGCCGACTGGTGACATCACGCGCCAGGCCAGTTACTCGAGTGGAACCCAGATGGGAAGCGACGAGTTGGGCGTCGTAGGCGAGAGTGACATGAAGCAGATAGTGCGAGAGGAAATGAGGGGTTGTGGGCTGTCGTGGAGCGAGGTTCAAAAGATTTTAGAGAAGAGAGTGAAATGGAGACGTGCTAGTGAAGCCCTATGTTCCATTAAGAACCCAAGGGACAAATAATAATAATAATATATAATTAAAAGGGAGAGAAATAGCTTGAGACAGTTTATTTCATCCTATGCTTGAAAGTGACATTGTAGCATGTAGATTCCTGGTTATCGATTAAATCGAATTGAATAACAACTCCTGGCACATAACTTAGTAGTCTAGTGGCTAACGCTTTGGTATTTCATATAGCGGATATCAGTTTCCAGTCTCAGTTGGAGGCATACCCATCCGACTGACGAGTTGTAAACAGGACGAAATATGGTCCTTGGACTACACACTACCAGCCATTATTCATCATAAGCATCTTCAATGTGTGGTCAGTCCAAGGGAATACACATTGACTTATCAAAAATAGTTGTATTTTTGGACAAGATAGGTAGTAAGAAACTAGAAATGAAAGTCTAAGAGTAAGCAGTCAAAACATAATATGCGTGCCATCAAAATTACGCAGTTCTGTTTAGTACTAAGAACATCAAAGAAAATATTCAACTAGAAGGTTGTCTCATATGTTAAAAATGTTATGCCAAATAGCTAGCCAACAGGATACCAAGTCGTAGCGACTTCTCTCTTCATTCCCGTCTCTACTTCAGATATACATTTCTAAGGTGCGGAAACGAGTAGTTTAGTGAAGTATATTGCGTAACTTGACTGGTTGTAGGAGACTCAGTAAACTAGATACAAAAGTGCTTTCTGTTTTTTATACCGATATACAGTAGAGTAAAGATGGATAGTGGCTAGTAGTGGAATCAAGGACATGCATTTCGTCCTATTTGGGACTCATCAGTTGGATGTACCTGCCTCCCAGTACCGAGTAATGTTGTTCCCAGCGGGATTCGGAATCGGGAGTGATCGCTTCAAACGTCAGATCGTTATTCATTACACCACTGAGCCACGATAGCCATTTCTTGTTGAACGGATAGAGTTTTAGTATAATTTCTTGTATTACAGGAAGAAATAAGCATACTAGATTCCACTGCTAGACACTAATCATCATTACTCTAATTAAAACACAGTTGATATCGAGGCATCCGAACACCAGCCTATATGCCAATAGAGACTGATCAATTAGGTCCAATCAACGACGACATGCTACAAAGCAATTATACTAATGCAGATATACAATAGACTAATATATACATATACAAATAAAATTGTTGAATACCTTTGTCATTCTACGATGACTTATCGATGACCTTCTTCCGTGTTGAGCTGATGATGATGATGTTGAACCGAGTGCAGATAAACATCTATTCAAGTGTGCTAATATAGCTTTGATACGACGTAAACGACCTAAATTCATCCATTCCAATAACTGACGAGGATGAAATTGTGGAAGTACTGGATTAACAATCTAAACAAACAGAGAAAACGAAAAAAAAAAGCAATACAACATTTAAACTTAGGAGCACTGGAGGGCTGTTTCGTCCTAACATGGGATCCTTCAGCAGTAGGAACACACCATCTTGTCCATCCAGGGATCGATCGATCCAGGTTTCACAGTGAACGCGTTAATCAATTCAGAAACCGGGTAGGAGAGGTAAATGGTTCACAGTTTCCTACTTCTATCAGTTCACGATATAGCGTGATTATCATTCAACAGTCTCATTTAATGTTAGTTTTTTTAACAAATTTGAACAATGAAAGAACAGAGACATATTTATCCTGGTTGATGATTGAAGGTGAAATGAAAAGTTAGACCACAGACGGATTCGAACCACCGACCATTGATTTACCGGCGCGATGCTCTGCCAACTTATCTAAGAAACCAGACTGCTGACCATCGGATTTATATTTCACTTCAAACACAAGCGAGGTTCTGCCCGACTATCATGTGAATTTATGACACGTTACTACCGGTTGATTGTATTCACACTGCCTGCCTAGTCAGGACTTTCATCCCAATCCAAATTTAACTGAATCAGAGACGGAGAGCATCATTCTGATTAAAATTTTAACCCAGTATAAATTCTAGCCATCTCAGATAGTCAAATGATAATCAACAGGATGCTTCCCCTCTCTAATTCACTAACTTTTCGATTGGGATAAGAAGTCCTGATCAGCCAGCCAGTTTGAATAACGTCAAGGTGTAGTAACGTGTCATGAATTCATATGGTAGTCGAGGAAAACTCCGATTGTGATTAAAGTGAACTATACAAATCTGGTCAGCAGATGGACCTCATAGGGCAGTTGGTAGATCAACGGAAACCCAGTGGTCGCTGGCTCGAATCCGGTCGCGCTCTAAATTTTCATTTCACCTTCGATCATCACCCAGTATAAATACTAGTCTGCAAAACTACAGCTACATGACATCAAATAGATATTTCTCAATCCTTCAGGATAATCAATAAACCAACAATCCTATGTTTATTATGGTTTACGGAAGCTCTCGCTATCGTACTCAGAAGGAGACTGTAATTAATCTTTCTTTACCATGGTAAATGTTTATAATTTTTTGCATGCGTATGTATGTATGTATGTATGTATGTATGTATGTATGTATGCATGTAGGTAGGTAGGTAGGTGGGTAGGCAGGTGGGTAGGTAGGTAGGTAGGTAGGTAGGTAGGTAGGTGGGTAGGTAGGTAGGTAGGTAGGTAGGTAGCCTTCCCTTTTCTTTCCATTGCATAATCTCTTCATAAATTACTTACTGACTATTAATCAGTTAACGATTTCCCAGTTTTTCACGTGATTACGAACCTATTAGCTCCCAAATAGCCCCTTCTTACTGTCGCCCAAATCCACAGCTCCAGAAGTGTTTCCATCTCATCAGATGTGTATAAATCGCCATTGATTCTGACTAGGATCTGTGATTATTCATTGAGTGTTTGCTTGACTCATTCCTTACCTTATTGTGAATGGTGGATTTCCAATCTCTATTTATTTCTACATATTTAAAGTTTGCTATGTCATTATTGCCACTGCGAATGCTTCACTTCAACTGTAGACAGTTTGCAGGTGATGAAAGGCCATGAAATGTAACGAGGTCATTTTGTTCTGTAAATGTCCTTCTTTTTGCAGTGTCAAAATCTCATTCAAGTTTTCAAGATTTCATACCAGATTCCTTTAAGGAGTGAAAAGGAACGATAACCCAGGACTGCAGTATAAGATAAATTAGCTGCAAGGCTAGAATGCATAATTTAACTGAATGGGTCATCTACTTTGAGCATTATCCTTGTCGAAGTGACCATTCCCATGTAGCATGTAGGTATATTTATGCAAATTACACTAATCATCAGAGATCATATGTGTGAGTTGGTTTGAGGCAAACGGCAGGAAGTTTTGGTCAACCTACATTTCATGTTTTCGCCCTTCTCACAGACCAAGACGTAACTCCAAAATCGGCGAAACTGATATCCCACCTGAGATTGGAACCCGTGTCATCCAATGCTACAGTTAGAGGTATCACAACTGAGCTATTCAGATCCTGATTGACCTCCTGTAGGAATGTATGAGAGGTAACCAACTTCATATCATACATATGCGTGTATGTGTGTGTGTTGAAACACTGAAGAAATCATAAACAAAACAACATCTGGAACGAATCATTACCTGAATAGATTCAAATAATCCTAGATTAGACAAAAGTTCAACATCTTTAAGTATTTGTTCATTCGATTTAACATCCAATCCACCCATGGTACAGCTTAGATCAATTTGACTCATTTCTCCAGACATCTGACAATGATGATGATGATGATGATGATCTTTGGCATCAGTTATAGTTGATTTCTTCTGATTACCATTTACAAGATTACTAGTATGAACAAAGTTAGATAAATTTGTTTGACTATCCATATGTAACATTGATTTTGAAGGAGATGATTTTAATGCACATGCAGAATAGACTTTAGCTAAACGTGCCACTGACATACTAGCGCATCCAGATACTGTTGAATCTGTAACATCAACAGTAGTATCAAATGAACCATTCCTATTTGACATTGATGTTGACGTAGTAGTAGTAGTGGTAGTATTAGTGATATAAGCATTGTCATCTGTGATTTTAAGAGGGAAAGATAACAATGTACATATACGTGAATACTCATCAATAGAGGATAAAGATGAAATAATATCTGAGGAATGTTTCCGTTAGGAAATCTCAAGAAAATTTCAAATACATTAAAAAAGAGAGAGAACATACTGCAGTACAACAACTTGACGTCTATCATGAAACTTTATCAGAAGATGCCTAACCCGTACAACTATAAAGTCATTGACAGAAATTAACGAAAACATCATCCTACCGTACATAAAGAATACATCAGAAATCACAACAAGATAACTGAGACAACTTGGAATTTGTGTGGCTGGCTCATAAATCAACAAATTCCCTTCAAACTCTATTATGTAGATCAAAGAACGCAACAACCAAAGAAGACATCATCACCTATCAAGATAGGACCAGGTATTACTGCGTAACGGTCCAATTTGCCGCCACACCTCATATCAGTACATCAAGTAGAAAGGTTGTGAAATGGAAGATGTAAGAAAAGAGAATGCAGTCAAAAGAAATATAAAGTACGAAAAGAGAAAAAAGGAAGGATGACAAAATGGTGAGATTCTGTTAAGCGCTAAAAAGAGGATAATGTGCGCATACATCTGTACCACTGACATCGACTTGGAGCCATATCACCTAGAGTCTCCAATCACTGGTTTCTCTAGTCCGCCAACCACAACAGGCTAGTTAGTCTGCATCGCCCCACATGGCTCAAACCAACAGTCAAATACTTCATACATCGAAGCCATACTTTAGTCTGGCAGTCTCGGACTTTTATCCAACCTGAACCTACTTCGGCCAACATTGTGTGACGAGGCAAACAGAGACTAGGTATACGTAACACATGTCTCAGCCAGCCATCTCAGTCCATGAAGGTTCAAAACCATGTCAACTGATTTACCTCTGCTCCCTAAAACTCTACACCTGACTTCTGCATTACTCACGTGTGACACCAAGATACACGGCCAATACTACGAACGCAACGGTGGTCAAACACCTCAAGCCTTCTCATGTCTTCCATCTTCAATGGCCATGTTTCACAGTCATACAACAGAACAGTAGACCAGACTGCTGTGCAGTTACAAGCGACCCTTAATAGACAATCAGATATCACGGCGGTGCCACAGGTGTCATAAGTTGACAAAAGCCAGTTGAGCCTTTTATATTCGTGTGGAGATTTCGTCAGCCACTGAGTCACCAGTGCAGGGCTGATCCCACTTCCCAGATAAGTGAAGTGGTCAACACACTCAACCACCACACTCACTCTCTATTGTTAACTGTGGCACTGCTTAAGACCAATTCTGTAGCAACAATTTGCATTTATGTGGTGAGAAATACATCCCAAACATTCTCAAATTACCACTCAAAGTGTCCAGAAGACTCTTGTCAGCACTTCACCTGACAGCACTATGTCATCTGCGTATTGTAGGTCCAAAAAAAATTCTCCTGCGATTAGGTCCAACTCTATGTAGCCAGCTGACGAGACGGAGACCTCCATAGGAATGTCTATGATAAAATTAAATAAGAATGGAGAGAATGGGTAGTCTTGATGGACACCACTCGACGAAGACTATTCTCCGAACATCTCACCATAGGCTGTAACACGCCTACAAGTGTTCGAATAGAGGGCCTTCAATAAGGTGATGTAGTTACTCGGCATGCCTTTAAGTGAGAGACATTGACACAAGACTTCTCGATCAATGGAGTCGAATGCCACCTTCAGGTCGAGAAATACAGCTAGTGTCGGGCGTCCGAGGGCATGCTTATGTTCCAGAGCCTAGCACAGTGTGGATATTCGGTAAATACACTCGCAGCCCGATCTAAATTCTGCCTGGTTTTCTCCGGTTTGCTGTTCCCGAGTTCCACTCATGCATCGAAGAATTATGGAACCTAGAATCTTAGACAGTATATTCGTCAGACTTATTCCTACCAAAGAAGACAAACCGAATATCATTCACAAAATCGACTCCAATAACTGTAGTCAACATTAAATTGGAGAAAGTGGTACTCCCCTCTCCGTCGTTCACATGAACATGACATTTTATCACTCATTTCAATGCACGTGGATAATTATGGACATGAATTCAATTTAGACAATGTACAAATCTTGGAGAGAGGAAACACAACCTATAGGTAAAATGATAAACAACAAAAAGGTCAGAGGTTAAGCAGAGGAACAGCCAACAGGAAAGTCTATACAATCAATGACACAACAACCAATGGAAACAACCAATCACAAGCCAATTCATCAAGGCAAACCATTAAATCACTCACGGAGAGATATTGACAGCTCACTTCGTACTGAAGTTATTGCTGATGATGTCACTATCTAGAAAGACGATGAAAGCTTCTCCACAATTAAACAACCCAGCTCCTCAGGGAACATAATACAACCAAGATCATCCACCTGAGCTACAAATATTCTCCACCGTTTCCAGTTCCATGTTACCTAGTTCGATGTTTGACAAATATTTTGACAAGCCTCTATACCAAAAATATGAAATAATATGGCACTTGAGGCAGTCAAAGATGAACTGACAACTGACCATGAACTCAGAAATAGAACTGAAGTTTCCACTGAAGAAGTTATCCTAAGGACACAATTGTCTAAGTTTCACAATTTTAAGACAAAATATATTCAAACAAACAGAAGGAGTAGCAATGGGATCCCAGATATCCCTCCGATCGTAGTAGACATATTTGTGGATAGTTGGGAACAAACAGCATTAGGAAGATTCCAATCCATTCCCATAACTATAGTGGCGATATGTAGATGGCACATTTACTGTGCTCAAGTCAGAACACATAAAGACCTATTTCGCATACATTAATTCGATATTCACTTACGAGGTAGAAAGTGAACAAGGAAAATTACTCCAATGTTGGACTGCAAATTCACAAGTGAAGTGGAGAAGATGGAAACTTCCATACGAATGTTGATATGAAATCAACACATTCGAATAGATACATCAATTTCATATCATTTCACCCCATATCTGTCAAGATAGGCTTGGTTGAATGTCTAAGTAATCGCGTAAGCATTTGACTAGTAAGTCAGAAAACCCAAATGAGGAAATGAAACACAACGAAAAGAGACACTGCTTCCTGATAATTACCACCCGGAATAATTTAAAGCGTTTTTAATAAGGAGTGGTATTATTAGTAGTGATTGCAACTTGTCCAAGAGGGAATTCAAATAATCTGTAGTGTTGCCGTAGAATTCTTGACAATGCTAGGATTAGGCGGCATTCAAACTCACAAACTAGCTTAGAGAGAAACTTTGTAGGCAAAAAAGATCAATGGAGATAATTAAGCACAACAACCTAATCTATCAAATACCATGTAGTGACTGTCAGGTCAAATGTATAGGTCAAAGAAGCCAATCGGCATCAGTCACACCCCAACTAAGATAAGCAATCTAAGAGAAAAAGTCGGCTATCACTGATTTACATGTACTGACCCATAATCACACTATGGAGTGGGTGGCATTATTATCATTAGTTATTTTTCCCTTGGGTTCCTAGTGGAACATAGGGCTTCAGTAGCACGTCTCCATTTCACTCTCTTCTCTGCAGTCTTTTGAACCTGGCTTCACGAATGCCCACAATTTCTCATTTTCCTCACACCATCTCTTCCATATCACCCTCGGACGCCCAATTCGTCGTTTCACATCTGGGTTCCACTCGAGTGACTGGCCTGATGCGTGATGTCACCGAATGGTCTTCTCAGTGCATGCCCAATCCATCTCCACTTCCTTCTGCATATTTGTTGGGCGATGGATTTTGGTTGGTTCGTTGCCATAGTTCCTTGTTGTTTACTCTTATTATTCTGGCCATCTTCACTATCGAGCAAGCGTAGACTGCAGCTGTTGATAATGTTTGTAGTTTGTTGGAAATGCTTTAGGTAACACGCCAAGTTTCTGAACCATATAGTAGCAGAGACTTGACTGAATTGGAGTTGAAGATCTGGATGTTGTTCACGCTTTATGCTGAGTGCAGTAGATCTCCACACTGATTTCAAATTAATGAAAGCCTGTCTTGCTTTTCCGATCCTGGCTGACTTTGACATCCTCATCTGTACCACCTGCGGATGAAACGATGCTGCCCCCTAGGTAGATGAAAGAGATTACTTTCTTTAAGTTTCTCCCGTTAGTGGTGATTGGTGCCTCCTGTTGATGATGCTGTTGTTGGTTGGGTATCTTCATCACGTCTGTCTTCTCTACATTCACTTGAAGTCCCATCTTCGCTGCCTCACCTCTTCTGTCAACTTGTTACTTTTCGCGTATAGATCTTCGAGTTTGTAAGACATTAGACGCAAATCATCGGCAAAATCTAAATCTTCTAGGGTCTTTTCATCGGTCAAACAGCGTATCCCCTCTTCTCACTCCTCACAGTTTGCTGCATGAACCAGTCTACCATAATCAGGAAGATCATCAGTTATAGTAGGCAGCCTTATCCTACTTCTGTTTTCACTTCAAAGGCGTCACTGAGCTTTCCATTGTAGATCATGTGGGTTGGGTGGTTTATGGGGGGGGGGGCAATTTAAAATCTGATACCTAGCTAGAGGGAGGTATAGATTGATCACAGAATCGTTGTTCATTGAATCAACCAGCACCTAATATGTGTAACACGAATGATTCATCATCATAAATTGCTGACACCTAAAAAATAAATCAATGAACTGTTGGATTATATAAGTGGAGTTCGAAAGTCATATGATTACTTTGATGTGAATATGAGAAATAAATTGTGCTCAAAATGTTATCCAGTAAATTATATTGTGCCACTGTGTGCTATATCAAACAAATCACATAAGCAATCTAAATATGGAATTATACTTTACCACAGAGCCCACATTTTTCTCTTACATTGCCTAGTGCTGATTGGGGGGGGGGGGACATGGTTCGAAATACGTTTCACCAAGCTGTAACCAGAAATCGTTGCGTATGTGGAAAACCATAATCTGGAAAGAGGAAAATCATATCCAGCGATGGGAATGGATGATTGTTATGCTACATCCCAAAGATGTAGGGAAATATGAACCATCAAATGGGACGATGGAATTCTATATTAGCTATACGAATATTGATACTAGGATGGCATTCATTATCAACTGAAAACTTGAAAACACTGCAGAGATGTTTCGCCCAAGCAACCTGTACACCTGACCCCTCAATGTCATCCTCGAACAACCAACTCGTCGTTTCCCCTTTGGATTCACCCGAAGGCCTGGCGCATGATGTCCCTAAACCGTCTTCTCAGTTTATATCCAATCCAATCCATCTCCACTTCCTTCTGCATATTTGTTGAGCGATAGGTTCTTGCTTCGTCGCCAGGCCACAGCCCCTTGTTTCTTATTTTTTTCTGGCCATCTGGTCTGATCTTTAGTATCGAGTGAACGTAGGCACCAGCTGTTCATGTATGTCTGCAGTTTTCTGGAAATGCTTTGGGTAACGTGACTAGTCTCTCAAACAACACACAGAAGCACAGACCTGACTGACTTAGTGTTCAAATTCCTGATTCTTGTTCACGATTTATGCTGAGTGCAGTGCAGTCCAGTGCAAAAGTTCTCCACACTGATTTCAGATTTATGAAAGCCTGTCTTGCTGCCTTTGCGATCCTGGGTTTGAAGTTTTCACCTGTGCCCGTGCCGAACCCTGTATTTGAAGCGATGTTGCCTAGGTAAGCAGGTGAAAGAGATAACTTCCGTTAGATTCCTTCAGTTGGTGGTGGCTGGTGCTGTTGTTGCTGGTGGTGGTTGGGTATCTTCACCACTTATCTTCTCTACGTTCATCTGAAGGAAGTGCCGTCTTCACTACCTCTTCTTTCAAGTTGTTGGTTTTCACCTGTACACCTTCAACCTTGTGCGACATAAGACATTAGACGTAAATCATCATGGGCGAAATCCAAGTCTTCTAGGGTCTTTTCATTGGTCAAACAGAGAGCGTATGCCCATCTTTTCCTCCTCAAAGTTTCTTGCATAATCCAGTCTAGTCCGGTTCAGTCGACCACAATCAGGAAGATCATTGGTGATAGTAAGCAATCTTGTTTTACTTGTCAACCTGTCTTCACTTCAAAGGCATCACTGAGGTTTTCATTGTGTTGTGAATCACTTAGCATGCAGCATATAGCTAATGAATGACGTTGATAAAGGTTTGTGGCACTGAAACCGTAGTGTTGAAACAGCTGCCTGCCAAATTACTTCTTGGTCGATGCCTAGATCGAAGGCTTTTTCAAAGTCGATGAAGTTAAGGTAGAGAGTTGACTGCCATTCCACGCTCTGTTCTATGATGATACGTAGCGTCGCAATTTGATCCCCACATGATTTGTTCTTCCTGAAGCCAACCAGCCTGTTACAGTCACAATTTTATGAAGTTATATTCAGACCAAATCGGTGATATCGAACAATTCTAGGACATTCCTCGATGCAACTAATCAAATATGCTTTTGTGGTAAAATGATTCACTGACAATGCTAAGAAAAGAATATGGGCTATAAACTTCAATTCTGTCCCCTAATATCATATTAAAATTCCGGGGAATATCAAGGGAAACCATCGGGATTAACATCTAAATAAATCCATTGTACAAGGAGTAGTAGTCTAACGGAAAACGTGTACTGAGTTCGGTTCCTTAAAGGAACCATGTTACTCACTGGGAGACTGGCATACCTAGCTGGCCCGCTTCTATGTGTATCTACAAGTTCATATGCTTCTGTTAAGCTGACTATATTGGACGTTGTGAGCGGGCCCTCCGAAAATGTGTTGCTGAACACTACCCAGTTTGCCTTACCAGAGGCGAGCAAAGGAAAACGACTTCATCCATATGTGAACATCTTGTTGAACTGGGTCACTGAGCACCTCGAGATTCATCCTTTAAAATAATTTACAAAGTTAAATTGAACTACTCCAAAGGTTTACGTTTCCACCATTTATATATAAACCTGAAGCATTAGCTATACATGAACAAAAACCGAAACTTTGCATTCAAAAGCGTTTTGTGAAACACCTTTCTCTACCTTAACCTTACCAATTCCTTGTTGTTGATTTTGTCAATTTCATTTCACTTCACTTTGGTATACTTCTCTTCTATTATCACCATTATCACTAATTTTCACTTCATTGACAACATTTGAATCATATTTCACTTTTAAATATCAATTCATTCCTTAATCATTGACCTATTGTACACGTTTCAGCTTAATTATCACCGTTTTACAATTCGTTGACAACACTTGTCGCTTATCTCATCATTTGTTATCAATTCATTCCTTAGTCACAATGACCCATTTCCTATCTTTTCCACTTGAACAAATATCACCACCTCCACCGATTGTATAGTTTGCATATTCAGTGAGCAAGTGTCTTTTTAGTAGAATTATCTGTCACTTTACCGAGTACAAATACGATGACTGTACAGCTTGATAATGAAGTCGTTGAAAAGAAATGCTTCTTCTTCTCCACTGATACATGCCTTGTTCTTGTTGAAGAAGTTAATTTCCAAGACTTGATACACTATCGAGAAATGTCGATAAAGTATCGGTTCCATATATCTATCTATCAACTTGATTATCTAATGAAATCGTTCCCTTTCTCATCCCTGAGTATTACATTTCCTCTTCATAAACTTCTTTACCACTTAAAGGATGATAACAAGGCTAACGCTTTATCTTAGTCAAAAGGAATGAGCATGAACAGATTTGTTACAACATTCGTCGACAAAATGACTGAATAACAAAATGAACGCAGAACTTCACATAGGAGTACATCACCTCAAGTTGCCACACTTCATAGAAGTACACAAAAGAAAAGGTGAATAGAAAAAGAGACTGATATCAAAGTAGATAAAGTTGTATGGGAAAGACAACAGATAGTGCAAATATTCAAGATATAGGTGTCAAGGAGTGAATAGGTCTACCGCACTGCCACCAATTTTCAGACATGTTACCAAAGGAGGCCTCAACTACTGATTCCTGTCGTCTCAGGTACCCCAACCTGGTAGTCTACATCTCCACACACGACTCAGAGGAACATTTAGAGAATTTATCGATTTGTCCTTTTCTTTTATTACTTAATCCACCTTCACCTAGCACGGCACAATGAGGTAGCCATAGCAGTCGACTAAGGTTCACAATTTCATCAATCAACTTAGCCTAACCTATACATTACTCATAGAGTGATTCCATGAAACATGAACAATGCTACGAAGGACATCTGTGATCAAAATTCTCTAATCGCTGCATATCTTCTACTTTCAGAGGCCATGTCTTACAACCGTATAACACGATAGAACAGTCTGCAGCACAGAGAACAAGTGATATATTAAAGCCTAGATAGAATGTAATAGAATACACACACATAAACACATAGAGAAGGTGTGTCGATACATGTATTAAAAACTCTTACTTACGATGCGATTCAACTTTACATGCCAATTAAATAAATTGAAAACATTATCCGATGGCCATTGACTAAACAGTTGCATTTCAGTCTTTGCTCCGACAAGTAATAATCCATCTCTTAGCCAAGCTGCTTTTTATGCCCATGACGATTAGTATCCTTTTTATTCGATGAATGCAACCAATAGGATTGTTGTTGTTGTTGGCTGAACTTTACTGGATTCGATTCATTCAAAATTAATGAAGATGAAGATGTTGGAAAATTGGCAGTTATAATATGCGTACATGCAATCAGTTTCCAACCGATGTATACTTCACCAAGTGTAGTCATAAGTGTAGGCTGATATAAATGTCCACGTAGTTTATTATGTGTTAAATTGACATTTTGACAGATTGGAGCAAAAATAAATATCTCTGAATCTATAATTACTGATAATAAATGACCACCATCTTCTGTGTTAACCCAATCCAATTGAAGAGATAACTAGTGAAGTGAAAAGGCAAAGTGAAATAATTCAATGAAAAAAATATCTAAGAGAATAGATGATATTCCAAGTAAGATGAAATTACAACATAACTTAAACTTCAAGGTTAATAACTCTATATCCAACTGGATGATCGTCAATATCAAAATCGATTAAAAACTGGTTTCAATTTCATGTCAATCAGTGAAACGTTTTGGCGCGTTACGAAAGGGATTTCCAATAAACTACAGACATTCATCAACAACTGCTTACGCTGGCTCGTTACTGAAGATCAGATGGATGGCCAGAAAGAATAAGCAACAAGGTGCTCTGGGAACGAACCAACCAAGAACCTATCACCCAACAAATATGTAGAAGGAAGTGGAGATGGATTGGGCATACACTGAAAAAGCCGACAGGGGACATCACGCGTCAGGCCAGACACTCGAGTGGAATCCCCATGGGAAGAGACGAGTTGGACGTCCGAGAGTGACATAGAGAAGATCGAGCGAGGAGGAAATGAGAGCTTCTGGGCTGTCGTGGAACCAGGTTCAAAAGATCTCAGAGAACAGAGTTCACTGGAGACGTGCTAGTGAAGCCCTATGTTCCATTAGGAACCCAAGGGACTACTAATAATAAATAATATAATAATAGTGAAACGTTTTTCAATCTCTTTGATGTGTTAAATGCTGAAACAGCATCATTTAATGGATAACGTTTCACATATAATTTGTGGTCCATATTCATATCAGGTAACTGTATAACTTTGAGATATGTTTTATATAGTCCTAGTACTCTCTTTTTTGTTATAAGCGTGGTAGAATTTCCATATATTTGATGTTGATTCGAAAAGCAAAGATTCTGTCATTAACGCCTGATACTCCAGCAAACAGTTGATTTATCCTACCCTTTAGTGTGATTGTGTGTGATGGTATGCACAGCTATATCACAGCTTCAATCTGAATTATTCGTTATCTTATCATATTACATATTATTATTTGTCCTTTGGGTTCGCAGTGGAACATACAGCATCAGTTGCACGTCTCCATACCCACTCTCTTGTCTGCAATCCTCTCTTTTAACCTAGCTCCATAACTGCCCACAAACTCTCATTTCCTCCTCACACAATCTCCTCCATCTCACCTTCGCCTACGACACCCAACTCGTCGTTACCAATCTGCGTTCCACTCGACAGCCTGGACTGGCGCGTAATATCTCCAATCGACCTTCCCAATGTATGCCCACTCCAATCCATCTTCACTTCCTTCCACTGCATATTTGTTGAGCGTTAGCTTCTTGCTTCGCTGGTTCGTTACGAAGCCAGAGTTCCTTGTTGCTTATTCTCATTATTTTTGCCATCTCATCTTCAGTAACGAGCCAGCATAGGCAGTTATTGATGTATATCTATAGTTCGTTGCAAATGCTTTTCGTGGTGAGTTGGTCAGTGGCTGACCAAATTATCTGCATGGATAAAACGGCTCGGTTGACTTTTGGCAAATTACACCACCTGTTGCATCGCCATGATATCCGATTGTCTATTAAGAGTCGAATTTACTGTGTTGCAGTCCACTGCGTTCTACTCTATGGTTATGAAACATGAATATTCAGAGTAGAAGAGATGGTTTCAGGTCATCGTAGCATAGGTTGTGTTTCATGGTGTCACCACATGATTTACGCAGAAGTCAGACGTAGAGTTTAAGAGAGGTGAGTTAGGACAGTTGATGCGGTTGTGAACCTTCATCGACTGAGATGGCTGGTTGGGACACATGTTATGTATGCCTAGCCACCCTTTGCCTCGTCATACAACGTTGGCCAAAGTATGCTTAGGTTGAAAAAAAGGTTTGGGTGGCTAGACTAAAAGATAGTATCTATGCATGAAGTCCTTGATTGTTCGTTTGAGGTATGTGGAGCGATGAAGACTAGCCATTTTGGGTCAAGATGACAAGATAAACCAGGTGATATGGCTCAGAATCAATGTCAGCAGCACAGATGCATACATACATTATCTTCATTTGAACCGCTATACTTGATTTCATCATCTCATTCTTCCTTATTCACTTTTATTACTTCTACTTCCTTAGATGGATTTTTCTTTCCTTCTTCATCTTTCATTTTATTGCCTTGTTAATTGATGTGATGATGTGAGGTGTGGCAACTTGGACTGTTATGCAGTAATACCTAGTCCTATGTTGATGATTCTACACTTTTTAGATGTCTAGTTCACTTAATTAATGCAAATTTTGAACTTGATCAGTATTCATGAATTTGATGATTTGGTTTATACTGACGATAACCTGATCAACTGGAAATTTAATATGAGATTGGTAAACAGTTCGAACTTATGACACGACACCATCAGGAAACTAATCCAAGAATAGTGATTCAGATAAGAAGTTGAGATTGATAGAGTAAATCAAATCAGAGTTGAGGATAGGTACTTAACTATGTCATTGGATTAAAGGTCAAACGGTCACAATGTTAAGGTGCTAATCAAGAAACCTGGAACTTCTCAAAATTGATTGTTGAAGGGATCATGGCTGTTAAACATTGCTATGACGAAACAGTTATCCAGTGACTGTAGATTTCAAATACTCAAATGTTAAGCAAAAAACTAATCATAAATTAATAAAAGATGATGTCAACGCTTAAATTCACCTTATGAGTATCGTTATGAAGTAAAAATTTAGAGGTAAACTCAATTGTATCTTCTAGAATCCATTCACATCCACCTAAAATGAGAAATTTTAAAAAAAATAGCTATACATGGTAATCAACCATGTTAAACAATAACGAAATAAAGAATACTACGTTAGCTTCATTCGAGCATAAAGTCTGTCTGATGATAGGGGGAAACTTCAATGCTGATCGAGTTATGAAGGCGATTGTCACTTTCCGGTTGCCCACACCGTGGAAGATTATTTTTTTCTTAAGGTACCTGAAAGAGATTTGTGTGACCGCACAGCCCATCAGACATCTGCTTGAGGCCTATCACACTCAGCCTTTTGAGTATGATTATTTTGAACTTTTGTATATTTGGGGCCGGATGGTCGAAAGGAAAAGACAAATGAGTCAACACCACCGGCCCGGCAGACCGTGGGGTAGGATAGAGTGTGTTATTTTTGGGGCCGACATTTTCTAACCTCCCTCCCCTTCCACTGAGAGGGCAGATCAGCATGGCACTGCTGGTCATCTAAGGGAAACACCTTACTGCTGTCACATCCCAACCAGCTAGCAGCAGTCCGACATCGCCCTCAGACCCCCATCATATTGTAACAATTTACACCACAACGGTAACTGCTTTTCGTCTAACCACTATCCAATAGACCTTTCTGGTATGGTGAGACCTCGAGGGAACAAGCATTCCACTAGAATAGCTCGTTGAGTCATTGTGATATGCAAGCCAGACCACCACGTCAAGGTAGCAGCTATCGGTCGGGATGATGATAAGCCAAGTTCTTCATTTGAAAAATAAATGGGATCTTGTAGGTTAGTTAGTAAATCACTAAATTACGTAACTCAATCCGAAAACAAATGAACTACTGTCCAGAATTGACATCATATTCATCTGGTCAACATAATTTGAAGATAAGCATCAAAAATCCCCAATTCCTAGCGTTCTGTCTTGGTATATTTCGTTAGCCTGTAATATATTTATGTTAGAGATCAAAATTTCTAGTCTACTTTTAGTAATCCCCAATACGAAAACTGTTGATACAGTAGTGAAACAAACGATAAATTAGTCCACTTGTGATGTGTTTCAACATGTACTTGTCAAGTCAATTGATATTGAACCGAAGAATGAGGAAGCGTAGGCGGGGGGGGGGGGGGTTAGGGGGGAGGGCTGGCGAATAGAACAACTGATGAGAACATACAAGAAGTGGCACATAGTTGATCCTAATATTGATAAGAAAACAAAATTTACCAAGCAACGCAAGTATACTCTGTAAGAACAAATTGTCTTTGAACACATAAAGGTGATTTCAATTTGTGTACGGCTATCGCTCCCGTAAATCTCAGTATACGTCTGTAACTGTTTCTATATACAGAGAAGGCTTCAGGTGTTTGACCATCACCGCCTTCGTATCATAGGCTGTATTCCGTGGTATCACCACGTCAGTAACACAGAACTCAGGAGTACAGTTTCAGGGAGGGTAGAAGAGGTAAGTCACTTCACATGCTTGTCAACCTTCATCGACTGACATGGATAGCTGGCTGCCTGACTAGGACATGTGTTACATCTGCCTCGTCACACAATGTTGGCTGAAGTGGGTACAGGATGGAAAAACGCCCAAGGTGGCCACACTAAAACATCACATCAATGCATGAAGTAGTCTCTGACTGTTCATTTGAGCCAGGTGATACGATGCAAACTAGGTGGTTGGGGTCCAAGGGATAAGAGGAATCAGTATTTGGAGACTCTAGGTGACGATAAAGCTCAAAACCGATGTCAGTGGCTCAGATGTATCCACACACACATTATCCTCATCTTAATGGCGCTATACCGAATCTCACCATTTTCTCATTCTTCCCTTCTCTATCTCTTTTCGTGCTTTATATTTCTTTCGACTGAATTTTCTTATCTTTATCTTGCGCCTCACTGCCTTTTTACTTGATGTATTGATATGAGCTGTGTTGCAAGTGGAACCGTTACGCAGTAACGCCTGGTCCTAGGTTGATCTAGATGGATGGAGACTGATGAGTGACAACTCTACACTTGTAGAACATCTCAACAGAATACCAAATGATTTTTGATCAAAAGATAACTGTGTAAATCTCTAAGAAATTAACGCCTAGTGAGAAGATAGGTTTTATAGATGAATGTTTCAAACACCATGTTCACTTTGTTATTTAAAGTCATCAGAATATTCATCACAAAGATGAATGTTAAGAGACATTGGTACACGAATAATACCGTCCAGAATGCAATCCTGACTATTAAAAAAAAACACCTTCATAGGCAATATATTGTATAAATAGTTAACAAACTCATATTCAATACAGGAAACTTTATTACTTACCACTAGATTCGCATTCATAAATTGTCACATATATTGGCATATCAGCTTTATTTCTAATGACATTATACTCCAGCTGTTCATTTGCATTAGATGAAGTGAATAATGACGGTGAAGTGTACGCCACAGCTAAACGACCACTATATGCACAATCCATATCCAAAATAATTGGTTTCATCAATTCAATGTTACTACTTATTACCGAATCATTTTTAGTAGTATTTAGTTGTAATTCAATACAACTCGACATCGATTCCATTAATGGCATTTGCCATTCATCCCAGGTAAATTGATTCAAACATTTGTTGTTAACTGTGTTGAAACCAAGCAATAATAATAATAATAATATAATTCTTTGTATTATACCATCGTTGATTGGACCGAATGGATCAGTCTCTACTGGCATATGGGCTCCTGTGTGGATACCTCAATATTGCCTGTGTTTTAATTATATATAGTAATGATGGATAGTGACTAGCAGTGAAATCCAGGATGCGCATTTCATCCTATTTGGGACACGTCAGCTGAGTGATGGTGTTGTTCCCAGTGAGGTTCTAACTTGGGAGCGATCTATTCATATGCCAGAGCGTTGTCGACTACACCACCAAATCACGATAGCCACTTCTTGTGCGATGGGTATAGTTTATCAGTATTAATGCTTGTATTATACTGTCGTTGATTAGACTGAAGTGGTCAGTCTCTATTAGCATCTGGGGTCCTGTATGGATGCCTCGATATTATCAGGATTGGAAAAGTAAGACAGGCGTTCATTAACCTGAAACCAGTGTGAAGATTCACTGCACTCAGCATAAAGAACAATATCTGGATTTTCAACACCAATTCAGTCAAGTCAGTGCTCCTGCATGGTTCAGAAACTTGGCGCCTCACGAAAAGTACTTCCAACAAACTACACACATTCATCAACAACTGCCTATGCTGGATCGTTACTGAAGATGAGATGGCAAAAATAATGAGAATAAGCAACAAGGAACTCTGGCCTGGTAACGAACCAACCAAGCAAGAAGCTAACGCACAACAAATATGCAGAAGGAAGTGGAGATGGATTAGGTATACACTGTGAGGGCCGACTGGTGACATCATGCTCCAGGCCAGGAACTCGAGTGGAACCCGAAGGGGAAACGGCGAGTTGGGTGTCCGAGGCGAGGGTGAAATGGAGGAGATCGTGCGAAGAATAAATGAAAACTTCTGGACTGTCATGGAGACAGGTTCAAAAGATTTCGGAGAACAGAGTTCACTGGAGACATGCTAATGAAGCCCTATATTCCACTAGGAACCCAAGGGACAAAAAAAATAGGGTTTAAGGTAGTCAAATCAAGATGCGTCATCAGTCGATGAAGTTGCTGACTGCTGATCTGAGTCGTGTTTAGAGGTGAAGACTACCTGGTTGAGATCATCAAGACGATATAAATCAGTAGTTGAGTAGTCTTCCTTTATCATTATCATCATCTCTCACACAACTATGATTACTTTGATATAACTTCTTCTGTACCCGCCTATTCTTTGTATACGACTATCAAGCCGACTGCTCAAGCCAAAGTATATGACAGGGAACTTGTGTTAGGTGTCCATTCTTGTTACTACTGTGCAGATCTAAATCAAGTTCACTCTGAACGTTGAATAACACATTCACTTCAACTGAACTGCATGAACATAAGTATACCGATTAAGTAGTTTTTGTTATGATAAACAGCACATAGGTGACATCAAGAGCTCGTTCGATGAACACTCTCATCATGGAGTGATATCACTTAGGGAACCATTAAGAACTCAGGAGTACTAAACAGCTGTTTCGTCCTAGTATAGGAATCCTAAGCAGTATGCACAAAAGACCCGGCTACAGATCAAATTCAGGACATGCACGGTTCACGTGAATGCGTTAATCATTCAGCTACTGGGTCGAACTCTAACGCTTCACATTTTCTAACTTCTATCAATTCGCAATATAGCGCGACTATCACGTAAGGTCTCCAGATGGCATCCATTTCTCTTCAAATTGATTGACCCCATAGGTCATTGTGAACCATTAAAGTCCAACCTAACGGCTGAATAGTTAACGCGTCTTCCGTAAAACCTGAAGATCATGAGTTCAATCATCTCTAGTCGGATCGTGGGTGCGCACTGCTGAGAAGTCCCATAATAAGATAAAACTGCTGTTCAGTGCTCAGAAGTTTTCAATGGTTCCTCAATTGATGTCAGTCTGTGATGAATACCACCTCGAAAAATATATTTTGCTCTCTTTTAATGAAAATTTTAAAATCCTTTATAAAGTTGGCCAAAACAATTCATATAGGTGTGGGAAATACAATATGCAGACATTTTTATTTTGTACTTAGATGAAAAATGAACAATCGCCATGACTACCATGATCATATTACAAAGAACTGATTGGTGACTAAGCAATAAACAACTTCAGGTTGGCCAATCTTGAATGTCGATTGGTTTAGAAGTTCGGTTCAAGCTTCTTTAAGGAAGTTAACGATAATTTCTAATTAGAACACAAATATAACACCAGCGGATTCGTGATGCACCAATAGACGCTGACCTATACAACTATCCTCCATCCCACGTCGCCACTTCATACACTGACCACCACCTCACTTCCTCCATCCAGTCACAGGGCTAGCGAAAAATGAACGGTATGAAAGTCATTGGGGTGACATGTGTAAAATATGCCGAAGCCACAAGAGCCAGTGTTTCCAGATGACTACATCCATTGAATGACGATGATTTCTATCATGCCCAAACACACACTATCGTATCTCAGAATTACTTACATGGTGTTGCCAACAGATAAAAGCACTTCTACATAGATAACGATGATCGAACACATAGAGTCGTCACACATCCTCAGCTCAAAGGGGGCAGGTTTCATAAGCATAGAGCAGAACTACTCACACCAAAGCGTTGTAGACCCGACTTTTTTACGGTCAGACTAACGTCGTGATGGCGCCGAGAATGGCTCAGATCGGCGTATACCACTGTCGTTTTCGATATGCAGTTAGAAATTTCATTACACACAACTACCTAGATACAAGAACTTTTCGACTATTTTCGACAGCTCAACATCAAGGATGAGTGCAGGCAGAGGCTCCTTTCAATCAATGGCCTAAGGCACATACCTAACTTACTTCGGAGTAGTAATCAAAGTCACAGATACAAAAAATAGAATTACAATTAAAAATGTGTATCACATTAACTAAACTCCAGAATAAAGTGATAAAATTATTTCACATCACATACACACTCAGATTTATACTGGGCGATAATGAAGGTGAAATGAAAATTTGGACCGCGGTCGGATTCGAACCAGCGACCACCGAGTTACCGGCCCGGTGATCTACCAACTGAACTACGAAGTCCAATTGCTGATCAGATTTTCATTTCATTTCAGTCGCCAAGCGTTTTACCTGACTACTATGTGAATTCATGGCCCGCTACTATCGCTTAATTGTACTCACATTGGCTAGACTAGTCAAGACTTCTGATACCAATCCAAATATAATTGAATTAGAAAGGATAATTAATATGATGCTCACTCTATCTAATTCAGCAAACTTCTACACATTCGTGTATTAGGCAATAAGCCATACTATTGTACACCATCTGACTGCATAAAAACCTCCGTAGGTGGAGCACGGTATTCGAACCCATGACCTATGTGGTTGAAAGTTAACTGTTCAAACCAATGAAATAAGAATTATGCTGATATAATAGAAATACAAACAAAGACATACAAACTTAAAACATTACAAAAGTACGAGAATGAGAAAAGACCTATTTCAATTATGGTTAGAGTTAACGTACATTTCTTAGATGGTGAATAAGTGGTTGTATCACATTCGTAACATCTCCAAAATCGTAGACAACCATCTGAACAGGCGGATACAATCAAGTATGGTGGTGGAGCATTGAATGTTGACAAAGCTGCCCAACTAACATGAGCTGCTGATACTTGAGCACAGATTATTGATACACCCAATGGTAGATGAAGTTTACAATCACAAACCTAGATTGATTAATTGATATGAAGAATATAATTTAAAGCATAAATAAGAAAGTATTAAGTCAACTAGAAAGAATGAAGTTGCAAGGCGCTTACGGCTGGTAAGTTTTTAACTAAAACATGACGACTTTCGTCAGCCATTCAGCATGATTCTTCCCATGATCATAAAAACAACCATCTGCATAGTCAAGTACGTAGTATGCGTTAAGATATCATCAGAAGTCATAGGCAATTATCAATTATTCACCTCTGGTGACTCCACCACAGCTACTGCTTTACCCATCAGCTGTCAGGTCACCTTTGCCAGCTCACTAATATCCATGGGTTGGGCTGCACTTGCCAGTCGTAGCAGCGAGGCAGTGGAATTCGGGGCACTTTCGGTGAACTGTGAAGACAGTAACTGTGCCTGGGAGTCCTCATCGAAAGTCGACAGAGCTCGTCCAATAAGCTTTGTCAAATTCATAACCAGTACTAGCGGATCCTCGTCTATCCCAAGTTTCCTGCTCCGGAACGGCTGCATTGCCAGCTCCCTGTCTACTAGACTTTCAAACTCCACCTCCAGTCATTCAGCCATTCTTTGATAAGTCTCCTTCCCATCCACGCTATCATATGCCTCTTTCGCTCTACACCTCAGCAACGTGCCAAACAGCACAACCTTTGACTCTTGGGTCATGGACACATACCAGCTTAGCGACTGACTCGAAATCCTTGAGGAAGACTTTGATATCTCCATCCTCTAACACTGTAGGCCACGGAATCATCATCACATCCAGAAGCAGCGACACTAATCGTAAGAAATTACAAAGGCTGGGACGCAGGAAGAAATGTTTATTATGACATTTTGTACAGTACTGATGAAATGTTGTACATTTTCCATTGAAACAGTCATTTGCACAATGTGCTTCAACATCTATCTCGATTTGCTCTTCATACGCTCATGTTGTCTCCTGCGTTTCTTTGGGCAGAATATTTACTCATTATTAGTCATTGCCTATGACCTCTGCCTCCCTCTCAACATATACTACTTATATCCATTCTTATCAGCAGCACCCACTACAGTGTTATTTTGTACAGTGAAGGAATAGTCAAGTCCTGAGTAGAAAGACCAGATCTATATCTGATATCCTAGAGGAAAAAATGTTTCTTCCCGAGATGATAAAATGACATAACTCGATGAATGAGTCACAGGTTAACATGTGTATATGTCGTGCCGACTAAATGTGAATATTAACCGAGTTTGACTAGCAATTCAGTCTTAAATATCATCCAACCAAAACCAAGGTGAAATAGTACTGTGTTCACTACATCTCATGAATTTCAGTGCTTTTCTTGAAGAAATAGTTACCAACTCTTAGTGGGAGAGAGGGATGGGGGAGCGTAAGATAGAATGCTATATGCACTAAGAACATCCTTATTCTCAAGAAACAAGTGAAACATTCGGGAACGTTTATCTAAGCAACACAGACTTTGAATATAGAGTATAGTAAAGTCTGCCCATAAAATAAACTTTAGTCGACTCTGTCCAACGTAACGTACATAGACGAAACAGGTGGAGGAAAGAAACGTAATATACAGTTATAATATAAACGGTGGGGTTAATAAGTTTACAACAACATTGGTGACTTGAAGTATTAACTGCCTTTCGTTATGAAGTTTTCCGCCATAGTCCAAGCTATAAAGTTGACACTTAAGCCTCGATGCAACAGAATAAAACCAAGAGATACACGACTGCACTTAAACAAGTAATCTACAGAAAGACTTTACTATCGTTATATGTATGCGACGGTTAACTAAAATATTATTATTTACAAATTGTATGGTCTATGCTGACATAACTTAGAGCTGGGTATAACGGTAATACTGATGATGAGATCGGTCCAGAGTGAGTGAAATGGTCATTTTGATCTGGCTAGCGAAATCTCTCTGAGCAGTTACTAACAAGCACACTATGGATTAAGAGTTGGGAAATCCAATACAGCTAGAAGAAACCACAGCTTGAACGGAGAGACAGACAAGATAACAGAGATCTTTTCACACAAGTGCAACACTTCTGGTTGCTCCACTTCAAAGTAGCATGTAGAGCAAGTGGATGGGAAAAGAGTGATGTTAAAGTAGACGAAGGTGCATAAGAGAATCAACAATCTAAAGATAACTTTTTGTTCAAATATTCCAGCTTCAGAGGACGGTCAAGGAGTAAATACATCTGCATCATTGTCACCGATTTCCGACCATATCACCAAGAGACCTCAACGACTGATTCCTGTCATCTTAAGGCAGTCTACATCTCCCAACATGACTTAAACCAACAGTCAGTGGCTAAATCGACTGATGGCGCGTCTTTGTCTGGCCACCCTGAACCCTTTTCCAAAGTTATCCACCCTTCTCTAGCACCTTACATCAAGGTAGGCGGTGGATCGGCATGTGGAGTACATCTCCAAGCGATCTCAGTCGATTGAGCTTCACAACCTCATCAATCGACTTGCCTGTCTTGCTTAGTACCCTTCGCTTGACCTCAACATTGCTTACAAGGTGATTCCAGAATATGTGAGCAATATTACGATCACATCCGTAATCGAAATCCAAAACCACATAATGCCTTCTACTCTTAACGGCCATGTCTCACAGCCGTATAACGGAAAAGAACAGACTCCAGCAGAGTATACTTGTTTTTTGATAGATAGTTGGGTATCTCCTCAGTCAGCGTCACAGATGACCCAAGTTGGCAAATGCCGATCTGGACTTCTGTATCCACGCTGAGATTTAATCAGCGACTAGCCAGTTTGGTGGGCTGATCCAACTTCACAAGCAAGTGAAGTGGTTGACAATCGAATCTTTATTCATCTAATCAATACCTGAAACATGCAAGAATAGGTAGAACGAGGTTCGACCACGAGAACCATTACTTGAAAGTCAAGTTCTTAAGTCAGTGAGCTATATCTGCAGATTACGGAACGGAAAAATTCAGGTAGTAATTCACAGACTACGAATTACTAAGTTTATCAGCATCGTAGCCCACAAAATCAATTACATTTATACATTGAGAAGGTGAAGTTACGACGTAGTCAGAAACTGGATCTTTTAGCTCAGTTAACAGAGTCCCATTAATCTGGAGACTAACAGTTGAAGACTTACCACAACGCTACACTGTACATCATCATAGAACAGAGCAGAGAATGGCAGTCAACACTCCACCTCAACTTCATCGACTTTGAAAAAGCCTTCGATCGAGGCGTCGACCGAAAAGTAGTTTGGAAACTGCTTGCTTCAACACTACGGAATACCACAAACTTTAATCCATCTCATTCAACAACTATATGAAGACGCCACATGCCAAATAAATCACAATGGGAAGGTTCACGTTTCTACCATTCATGCATAGACCCGAAACATTAGCTATACATGAACAAAAACCGAAACTTTGCATTCAAAAACTGTTTGTGAAACCACACTCTCGACCTCGGCCTTAACAATTCCTTGTTGGTTATTTCGTCAATTTCATTTCATTTCATTTTGGTATACTTCTCTTTTATTATCGGCATCATTATCATCAATTGTTCACTTCATTGACAACATTTGAACCATATTTCACTAGTTAATATCATTTCACTCCTTATTCAGTGACCTATTTTACACGTTTCACCTAAATTACCATCGTTTTACAATTCTTTGACAGCACGTGTCTCTTATCTCACCAATTGCTATCAATTCATCCCTCTTTATTCAATGACCCATTTTCTATTTCTTCTACTTGAACAAATACCACCACCTAATGAGCACCACCACAACCACCATTGAGCAACTTATCTTAGTGCAATTATCTGTCATTCTACTGAGTATAACTACGACTGTACATCTTGATAATGAAGTCGTTGAAAAGAAATGCTTCTTCTTCGCTGATAAATATCTTGTTCTTATAAAATAAATGAGTATATTTCGCCAGAATAATTATCAGTAGATTCTGTCTCTGCGTTTCGTAATTGTTATGTCAGTAGTGATTTCACCGTACAACTAACACATTAGACTGATTACCATTCTATCATTCTATTCGATTTGATCTTCCTCCATTAACCTATTATTATATTATTATTTGTCCCGTGGGTTCCTAGTGGAACAAAGGGCTTCAGTGCACGTCTCCATTCCACTATGTTCTCTGCAGTCTTTTGAACCTGGCTCCATAACTGCCCACAAGTTCTCATTACTTCCTCACACACCATCTCCTCCATGTCACCCTCACATCGGACGCCCGACTCGCCGTTTCCCATATGGGTTCCACTCGAGTGCCTGGCGCGTGATATCCCCGAATGGCCTTCTTAGTGTACGTCCATCCAATCCATCTCCACTTCCTTCCAGTGCATATTTGTTGAGCGACAGGTCCTTGGTTGATTCATTACCAGGCCAAAGTTCCTTGTTGCTTATTCTTATTATTCTGGCCATCTCATCTTCAGTATCCAGCAAGCTTAGGTAGCAGCTGTTAATGAATGTCTGCAGTTTGTTGGAAATACTTTTCGTGACGCATCAAGTTTCTGAACCATATAGTAGCACTGACTTGACTGGCATTAGTGTTGAAAATTCAGAGCTGAGTGCAGTAGATCTCCACACTGATTTCAGATTCAAAAAAGCCTGTCTTGCTTTTCCGAACCTGGCTGGTTTTGACATCCTCGTGTGTGCCACCACCTGTAGTTGAAACGATGCTGCCTAGATACGTGAAAGAGTCTACTTCCTTTAGGTTTCTCCAGTTGATGGTGACTGAAGCTTGTTGGTGGTGGTGGTGTCGGTAAGGCATCTTCATCACTTCTCTTTTCTCTACGATCACTTGAAGTCCCGTCTTCGCTGCCAACTATCCATTAACTTGCTACTTTTTGCCTGTAGATTTTCGAGGTTCGAGGTTCCATTCACCTATAACACTGACTTATTGTTTCAATTTAGAAAAATGAAATTATAAAAAAAAACCGAAATTTTCAACTCACCTTAACAGCATCTGTTATTAAGTTGTTAAATTTAGTAAAATTATCAGGAAGCTGTTGAGCTTTACCAGTAGTAGTGAAATGCTTGAATGAATTCCCATCAGAACTACAAGATTTGGCATCGGTTGACACACGTACACGCCACATTTCCATTCGACAGAAATCAGACTATGATTTAATAAGATATGCAACAATAACAACAATAACAAAAATTGCATTCATCTTCAGGAGTTCGGAAGCGCAAAAATAGCTATTCAAAACACATTATTGTTTAATATGCCTTTTGCAATACTACTTAAATGTAATAAACAAGTGCACTAACTTAATAAAAGCCTCGACATCTATGGTACTCAGTATAAAAGATGATAGACTTGCATGAGTAGTATCAATTTGACTTAAATATATATAAGAGGCTAAAACCGCTATCATTACACACGTCTATCTAAACACATTATCAACAGAATGGTTACTTCAATGGTCATACAACAATAGACAGTTATAGTAGTATGATAAATACACTGGGCGATGAGTAAAAGGTTGACATTAGATATAGATTGTAGTTGTGTAAGTCACAGCCAGTTTGAAACCAAATAATTCCAAAGTTGTTTCGTACGGAAATCTGGTTCGAACTTTTTTCCCCTGAAGAAGCTCGGACCAGACTTCTGTGCGAAACACCTTTGGAATTATTTGATTTCAGACTCGTTGTGACTTACACATATACAATGTATATCTAATAGATAGTTAGTTCTAGCAACTCATTACAATGTAATGATGTAAAATGTGACGACCTGGACAAACACATATATTATGTAATAAAAGTGAAGGCGGATTGTGAGTTAGTTAGAAAAACCATCTACAATGTTAGTGTTGTATTCATCATGGATTGACACCAGCGAATTGGGTATCTATCTACATTACCTCCGTTTTCTCTACATCCACTTGGAGTCCTATTTTCGCCTGTAGATCTTCGAGTCTATGCGACATTAAATATAAATCATCGCCGAAATCCAAATCTTCTAGAGTCTTTTCATTAGTCCAGCGTATGCCCATCTTCTCGCTCTTCACTGTTCGCTGCATAATCCAGTCCACCACAACCAGGAAGATCATGGGTGATAGTTCATAGAAAATATGAATTTGAATGTGAAACTTGAGAGTTTAACCACAGAAATGTGTAAAGTTTAATAGCTTAAATTGTCAAGATTACAACTGATGTTAAGCAGTAATAACTTCTTATGTAGACGTCATCAGTTTGAACATCCTAGTAGTGAAGTGTCTGGATGCCGCATTGAGTGATATGCGTTTGAATCGCTCCAGCAATATCAATTCCCTTGAGTTTGTAGATATGTCTGCTTTATGATTCCAAACAAGCACAAAACTTAGGTTAAGCATGGCTTCCTCCCAGCAATCTTCAACCAGAACTTTGTGCACACTTAAGTGTGAAAGCTACCAAACGAGCTATGACTCAATGATTGAAGGTCAGGTGCTAAAACCAATAACCAATAATTTATAGATAATAGGTGATAACCTGATTTCGTACTTAACTATGTGTTCACTAATATACTCCAAAGTCGACAGGTTCCCCTTCTACATTCCTTACCTATATGAAGCACAGAAAAAAGGGTCTACCTCAGATTTTCTCAACAATTTCAAAAGAGCTTACAACTCAAAAGAAATAACAATTTCCGCAATTTAATCAATCAGCATCCGATAGGCACAATAACTCATCAGATGGATGACGCATTAAAATCATCAAAGATAACTAGCAAACAAACGAATTGAAGTATTCTATGTTCAGTTAATGGTATAACCATCAAATCCCTGTAGCCTAATTGTTGTGTTCAATCTATCTTTGTCTTTAGAACTAGATTCAAAACTTCAACCTTTACTAGCTTACATAATCCTTAGATGAAATATACACTTATTTCATGAGTAAGTGAGTTCAAGTGATTACACCCCAAACAAGTCATCTTTCCATATGTTTCCCTAATTACGTAATCACTCCACCTAGTATTCTTATTCCCAAATGGTATTTGTTCTACCCCTGTCATATGTCACGAGTGTTCGATCAATTCAGTTCAACCAAAAGCGAAGTTTTACAAGCTAAAACATCAAAAACAATACTTTACCCATCGCAAAACAAGTGGTAATCGTGAAACAGTGACCCAGTGGATAACACTCTGGGGTTTGAAACGATTGGTTTGGGGAGAAATATCACTCACAACGAAGCAAGTATATTCAGCTGATGAGTCACAAATAGGACGAAAATTGCCTACTGGATACCACTACCAGATATTAACTTACGCCATCTGTGGCGACACCGTGGTATACGATTGTCTATCGAGGGTCGAGTTTATTGTGTTGCACTCCACTCTGATCCACTCTATGACTGTGAAACATGGCCATTAAAGGTGGAAGACATGAAAACACTTGAGCTGTTTCACCACACTTGCCTTCGTAGCACAGGCCATGTTTCGTGATGTCATTACGTGAGTAACGTAGAAGTCAGGTATAGAATGTGAGGGAGGGGAAGTAAGTTAGTTGACGAGGTTGTGAACCTTGACAGACTGAGATGGCTGGCTGGTTGGGACATATGTCACGTATGCCTAGTCACCACCCGCCTCGTCATACAATGTTGCCCGAAGTAGTTTCAGGCTGGAAAAAGGGTCGGTGTGGCCACACTAAAACATGGCATGAAGTCCTTGACTGTTCGTTTGAGGTATGTAGGGGGATGGAGACTAGGTGGTTGACATTGGTGGTACAAGAGGAAGCAGTGGTTGGAGACTCTAGGTGACGATAAGGCTCATCATCTTAACCGCTATACTTAATCTCATTATCTTCTCATTTTTCCTTCTTCTAATATGAGGGGTGGTAATCTGGACCATTACGCAGTAATGCATGATACTACGTTGGTCTTGATTTGATTTGTAAATAATGACTAATGAATCCAAAACTCCTTCGGTTCGAACCCTATTACGAAAGTGATTTTCACTCCACTTTTAACCATCACTCAGTAACAACAAAAGTAATCAAGTAAGTAAATAAAGTATAATTAACAACTTGCTAAAAACATAAACGAAAATCCGCTCACCTTATTAATTGATAACGAATTCTCTTCTGTAATCAACGTGTAACGAGTCATGCGTACAATTAAAAATGTTGACAATCCAAGTATATCACAATTTTCAATTACATTATCATTATGTAGAACAACAGACATACGATTTGTCTTCAATAGACAATCCTCTGATTTCATAATTATTAATTCACTAGGGAACACATGTAACAATAAAGTTTCTGCGTTGTAGGATTGCTAAAATGTTGAAAATAAAAAAAGTCATGAATCTTAAGTCATTTCATTGAAAAATAATTTTGAGGTTTGTGAGAACTTATTGGTTTCCCCTCCTGGTGTTCAACATGAACTGACTACTTCACTCACCTGGGAATTAGGATCAGCCCTACACTACTGGCTCAGTCGATGGTGAAATCTCTGCACTAACACTAAAGGCTCGATTGGATTTCACCAACTCACGCCACCTGTCGCACCACCAACATATCCGATTGTCTAATAACGGTCGCGTGCACTGCACACCAGTCCAGTCTCTTCTATTGCATCGCTGTGATACATGCCTATTGAAAGTGGAAGAAATAAGAAGGCTTCAGGTGTCTGACCATCACCGCCTTCGTATCATAGGCTGTATTCCGTGGTATCACCACGTCAGTAACACAGAACTCAGGAGTACAGTTTCAGGGAGGGGGGAAGAGGTAAGTCACTTCACATGCTTGTCAACCTTCATCGACTGACATGGATAGCTGGCTGCCTGACTAGGACATGTGTTACATCTGCCTCGTCACACAATGTTGGCTGAAGTGGGTACAGGATGGAAAAACGCCCAAGGTGGCCACACTAAAACATCACATCAATGCATGAAGTAGTCTCTGACTGTTCATTTGAGCCAGGTGATACGATGCAAACTAGGTGGTTGGGGTCCAAGGGATAAGAGGAATCAGTATTTGGAGACTCTAGGTGACGATAAAGCTCAAAACCGATGTCAGTGGCTCAGATGTATCCACACACACATTATCCTCATCTTAATGACGCTATACCGAATCTCACCATTTTCTCATTCTTCCCTTCTCTATCTCTTTTCGTGCTTTATATTCCTTTCGACTGAATTTTCTTATCTTTATCTTGCGCCTCACTGTCTTTTTACTTGATATACTGATATGAGGTGTGGCGGCAACTCGTACCATTACACAGTAATGCCAGGTCCTAGATTGATCTGGATGGATGGATAACCAGTTTAACGGCTGCAATATATTCTGGATGACTGACTGACAAAATCAATGTAGAACCTCGTACACAGGTACATCAGTTCAAGTTGCCATTCTTTACTGTAGTATACAAAGAATAGGTGGAAAGAAAAACAATGATATTAAACTAGATGGAATTGTGTGAGAGAAAAACAATCTGAAGATAAAGGTTAGTGAAAATACTCAATCTTTAAGAAATTTCAAGGAGTGAATACATCCATGTCACTGTGACCAATTTTCAGTCATGTCACTGACTCATGTTCCAGGCAGTCTACATTTTCCCCCAAACAACTTTGATCAACAGTCAGAAACTTCATTGACTGGTGTCATATATTCATCTGTACATCCTGAACTCTCTTCCAACCTAATCCACCTTTCCCTAGCATATTATATAGATGTAGACGGTGATTCAATATGCACAGTACATGGTAAAAGTTATCACAGTTCACAACTTCATCAATCGATTGGCTCTTCTTGCCTACTTCCCTTCACTTGAATTCAAAAATGCTCACGTAGTGATTCCACTAATCATGACCAATGCTAGGAAAACATCTCTGATTAAAAACCCTGTAATCACTTTATATCTTCCTCGGGTTCGACTCCTCGGAAGGAGAGTCATGGGTGTGACTTACTAAGGAGTCCCGAATTACGATGAAACACCTGATTAGTACTAAAAGATTTTTAATGATGACATTCCCTAGTGAATACAAACTTCAGAAAATAATCTCTTTGTTTAAACATAGAACTACTGACATAATTAATAAACTTATCCTTACATTAGGTTCAAATAACCGCATATCTACCCTAACTCCAATAATTCACATCAGCATGTTGGGGGTAACAACAACAACGATACCAGGAAGAAAGTAAGAGACGAAAAGCGTCATATGTATACACCAGAAACACACCAAGTGAGTAATATTCTTGATGTTCAAAGTACTAAGTAAGATAGACAAATCAGATAATCAAAAGACTCATGCAACTGAGAAACTAAACCCTTAAAGAAGGGAGACAGAATAAGGTTTGAGGTTTTCAAAGGGAATTTCCAACACTATAAAACAAGAAAGTCTATAACTGTTGTGTTGATCAGTATAAACTTCCCAATTGCTTTCCAAACGATAATCAACATCAATACTTTATGACTGACTGCAGATTATACAGCTGAGAGTCGACGCACATGACATAGATGTAATCATGATCGATCTTCACTGAAAACCTATTAGCATTATCACCATTAGCTTTTTCACAATAGGTTCATCTTTCTTTCAAATACATCTGATACAGTATTCTTTCCTATTTTTCGTCTTCATTCAATAATCGACTTCGAACTCAGTATGTACTGTGATGTGATGCGAAGAGTCGCAAGTTGAACGAATATGCAGTGATATACCAGGTTCTACGTTTTGTGTATGCATTATTTGGAAAAAGGAGGTATATGGAACCTGATATTACCGCACAACAGTTCAAGTTGTCATAATTCACAGATCAACAAATCAAATAAGAAGACAGAGGTGATGAAGATACTCAACCACCACCAACAACAACTACAAGCACCAATCACCATGAACGGGAGAAATCTAAAGGAAGCTGTCTCTTTCACCTATCTACCTACCTAGGAGGCAGCATCGTTTCAACTACAGACGGAGTCACAGGCATAGGTGAGGATGTCAAAGCCAGCCAGGATCGGAAAGACACCAAACCTTGCCTTACTTCGTTAACCTGAAATCAGTGTGCAGATCTACTGCACTTCAGTCAGCATAAAGCGTGAACAAGATGAGGATTTTCAACACTAATTCAGTCAAGTAAGTCAGTGATTTGATGTGATGGTTGAGAGACTCGGCGCATTACGAAAAGTATTTCCAACAAACTACAAACATTGATCAACAGCTGCCGTCTACACTCACTTGATACTGAAGATCAGATGGTCAGAATAATAAGAATAAGCGAGAAGGAACTCTGGTCTGGCAAGGAACCGACGAACCAAGGACCTATCGCCCAACAAATATGTACAAGAAAGTGAAGATGGATTGGGTTGGATATACACTGAGAAGGCCGACTGAGGAAATCACGCGTCAGGCCAAGTCGTCAAGTGAAACCCAAAGAGGAAACGACGAGGGTGACGTAGAACAGATGGTGTGAGGAAGAAATGAGAGCTTATGGGCAGTCGTAGAGCCAGGTTACCGAAACTGCAGAGAAGAAAGTGAAATGGTGACGTGCTACTGAAGCTCTCTGTTCCACTAGGAACTCAAAGGACAAATAATGATAACAAATATTAATTGCTGGACACCGATAAAGTTTATTTCAGACTTGAAGTGAACACTTTCGACAAGTTGATGATACTGCTATGAAGAGTCCTTGAGAACCATTACTAGCTGATATTTATACGTCATATATCGAAAACCCGGCTAGTGATTTCATCTCAAAGTTTCTCTTTACAAGAGATAAGTCGATAACATCATAGCGGTTTGAAAGAGACGTGATGATATGATTTGTCTACTAAAAAGACTTAACATCGTACAAACTCACCCTGACTTGTGAATCGATGAGAAGATAGTTTAATAACACGGTCAGTCTATGAAAAGCCTATATGGACAGGATAATAGCTGAATTTTCATAGTTTGTGTTTACCAATTTACATGTGTGTGTGTGTGTGTGTGTGTATGTGGTCACAAACACATAGAAATGAGTAATCGACGCATGCAGTTGAAGGTGGGAGAACATGCACCTAAATGATATCAAAAACAGAACAAATGTGAAACTTTGATATGGGCAGAAGGGGGAGGGGGGGGCGAGATGACCCTCTTCATCCACAGTTAAAAAATACAACGTAACTAAATGAAAGTTTGAATGTAATCAAAAGCCACAGGATGTTATAATCAGGAAAGAAATTGGTGGGTAAGAGGGTGAAACAACAACGAAATACGATATGATAATAATGATAATAATAATAATAATAATATAATAATAACAATAATAATAATGATTATGTATATGTGACCGAAGAATTGGTCACACATTGTGGAATCAGTGTGTGAGTAATGGTGAAGTCAGGTGAAAGGTACTAGTCTAGACAAGCAAGTTCATTGATGAGTTTGTGAATGTTAGTCGACTGAGATGGCTAGAACAACCAACTAACTCGACGTGTCATGCTATGGGCTGCCGGATTAGGTTAGAAGAGGGTTCAGGATCATCATCATCATCATCATCACGTATCAAGATAAGACGAGGCATTACTGCCTAACGGTCCGAGTTGCCACAGCTTATATCCGTACATTAGGTAAAAACGCAGTGAAGTGTAAGGTGAAAAAAAAATTCAATCAAAAGAAATACAAAGTACGAGAAGAGAGAAATGAAGAATGAGAAAGTGGTGGTATTCGGTATAGCGTCGTTAAGATGAGGATAATGTGTGTATACATCTGTGCCCCTGACGTCGATTCGAGCCTTATCGTCACCTAGAGTCTTCAACCACTGCTTTCTCTTGTACCACCAATGTCAACCACCTAGTCTCCATCCCCCTACATACCTCAAACGAACAGTCAGAGACTTCATGCATTGATGCCATGTTTTAGCATGGCCATAGTGACGAGGCAGACAGCGACTGAGCATACGTGACATATGTCCCAACCAGCCAGCCATCTCAGTCTGTCAAGGTTCACAACCTCGTCAACTGACTTACTTCCCCTCCCTCACATTCTATACCTGACTTCTACGTTACTCACATAATGGCATCACGAAACATGGCCTGTGCTACGAAGGCAAGTGTGGTGAAACAGCTCAAGTGTTTTCATGTCTTCCACCTTTAATGGCCATGTTTCACAGCCATACAGTAGAACAGAGCTATCGGTCAAGGGGTTCAGGATTCCCAAACCAAGACATAAAAACACTAGTCCATGAAGTCCCTGACTGTTGGTGTGATCTGTGTAGGGAGGTGTAGACTTCCTAGTTGAGGTTTTCGAGACAACAGGAATAAGTGGTTAAGGACTATTGGTGACATATCTGAAAATTGGTCACAATAGCGTAGATGTATTCAATCTCTGATTGCTTCTAGAGCTTGAGAATATATTCGAGCTAAGCTTCATCTTCAAACGATCAATTCTCTCATACAACTTTGTCAACTACGATATCACTTTTTTTTCGATCCACTTTCTCTTTGTATCCTACTGTGAAGTATGACTTGAGTTGATGCACACTTATGTGTGAGAGGCTGTCTGTTGATTTCGTCTGTCTACCTACTGTCTATTCCTTAAACAAAATATAAATCGATAGAAAATACCCTTTCAATAAGAAATAAAATGCTTATTCAATAAACAACTGAATAGACTTTTACTTACGTAATCTTTCAATTGACTTGAAAAGGTAATTCATAATCCAATTGAATAATACAACCCAATGTATCTGATTTAGTTGAACTATGCAACAATTGACGGGTATCATACGAACTCTCATCAACCCGCTCCCTACTACTACTACTAGTAGTAGTAGTCAGCAGTAGTATCGCTATAAATATGTTTAAATTTTGAAAAGGTTAGAAATAAGCCTAGTTGATCGCTACCGTTTTCATCATCAGCACTACTACTACTACTACTATGAATTTCAGTAGTAGTGTCCAACGATGCAACAAATAATGCTACAGGATATATTGTAGCCATTGTTGTCAGCATACACGGAAACCATGCAATATGCTTAAATGTTAAAGATGTATTGGATGTATTGGAGAAATTTAATCTAGCCACTTCAGATATTCCACCATGTGATGTGATATTACCCGATGTACTGATGTCAGTAGTTGACATATAATAAGATTTGATAATTTCTGAGGTGAACTGATCATCATCTTTATCATAAATGGCGGTATTAGTTGATGTTTGACATGTATTGCTTAGTAATTGATGAATATATAAATCTTTTGAATGCTTTGAACAACAAGATTGACTGTTAGATAGTACAGATGATGTATAACCAGTTGTCAAGGCACCAACTGAAGAAACATACCATAGGATAATTTCATTATAGTTTATAACATGATATTGATTGTTATCAGTTGAATATTTTGACTTTCTTAAACGACATTCATAATGTGAAGTGGTTAAAGCAAGAGGCAATAGAGGATGTGGTACAATTGTGCTAGTATGAAACCGATGTCCACTAAGACGTGAACATCCAGATATACCTACAATCCACTGATAACTAAACCGAAAGAGAAAAGAGAAAAAATAACACGAAATTATCATAATATCATCAGGTTAATTGGCTAGTAATGATTCAATTTAACAACTTTTTGAGTAATATAGGAGAAAAAATATTGAAGGACAGAGAACACCTTCCTATATTATGCAACCAGGTAACATCCACCTGTCTAGATATCAGTGAATCGTCGACTGTAGAAGCATAACTATGAAACTATGGTTTTTCATGAAATTGCTGTTGGTGATGTCACTAAGATAAGTGAGAATGAATGATGATTGCTAAAATGAGAATAAGGGGGGGGGGGGGGTAGGAGGGAAATAGGATCGAATCGACACATCCACTTAGTAAACTTATCCATATTCGTGCATTAAGCAATGAGTCATACCTATTGTGTTAGGCTGTTGATACTACCTGAATGCTGAAACCTTAGTAGACGCGGCAAGTCTAGAACCCACCAAACTTCAACTAGACAATGGTGAAGAAACAATTGTTGAAAGGAGATGCAGCTGGAAAAAAAACTTACCTTCCTACAATACTATGTTAGGAATATACTACTCATTGTGTGCAGTTGAAAGTTAGGCTAGCATGGTTGATTTATACCAGAAAGTCTCAGTTTCTTTATGTAAAACATTAACAAGATATGAGAAGACCAATAAAGATTAGAAGGAAAAATCAATCCAAGATAGTTAACAGTCGATTAACTTTCTTCAGAAATACCATCAATCCAACAGGCGCTTACACGACTCCTTTACGTCTGAGGCTAAATTGATTAACAGTCTAACACTTAGGAGGGTTTAACTGGAAACCATTTGTCAATTACAGACAAGAATCCATTTAACTCAGAGCAGTCTAAATGAGAGTTGACTGGAATAAACACCGTCAAGTCATCAGCATACTTAATAAAATTAGTTTCAACAAAAATTACTCCACTTTGAGGCACACCAACTTCAGTAAGCAATGAACTCGACCATCTTCCTTTACTGACAATATACTGTTTCCTTTCAGAAAAATATAGCCACTTTGTAACTCGTGGTTCATACTGACTCATGGAAAGCTTATTTAACAAGGATAGTTAAGGAACAGAGTCAAAGGCTGATATGAGTAGTCCAAGAAGTCACAACGAACATACTTAACACCTTTGTTTTTACTTGAAACAATATTATGATGCGATATAGTGACAGTATCTAGAGTACTTCTCTTATGTTTGTAAACAAATTGTTTTGGATCTTTGATAGCCTTCAATGATGGTTTAAGCAAAAGGAGAAGTGCTTTCTCCATTGTCCTCAAAACAGAGGAAATTATAGCGATGGATCGAAACGTAACATCTGATCCAGAGGATGACTTAGGTACAGGTACAACTTTGATCTCCTTCCAAGTAGTGAGTATTGTGTTTTTAGAAAATGATGCATAGAAGATCTATGTAAGGGGATGATATAAAATATTTGCACATCTGCTAAATATACTACTAGATGAATTCAAGGATTTAAGACATTTGAATACATCATGTGTATTAAAACCAGGAAAGTAGCTGTCTATTTGACTTTGAACATTAGAAAGGACGAAATAAACTGGCCGATGTATAAGTGACTTATTTAACGCACAGATATCCGTATGAGTTTCTTTCGTCATGTGTTTCCTACCAGTTAACTCTTTAAAAATTATTCCCATATATATGAGAAGAGTTCTTACACGAAAGAAACTTCTGGTTGTAAATAGTAATTCAGACATTGCATTTTAGATTTAATTAGTCAGCTAAGTCTTTTAACGCCAGGGTGATCTCTTATCATCATTCATCAACCTGTAATAAAAACTAAAGTGTCCAAGCTAGTAAGTCTCATCTGTACAAAGTTGAGAAAAAAACTGATTTCTTCCAAATTAATATTATAATTTGTCCCTTGGGTTCCTAATGGAACATACGGCTTCAGTAGCACATCTCCATTCCACTCTCTTCTCTAAAAACTTTTGAACTTGGTTCCAAAACTCCCCACAACCTTTCATTTCCTCCTCACACAATCTCCTCCATGTCACTCTTGCCTCAGACATCCAACTCGTCATCTCCCATTTGGGTTCCACTCGACCAACTGGCCTGGCACGTCATGTCACCAGTCGGCCTTCTCAGTGTATGCCCACTCCAATCCATCTCCACTTCCTTCCACTGCATATTTGTTCAGAGATAGGTTCTTGGTTGGTTCGTTACCAAGCCAGAGTTCCTTGTTGCTTATTCTTTCTCGCCATCTGATCTCATCTTTAGTAACGAGTGAGCGTAGGCAGTTGTTGATGAATATCTGTAATTTGTTGAAATCCCTGTCGTGATGCGCCAAGTCTCTCAACCATCACATAGAAGCACTAACTTGACTGACTGATGTGGTGTCGAAAATCTGGATCTTGTTCCACGTGCTGAGTGCAGAAGATCTTGGCTTTGACGTCCTCGTCTGTACCACCTATATTCGAAACAGTGCTGCCCATTGCCTCCACGACAGTCCAGAAGTTTTCATTTCTTCTTCACACGATCTCCTCCATATCACCCTCACCTACGACACCCAACTCGTCGTTTCAAATCTACGTTCCACTCGACCAACTGGCCTGGCGCGTAATATCTCCAATCGACCTTCTCAGTGTATGCCCACTCAATCCATCTCCACTTCCTTCCACTGCATATTTGTTGAGCGTTAGCTTCTTGCTTCGCTGGTTCGTTACCAGGCCAGAGTTCCTTGTTGCTTATTCTCATTATTTTTGTCATCTCATCCGCAGTAACGAGCCAGCATAGGCAGTTGTTGATGTATATCTATAGTTCGTTGCAAATGCTTTTCGTGACGCGCCAAGTCTCTCAACCATCACATACAAGCATTGAATCAGTGTTGAGAATCCGGATGTTCTTCACAGTTTATGCTTAGTGCAGTGAATTTCCACACTGGTTTCAGGGTAACGAACGCCTGTCTTGCTGTCTTTCCGATCCTGGCTGGCTTTGACGTCCTCGTCTGTGCCAACACCTGTAGTTGAAACGATGCTGCCCACATAGGTGAAAGGGACTACTTCCTTTAAGTTTCTCCCGCCAATGGTGATTAAGGCTTGTTGTTGTTGTTAATGGTGATGGTTGGGTAACTTCATCACCTCTCTCTGTCTTCTCTATGCTCACTTGAAGTCCCGTCTTCGCTGCCCTGTCTCAACTCTCCTGCCAACTTGTTAGTTTTCGCCTGTACATCTTCCAGTTTGCGCCACAAGACATTAGACACAAGTCATCGCCGGCGAAATACAAATCCTCTAGGACCTTTCGCTAGGTCAAGCGTATCCCCCTCTTCTCGCTCCTCCTCAATGTTTGTTGCATGATTCAGATGACCACAACACAATCAGGAATATCATCGGTGATAGTAGACAACATTGTCTTACTCCTGTCTTCACTTCAACAGCATCACTGAGCTTCCCATTGTGAATTACTTGGTATGTGGCGTCTTCATATAGCTTAGCTGTTGAATGAGATTGATAGAGGTTTGTGGTATTCCATAGTGTTGAAGCAAGCAGTTTCCCAAATTACTTGTCAGTCGACGCTGTCAAATGCCTTTTCAAATTCGATGAATTTGAGGTAGACACCTAGTTGACTGCCATTCTATACTCTGTTCTATGATGATGCATAGTGTGCCGTTGCAATTCGGTACGCACATGATTTGTACTTCCAAATAAATAAATCATAAAATGCACAATAGATATTGAAAAAAAAAAGGTGTTAATAGTTTAACTTACTGACTATATTCTGAAACATCTATCCGCCAATATCGTAATGAACCATTTGTATGCATTGTAATCATAGCAATATGTGAAGAATTTTGAATTCGTGATGCAAAAGTTGTTGAGTTCAATTGAATCTGTTAACAAATTTAACAACCGGAAAATAATTGACTAGATATATACAGATATATATTTACGCTGGATGATGATTCGAACCAGTGACCATAAAGTTTTCAGCCCAGTGGTCTATCAACTCAGTTACAAGGTATCACTGTTGACCAGATTTTTATTTTATCCTTTCTAATTCAATTATATTTGGATTGGGATGAGAAATCCTGATCAGGCAGCCAGTGTGAATACCATCAAACGGTAGTAACGCGTCATGGTAGTCGTTGGGTTAAAACCCTGCTTATAATTGAAGTAAAATGAAAATCTAGTCAGCTAATCGGGTCTTGTAGATGAGTTGACAGAGCACTGGGCCGGTAACCCGGTAGTCGCTGGTTCGAATCCGGCCGCGGTCTAAATTTTCATTTCACCTTCAATCAACACCCAGTATAAGTACTAGTCTGCCAAACCACGGCTATCTCAGGTAGTCAAAATTATATATATATATATATATATATATATATATATATAATTTGTTCCTTGGGTTTCTAGTGGAACATAGGGCTTCAGTAGCACGTCTCCATTCCACTCTGTTCTCTGCAATCTTTTGAACCTGCCCTCACGACTGCCCAGAAGCGCTCATTTCTTCCTCACATGATTTCTTCCATGTCACCCTTTCAAGTAGGACAATCACAGTTTGCAAATGAATTGCGAATTACACTATCCATATTGACATATCTTAGAGTTGAGTAGTTTATCAACTATATTGTCAACAGTCTTTTACTATTGAACTGTACAATCTGTAAAGCATCATTTGCAAATTGTTCACTCATCCAAGTTAGTCGGCCAGATTCTAATGATGTGAAATAATTTGGCGCTGTAAGCTGAATTTGTCCAGGTATAGCACTGAGGAGCTGGTTCAACCCTCAAGGTGAGTGAAACGGTTGTCCGGTATTTAAATCACTCTCAGATCAACCTGACTGATTTTCAACTACTCAAACTGTTTAGTTCTTATTGTTTTGACGACAAAGGCGATATTCAAATGAGAAATCTGGCTATTTTTTATTATTTGTCCTTTGGGTTCCTAATGGAACATACGGCTTCAGTAGCACATCTCCATTCCACTCTCTTCTCTAAAAACTTTTGAACTTGGTTCCAAAACTCCCCACAACCTTTCATTTCCTCCTCACACAATCTCCTCCATGTAACCCTCGCCTCGAACGCCCAACTCGTCATCTCCCATTTGGGTTCCCACTCGACCAACTGGCCTGGCACGTCATGTCACCAGTCGGCCTTCTCAGTGTATGCCCACTCCAATCCATCTCCACTTCCTTCCACTGCATATTTGTTGAGCGTTAGCTTCTTGCTTGGTTGGTTCGTTACCAGGCCAGAGTCCCTTGTTACTTATTCTTTCTCGCCATCTGATCTCATCTTCAGTAACGAGTGAGCGTAGGCAGTTGTTGATGTATATCTGTAGTTTGTTGGAAATCCGGCTATAGTTTTCCTTTATGATATAAAACTACCCTAACTATAAATCACTATCTACTATTTCTCGGTGAGTCAAAATGGTTTAATATAATGCCGAAAACTAATAATCCCGGTAGAATGTATCGCACTATTAAGATTCGTCAGCCAGGTTATCTCATCAGCCTTATAGTAGATTTTAGAAACACTCCAACTAACGAGTTGTCTAAATATTTAGGAATGGTATTAGGTCAAACAAGAAATCACTCGAAATCTCGACTTACCAAGTCTTATGACTTAAAGAACAGATAAGATGACAATGAAAATGGTTAGTTTTGACATAGCTACCCTTTACACAAATATACCGATCGACATGGCTCTAGCGGCAGTTACAAATGGACTGCCAATCGAGGAAGTTATGACAGGAGAACGATTGTGCTGGACATCTACAGTTTTAGGTGATAAAATAAAGTATATAAACAAACTGAAAGGGTTGCCATGCAATCACCAATATCCCTTATCATCGTAGACATTTAGCCCTACTCCAAAGATATGTTTCCAATATGTAAATGATATATATACAGTCCTGAAATCGGACACATATCAATAGGTTCTTAGTATACATATAAATTCAGTAGTGAATGCAATCCAATTTACTTGGAACTTAGAAAGTGATGAAGATGAGCTAACAATATTGGATTGCAAGATTAAACAAAAACAAGACAGAAGTTTAGAGACAAGTGTCACTTATAGGAAACCATCCTATTCGAACTGTTAGTTAGACTTTAAATCCTCACATAAGGTGTAAAAGCTTACCAGTAGACTAGAAAATCTGAGACAAGAAATTAGACACATCAAGAATACCCTACGTCTCAATAATTACTCACCTAAATTTATAAATAAATTCATAAGAAATAGAAAGAAAATATTAGCAGTAGTAGTGGCACACGCGTTATCAATAATAATTCTACTAATAATAGTAATAATGGCGACAGAGTTGAGAGAGAACTCAAAGTCCATATTGTGTTACTATACAAGGAAGGCACTTCAGAAGTATGATGAAGAATTCTCAATAAGGCTGACTGTAATTAAAGTGGCATTTAAACAACAAACTCGCTTAGAAATCAGCTTTGTAGGTTAAAAGATCCTGTTGATGTAATGACTATTAGTCAACTACATAGGTCGACTAGGAGCGATTAGAATAAGAGAGCACAAAAACTTAGCTGCACGCAGTTCAATACAATCACGCATAGGGTAGGATAGAACGACAGCGTTAAAAACTAATTTAGTTGGGTGGAGGCAGAGAAAAATTGATAACCGAGTGAATCTATGTTTATCGAATCAACACTAAATACATGCAGTTTTGGAAAGGATTCTGTACCCATCCCAGATACATGAAAAATTCTACTACCCTTGTTATCACAGAGAAAGAGTTACCTGATATGAATATAGACAATAAATTGTGTCCGAAACGTTATCCGGTCAATGATAATGTTCCTTCATCATACGACATCTCTAATAAACAGACTAAAATAGAATTACAATCGATCACAGTACCCAAGTTTTAGTCTTATATCTGAAAGCCTTTTCAATACACTTTAGTAAGCTACCTAAGGGATCACCTAAAATCTGACTGAGGCGATATAAGCACTACAAGGCAGTTGCTAGAGAAACAAGCTCAAGGAAGTATTCACCACTGCAGTATGCTTCTCTAACCGCTTTTCAGTCATAACTGCTATCGTCTGAAACCATTGAGATGTGCGATTGCTTTAGACTCCATCCACGATGGACCTGAATGCATAGGTTAACCAATTAAGCACAAAACAGTCTTTTATGCGATCGTCAGGGATAAGTTTGTCATAGGCCGGATAATGGAGACCGTTTTCTGGATCTTTAGGCAGATCACAACCGGCCAGCACCAATTCCCGATACAACAATCACTATTGTGTAATCTGAATACTTATCCAAATGTTTACTTTAAACAATCACCCAGATTTTAAGCAGTTGTAATTCACGCAAAAACTAGAATAATTTCAACAATTCAACTGTTTATGATGAATCTATCTGCCTATACAAGGAGACCAATTTTAACCCTTAGAGAAACAAAATGGCAGTCTAGAAACAATCACTAGTCATTCGTATAAACAATCTTCGAATATTCATACCATACTAAACTATACAATTTTACCATAATAGGTGGTTTGATGATTACGCTTCTTGTTTAGTCAAATAAAGAATATTTTCGGAAGGGATACATGTAATCAACGAAGAACGAATGACCAGTAATCAAAACAAATGTCAGCGGCACAGTATACACACTTTCTCAGGTTCGTACCGATGAAGTACAAATGTCATATAATCAGGTGTCTGGCTTTCAAGAGTAACATCCATCTGTTTCAAAGAGTGTATGCAGAAAGTACTGTGAATCTGTAATATTCTAAATGAGAACGGATATCCAGATAACTTCATCAAAACTAACATCAACTATATTGGTCCTAAACAAGAACTGATAACAGAGGGGAAGAAGACTTTGTTTCTGCAATTACAATTCAAAGGAGATGTTGCAAGTGATATTATATCAAAACGACTGGCTAAACTATTCAATAGGACGTTTTATGCAGATCGGCTTTCCATATCATTCAGTTGTCGATTAATGCTCAATTTGACACTAAAGGATTGACTACCTAATCATAGCTATTCACCTTGCATATATCAAGTGAACTGTTCCTGGGGAACTATTTACACAAGGCGTACGATTAGGCAGGTGTGTCTTCAAATACGAAAGCATATACCAGCGTCGTTAAAGAGAGGCAAGGTGAAGTGCTGAAAAGTTCATTCTTAGAGCATATAGTTGACACAAGCAGTCATATTTTTAATCACTACTATTATTTGTCCCCTTGGTTCCTAGTGGAACATAAGGCTGCAGTAGCACGTCAACATCTCACTCTCTTCCCTAGCTCCACGACTCCCCATAAACTTTCATTTCTTCCTCACACTATCTCCTTCATGTCACCCTCGGACGTCCAACTCGTCGTTCCCCCTTTGGGTTGCACTCGACGACCTCACATGACACGCGATGTTCCCATATGATCTTCTCAGTGTATGTCCAATCCAATCCACTTTCGTCTTACGCATATATGTTGGGTGATAGGTTTCTGTTGCGTTGGTTCGTTGCCAGACCAGAGTTCCTTCTCGCTTATTCTTATTATTCTGACCATCTGATCTTCAGTATCGAGTGAGCGTAGACGGCAGCTGTTGATCAATGTTTGTAGTTTGTTGGAAATGCTTTTCGTAATGTGCCGAGTCTCTCAACCATCACATCAAATCACTGACTTACTTGACTGAATTAGTGTTGAAAATCCTCATCTTGTTCACACTTTATGCTGACTGAAGTGCAGTAGATCTGCACACTGATTCAGGTTAACGAAGTAAGGCAAGGTTTGCTGTCTTTCCGATCCTGGCTGGCTTTGACATCCTCATCTATGCCTGTGACTCCGTCTGTAGTTGAAACGATGCTGCCTCCTAGGTAGGTAGATAGGTGAAAGAGACAGCTTCCTTTAGATTTCTCCCGTTCATGGTGATTGGTGCTTGTAGTTGTTGGTGGTGGTGGTTGAGTATCTTCATCACCTGTCTTCTCTACGTTCACCTGAAAGAAGTCCGGTCTTCGCTTCCTTGTCTCTTCTGTCAACTAGTTGGTTTTTGCCTGTAGATCTTCGAGTATGTGTGACAAGACATTAGACATAAATCACCATCGGCGAAATCCAAATCTTCTAGGGTCTTTTTAATGTATACTAATAAATTTAGCTCCAATCCTAGGTGAAGCCTTGTAAAAATATGCATTCTGTCAAGGCTTATTGCTTAGATCTATTCAGGAAGTTATTTTTAATCAGACATAAAATCTATATTGAACCTCACACAGAAGTGCATCGATTCTAGTTACTACGCTACACAGTAGTATACAAAGAGAAATTGTATTGAAAATGACGGGTATCAACGTAGATAAAGGTGTATAGTAGGAGAGGGACTTTGAAAATTAAAGTTAGTCACACAAAAAACACTCAAACTTTAGAAACGTTAAAAAAGAATTTATCTGCACCATTCTGACCGATTTTCAACCATATCACCAAGAGTCTCCAACCACTTATTCTTGTCGTCTTGAGGACCCCTTAATCCAGCAGTCTACATCTCTTCACATAGCTAAAACCAACAGTTAGAGACTTCATCAACTGGTGTCATATTTTCATTTGGCCACTCTAAGCTGTCTTCCAACCCAATCCAATTTCCCCTCTATATTACTCATAGTGATTTCACTAAACATGAGCAATGCTACGAAGAAATTTGTGATCAAGACGCTGAAACTGGTTTTATCTTTTAAGAGCCGTGTCTCACAACTGTATAACGTAACAGAATGAATTGGAGTGCAGTATATACTCATCCGTTAATTGACAGTCAGATATCTCGCTGGCTCTAGAAGTAATATTTCTTAGCTTCGTAGAAATCTTTATTTTGCTGAATGTATATGACATTTCTCCTGGAGATCGGCTGCCATTACATAAGAGCCTTCGGTGCTGTTAGGGACAACATGATAGTTACTCCCTGAGTGTGCTCGTGAGGTCGTCGAGTGGAATCCAAAGGGGGAACGACGAGTTGCTCGACTGAGGGTGATATGAAGGAGATGGTGTGAGGAAGAAATGAAAGTTTATGGGGAGTCGTGGAGCTAGGGAAGAGAGTAAAATGTTGACGTGCTACTGCAGCCTTATGTTCCACCAGAAACCAAAGGGAAAAATGATAATAATACGTTCAAAAAGTGTGGGCATATATTCCACGCAGTATAAATTTCTGGTGAATGCAAACTCCATAAGCGTCACAAACTTCACTAAGTAGACTTTGTACAAATCCAGTACACCATAGGATATCGAACAACTTGCATTGCCAGTAGTATGAGGACAATTGTTTTTTAACTGTGTGAATGAATAGCTAGTTCCCCTTTCATATGTCGAACACTACACCTAACCTTAATATACTTGAAGCAACAGCAGCAAAGCTTACTGCTTTCTCATACGTTATGTTTGTCCCATTGAATTCAATGCAACTGTCACACACACACACACACACACACACACACACACACACACACACACAGAGCATTTCCAAGACAGGAATATACACATTATTATGTGAAATACAAACAATGCGATGAAATGATAAAGTCTGTTAAACTCACTTCAGCTAAAAAAGATAACATCGGTTTCAATTGTCGTTGTTTCAGCTGATCAAGCATTTTAATATTGTTAGCAGTTCTGATTGACTGCTTTGAAAATTGTGTTAAAACTTGGTTGATTGAATACTTTAGAAGGAATAAATGACAAAATATGTCTAAGTTGTCTTGGTAATTTATTGTTGATAAGGATTTAGCATTTTCATTCCGATGAATACTACTAACATTATTGTTAGTAGTAGTAGTATTGTCGGGAACAATTTGTAAATTATTGCTTTGTTGAAGATGATTCATTTTGCGTTTTAAACTATCCATTGTTAAATAGGTAAATAGTCTAGATGAAATAGAGTAAGCTGCATCTAATGGAATAGCTTGATGTAGACGTGATCTTACACTGCAAGTGACTTGAGTTAAACGATTTCCCATATTAGGGATAAGTGTAAATGCTGATTCACAGCCAAACTTTGTATCACGACCAGATTCATGAGGAACTAAAACTTTATGCGTACGTAGTCCTTTTGGATTTGGGACAGATACATCTAAGCCGTGTATATACCTGAACAAAAAGAGGATGGAAAAGTAATTACATTCTTTCAATGTGTATATATATATATATATATATATATATATATATATATATATATATACAAAGGTGGCTGAAGGCAATCCCACCGGCAGGGTTCGAACCCATAAACCGTAGGTTGGAAGTCAACTTCGTAAACTAATGAGTCACAGTTCTATTCAGTCAGGAAATCTGAACGTGTAGTGCTTTGTCCTTCACTGTGGATAGACCCTATCGATAAGTGCTAACGAGCATAAGCTCAAGTCAAAATAACTTCCCACCATCGAAAATTCATGTGAAGCGGATTGCACAACAGTAAAGTCTCCCAGGTTAGTGACCATATTACAAATTTGATCGATAAAACATCTACAAATAACTAGGATATATAGACTTTACAGCAAAATACTAATCCATAGAATGAATTATACTACAGTGACCAAAGGGTATTGTTCCTTACTGTGAAGTGGTTGAACTTAGCAATCACACGCAGGAACGGATTTGGAATCTGTGACATACTAATGTTGACTAACAGTTCAGAAGTCCAATTAGGTGAACATTTGTTTATGCAATAGCCTTATAAAGAATGGAATTTTCAAGTGAAATTGTCTTTTAGTGTTATTACTTGTATTATACCGTCGTTGACTGAACTGAATTGGTCCGTCTCTATTGGTATATAGGTTCCTGCGAGGATGCCTCGATATCTCCTGTGTTTTAATTATACACAGTACTGATAGATAGTGTCTAGCAGTGGAATTTAGGATGCGCATTTCATCTATTTGGGACTCATCAACTGGCTGCTGGCGTGTGAAGCGATCGGTTCTGAGTTCGAATCCCGGTGGGAACATCACTCACTGGGAGGCATCCTGGATTCCACTGCCAAACACTATCCATCATTATTATGTAATTGTCTTTTACTTGAAACAATTAGTCCCTTTTATGAATTTCGATAGCAGAATTAGATCGTTTTCGTTGCCCTACCTCTTCTGTCAACTTGTTAGTTTTCGTCTGTACATCTTCGAGTTTGTGCCACAAGGCATCAGATATAAATCATCATCGGAGAAATCCAAATTTCCTAGGGTCTTTCCATCGGTCAAACAGCCAACATATGCCCAACTTCTCACAGCTCCTCACAATTTGCTGCACCACAATCAGGAAGATCATCGGTGATTATAGGCGGCAACCTTGTCTTACCTGTCAAACTGTCTTCACTTCACTTCAAAAGCGTCACTGAGATTTCCATTGTCAATCTGTCGGCATGTGGCGTTTTCATATAGCTATTGAATGAGGTTGATCAAGATTTGTGGCACTCTATAGTGTTGAAATAACTGCCAAAGTACTTCTCAGTCGACGCCTCGACCAAAGGCCTTTTTAAAGTCGATGAAGTTGAGTTGGAGAGTTGACTGCCATTCTATGATCTGTTCTACAATGATGCCTTGCTAACTAGTACACTAGTTACTAGCCGATCCTAAGTCCCGATAAAGAGGGAAGATTGGGCGTAGGACTAGCAACCCTACTCCATAAAACCAAACCAATCGCTAAAGAAATTTCTAAGCACAAAGAAACTGTAAAAAAATAAAAACGCAAATTATTCCTTGCTGGAATCGGAGAGGTGAAAGGATGCCGGTTGGTGAAAGCTTTTGTGGAAACCAGTAGGCCGATGTGTCTTCTCTCGATGAAAGCGCAAGTAAGAATGGGGACATGAATGCTATTAGCAGAGAGGAATTTAATTCACTGAAACCTATGGGATTTGAATTTCAAAATATATGAACCTAATATTCCTTTACGCCCTGTAGTGTCAATGTGTCGTCTCTCCCCCACACAACATAATGTAGCTATGGGTAGGCCCTCAAGACCATTACTAGCTGTCATATGTAGAAATTTTCGAGAGTGACCTCATCTCTAAAGTTTCTATTTACAAGAGATATGTTGATTACACCATAGTGATTTGTGTGAGACATGAGGATATGGTTTGTCTACGAAAAAGACTTAACACCGTATACACTCATATCAGTTTGACTTGTGAGAAAGAGAATAATAATTAACTGATAAACTCCTGAGTCAAATAGATGGTTCAATAAGACGTCTAGTCTACAGAAAGTCTACATGGACAGGACAGTATGTAAATTTTCACAAATTTTCTCCAGTCTAATACGAAACGAGGTCTAGTAAAATGTTTATTTAATAAGACCTATCGTATCAGTGCATCAGATACGATGAATGAAGATATCAAATCAATCAAGTCAGTGCTTCCATTTGTTGGTTTTAGAGACTAGATACATTACGAAAAGCATTTCCAACAAACTACGAACACTTATCAACAGCTACCACCTACACTCACTCGATACTGAAGATAGGATCAGATGGCCAAAATAATAAGAATAAGCAATAAGGAAAAATGGAAACGAACCAACCAAGAACCTATCGCCCAACAAATATGCACAAGAGAGATAGATTGAATTGGGCATACACTGAGAAAACCATTTGGAGACATTACACGTCAGGTCAGGCCATCGGGTGGAATCCAAAGGGGAAACGACGAGTTGGACGTCCGAGGGTGACATGGAGGAGATCATGTGAGGAAGGAATGGAAGCTTCTGGGTAGTCGTGGAGCTAGGTTTAAAGGACTGGAGAGAAGAGAGTGCAATGGACACGTGCTACTGAAGCCTTATGTTTCATTAGGAACCCAAGGGGATAAATAATAATAAAAATAATTCATCATAGACTGACATCAGTTGGGGAACCATTGAAAATCTGGAAGTACCGGGCAGCTGTTTCGTGCTAGTATTGGACTCCTTGGCAGTATGCATCCGCAACCAGTATCGAACTCTGAACTTTAAGGTTTCACGGCGAACGCGCTAACCATTCAGCCACTGGGTCCGTTTTCAGTGATTCCAATATTTGGTTATTCTAAACTTATTCACTGGTCTCCTTGAAAGTAAACAGATACAACTAACCGAAACTACTATACTCATTAAGATTCACCTTCAAGGTTCATAGGTGACTGATAGAAATTCGATTATCGGGTAACAGGTCAATAGAAGCCAGATCAACTCTTTAAAGTAGTGCACACCAAAGTCGAGAGCTCTGATAGACGACTTCTTATGGTAGCCAAACTACTATTCAGTTGCTACATCGAAATCGAACGGTATATGCAAGACAGTATCCTTAACAAAAAGAACTGTTAACACGCTCAACTTGGTGTAACGCCGTAGGTCAAAGATTTTCAAACCGAAGGTTGAGAGATCCATCTGAAAGTAAATCACAAATGAAGTCTTTATGTTTGATAGATTGAAAAAGGTTTGCGCAAAGTCGAATGACTGAATTGAAAGTATTCATTGACGATACGATAATGAGGGGATAAATCGTGTTATGTTGTATATGGAAAGAAGTAGGAAGGTACCCACGCAAGAGGATTCTAACCAAAGGAATGAAGCATTAAAGTGATATGGGTATAAAGAGAAATGACTAGTCTAGACAGTGACCAATCAAAATTTACTTTATGTTATCACATCCACAATTAGACACAAAGTTGCTGGATCGGCCAATCAATAGGATTATCTTAAACACCGAACTATCTATAAATTAGTTGTATTTTTGTTGTCTCTGGGTTATCCGTCTTTCGACCCCAATACACGAAGCTACACGTACATCGTATTTTCTCCACTAATCAGTTGCGTCGGAAATTAACTAGGAATTTGTTGAACGTTGATGGTTGATAATCGATATCCTGACATCGTTAGCGGCCATAGCACACAGAAGTTTTCAAAATCATAACAGTGGCGACGGAAATAGGATATTGGGAAATGAACTTTTCGAAGTTGGACAGTTTTCATAGAACAATAAATGAGGATTATCGAAACACTTACACAATCCAAAATTTCTAGTAATGAATCATCGTATACGACATCAGCCTTCAGTTGGCAGCATCGCCAATACAATCAGTGAATTTCACTGTGATTCTCATGACAATAAGACTTTCGGTGCTTGGTTCAGGTGTTACAAAGACTACTTGAAAGTGGATTTTGTTGGCGAAGATGATTCCTGGAAGGTATGTCTCCTACTTTGAAAGCTTGGTCCACATGAGCTCGATCAGTATGGCAACATGATTTAGCCGCAGAACCCACGTCATCGCACTTTCAAAGCCACAGTCTAGACACTGAATGACACATCCGCAAAATATTCACGACTGGGTAACCTGCAGCGTGATTGGAATTTAGCTCAATCCGGATGCCATGGTGGTTGTGAAGTACATACACTTCATCAGACATCTCATTCCTCCGCATCACCCTCTGGCCACACATCCCCATGGCCTCATCTCAGCATTTCATCTGCCCAGTAACTTATACGGTACCAACTGACCCTCGAAGAAGACACTCCTATCGCCTTTCTAGTGTTGTAGTGACTGGCATTTCGTCAAATCTGATCTACACAAGTAACACCGATGCGTGGACTGTAATGCTGTGGGTCACAAAGACAACTTTTACCGCCAACACACTCAATGACGTTTACAAACGTCATCTTCCAGATATCACAGCAGATCTCATTCTCGAATGAATATCGAGAAGACTAGTAATCTTCCAGTAAACAAGGAGAAACTTCCTCTGCGTTGGTCAGATAGATACAAGAGAAAGACAGTGCGGCCAATTCTGACCCCAAATAACATTGTTTCGACGAGGAAGGTGATATGGAGATAGAGAGAAATGACTAGTTTGGAAACGAACCAATCGAAATGTATTTCATGTTATCAAGTCTACAATCAGATTACACAGTTGCTGGATCGGCCAATCAGTAGGATTATCTTAATCACCGAACTATTTATACATTAGGTGTATTTTCCTTTGTTTTTGGGTTATCGGTCTTTCGACCCCAATACACGTTTTCACAAATCCATCATATCCTCTCCACTAATCGGTTGGGTCGGAAAGTAACTAGGAATTTGTTGAACTTTGGTGGTTGATAGTCGATATCCCTACAACTGTTAGCGAGCATAGCTCATAATTTCCTCATCATAAAAGAAATTCCTAGGTTCAATTCTAATTGGATGAATGCTGCTGAGATGTTGTATGAACAAAGTCGGAACAATAGCCCAATGGGATCCTTGGCTTTCAACACTTTTACATACAACTTTGATTTGTGATGAATACTCTGTTGTATTGACTGGATTTGTAGATGTACACACAGTGTATAGCTTTAAAGACGTACACATTCGATTAGCGTCCTTTTGGGCAGTCTCAGGCCTTTCTCATACAGACTGACAAAAAGCACCGTAGAACTTCACATAAAAGTACATCGATTCAACTTTACATACCTCAAAGCATCATTCAAAAAAAATAGTGACTATAAATAATACCGATATATCTACTTTATTCCGAACCCCAATTAGGTCTACAGTTTAGAACTCTCAGCATGTGATATTACATCCGTTAAACAATATTCAGCAAAGAATAACAAGATTAGTACTATAGTTTGTATTAAACCATCACTGATTGGACTGAATTGATAGGTCTCTATTGGCTCCTAGTGCGGATGCCTCGATATTGCCTATGCTTTAATTATATATAGTAATGATGGATAGTGGCTAGCAGTGGAATCGAGGGTGCGCATTTCGTCCCATTCCTGACTCATCAGCTGGATGTGCTTGCCTCCAAGTGAGTGTTGTTCCCGCCAGGATTCGAACTTGGTGCCGGTCGCTCTAAACGCCAGAGCGTTAGCCATTAGTCCACCGAGCCTCGATAGCCATCATTACTATGAATAACAAGGTTGTTGAACTGTTTAATGACTACAGTATCATAATAACTGTTCACTATACCAGAATTAATTGATAAGACTTTGTCTAACATGATTTTCTTCACACAACGCACAAGCTAAGTAGGCGGTATGGTCGGATCTTTGTGTGTAGTTAGGTGTGCAGCTTAACATATTTGCTTTTTGTCTTCCTAGCTGACAGACATGGAGAGAGGTACAGATGTGGATAAAATATTATTAGCTAGCTCAGATGCCCATCCATAACCGCATTTATCAGTAAAGTTAGTGGTGTACCACTCACTCCACTAACAGCCTTCAAAATCCTACACAATACGTCGTTCTCTTTTTCCCGGAGTCCCAGAAAGAACAAGCGGAAACCATAAGTAACTATAGGCAAAACATAGGAATTAATGAAACGTAAAAGTAGAGGCTAAGTTATGTCAAACAGTTTGAGTTTCCTTATGTAAAAGTTCGACCGAAGGATTTCCTTGGAAATCAGTTAGATATAAAGGGACCAAGAAAGATCCGAAGAAAAGCACAGGCCAAGATGGAGGATCACGCTTGTTACATTCTCTACAACAAAGCCATCTGAAAGAGAAGAGTCATGGGACTGAAGCAATTTACAAAAGTTTTGTTCACGTCTTAGTGTGCAATTAACCATCTGACATTTGAAGGGTAGCAAAACTGTTTTAATTTCCTTTCAGGTGGTCAGTACGTCATTTTTTGCAGTGGACTCATTAAAAACGTTTGTGAGTGGATAAAAAAGGTTGTAAGAACATTTGCTAAATCGAATAGCTAGTATGCCACCTAATACAAAAGTCATTATTATCAAGATCAACATAGGACCAGGCATTACTGCGATGCCACACCCCATATCATCACCACCAAGTAACAAGGCAATAAAATGGAAGACGAAGAAGTAAAGAAAAATTGGTCAATGGAAGCAGAAGGAGAAAGTTGTGAAAAAGAAAGGAAGAATTAGATGATGAGATTAAGCATAGCGATTAATGTGTGTATACATGTGCGCCGATGACATGAATTCTCAGCCATACCAACTAGAGTCTCCAACTATTGGTTTCCCTTGTCCCATGTACCCTAACCGGCAAGTCTGCATCAACCTATATGGCTCAAACCAACAGTTAAGGACTGCATTCAATGATGCCATGTTTTAGTGTGACCGTCCCGAGTTTTTTTCCAGACTGAAGCTACTTCGACCAACATTGTGTGATAAGGCCATTGGCGACTAGGCATACGTAACACGTGTCTCAGCCAGTCATCTCAGTCTATGAAGGTTCATAACCATGTCAACTGACTTACCTCTTGTCCATAAAACTCTACTACTTACGTCTGCGTTACTCATGTGGTGACACCACAGAATACGGCCTATACTATGAAGGCAGCGATGATCAAACACCTGAAGCCTTCTCATTTCTTCCATCTTCCATGGCAATGGGATATCACGGCGGCGTCACAGGTGGCGTAAGTTGAAAAAAGCCAGCTGAGCCTTTTGTATTCGCGCAGAGATTTCATCAACCACTGAGTCAACAGTACAGAAGTAATCTCACTTCCCAGGTAAGTAAAATGGTGGACACACTCAACTACCACACATACTCTCTATTGTTAACCGTGGCACTGTTGAAGACCAATTCCGGAGCAACAATTTGCATTTCAATGGTGAGAAACACATTCCAAACATTCTCAAATTGCTACTCAAGGTGTCCAGAAGACACTGCAAGTAGACAAAAATGTATAAGGGAAGAGAAACATTTTGAAGATAAATATTCAAGAGTGAAGAGGATTTAGGTGGGAGTAAATATTTCTTTGAGATAATAGAGAATATTTGTAGCTCAGGTGGATGATCTTGGTTGTATTGTGTTCTCTGAGCTGGGTTGTGTAATCGTGAAGCTCTCATCGTTCTGCTAGACAACATCATCAACACTAACTTCAGTATGAATTCATGTCCATAATTATCTACGTGCATTGAAATGAGTGACGAAATATCGTGGCGTTTAATAGCCAATAGGTGCTCATGTAGACGAAAGTGAAGGAAACAACCAATCACAGACCATATCGTCAAAGCAAGCCAGTAAAATCACTCACGGAGAGATATTGACAGCTTACTTCATACTGAAGTTAGTGCTGAAGATATTCAATTCAACACCTATGGTAATACATAATATTGAAGAAAAAATTACCAACTTACCAAACAATGAAACTTCCATCAAGAGGATGTATAGCAAATACAACATCTGGTGAATGTTGTAATTCACTAAACAGTCTTAAAACAATTTGATCCATTAATGCTATTTGGTCTAACAATTCAGGAGGTGTAATACTGACATTCAACGATGAAGGTGATGTATTCTCACAAGCTGTTAAAAGAATATAAAATAATTTAAAAAATAATCATTATAACGGGGGGAAAACACACACACACACACCGATCAATCAATGGTGTTCCAGTGCCTCAATCGAGATTCTCGGACACAGTTAATTTGGAAACGTGTCATCTAGTTACTGAATAAACAATATAATACTTGATGATATTCGAAAATATGAATCTACAACAATATGAATAACCTTGAGGGGAATAAATTAATTCATTGAAAGCAAAAGATTAACCAATCAGAAATTAGCGTTCTTAAAAGCGGTAAAATTAAACGACACAAGTGAGGTGAGAAAAAAGGCGGGAACAAGATCATTCAAATTTCTAGGAATATAACATCCTCAAAAAATTGAGTTTAGAAACCTGTTCATAGATTAATTGTAGGAATCTTCATCAATCTGAATTCAACATTTTCATATGTCTTAGTGATTATGCTGCAATTGTAAGGTATTCAAAACCTTAATCACTGAATGTAATAACTAATCGGACCAATGCTTTCAGAAGGAAAAAATATTCATAAATATTTTTTCTAAAATAACCTAACAGAAAAAAAAGTTAAGGATTGTGTGTAACGGATAATAAACGCAAGATTCCTTTTCGTCAACTTATGTGACTTTTTAGTATAGTATAGTATAGTATAGTACAGTGTATAGTATAGTATAGTGTGATATCTAATTGCCTGTTAAGTACTGATTGTACTGTCGATCAATGTGATTTAGCCAACAATACAGCTAGGAGATATTATCAATAAACTGAAGGTGGTATCCGACTACAATTGCTTTCGCAGTGATTCTCGCATATGATGAAGTCACCATGTGAGTAATACTAATATCAGGCATAAATTACCCACATAAGAGCATCGAAGATACGGTTGGAATATTCTGATCTACAGCGCAATGGTATCTCGTATAAGATTAGGCCAAGGATAGCTAAATCAAGGCTCTAAAAACTAGGCACAGATGTGTCTATGCTTCATCTTCAACAAAATCTTAATATAGTAAACCTTTTTTTCTCTTCTTCGACTGGCAGATAATACGCCCAAGTCTTACTTTCGTTCATCAATCCCTACACGACCCTGATTTTCAACAAGTGGTCAGCTAGTCAGAACAAATTGTGATAACAACTCCAATACTGATTAGAACTTGGGCATCGTGGTAGGATGCAATTCCATTATTATTTACTAGATTACATTTCCGATACAATTCACTGTCCATAGAGACTCCACAACATATGACGATTAACAAAGATTCAACAATTATCAATCTCTCCCTCTGCCCTGTTTTGTTACTTTTAAGGAGTTTCACCCTGCCCCAACCTATTGTGTGTAACAGTATCCATAGCTATGGTTAAACTTTTTTTTTTCTAAATTCCTTACCTTACTAGGACCTACAAATGTTGATCTAGCTAGATGTTTTGTTCTTGGATAGCCTAATTCACCCTGATTGGTCGACTACTTTGACTTCGCAATCGTTGCAAGGGATTTGGTAAGCTGAGTTATTCTGCTTAATTGGATAAACAGGATCTTTTAAGCTATAAAGCTTATTTCTAAGTTAGTTTTGTTGGTTTAAATGCCATTCTAATCTCAGTCAGCTTTACTGAGAATCTTACGTAGTTCTAACCCAGTGGCTCAATGGCAACGTGGTGGCCACGGAATCTGAAGGTCGCGGGTTCGATCCCTGGCTGGCGGGGTTGTAGGTGCGCACTGCTGAGGAGTCTCACACTAGGACGAAACAACTGTCCAGTGCTCCTGGGTTTCCTTTGTCCCTCTAACCGATGTCAGTCTACGATGAATAACAACTTGAAATATTTCCAAATCCCCACAACTCACTTCAAAATCCTACGTAGTGTTTCTGGGGTGGTAATACTGTAGAGGTTTTGAAGCCATAGTAACGCCACTATGATTACTAACATTATTATTACTAATATTAACACCTTTGTTACTAATGTTTGTCATATTTTTCTTATGATTTCTGAGAAATTTATCAAATAATTTGGGAGGATAATTGTTGATGAGTAAGTTGTCATTAATGTATCTGGTTTCTTGTCTTAAACCTCCTGTTTTACTGGTAAGTTTTTTGGCCCTGTTACTTAGACACTTTACTAAGTCAAGTTTAACTGACATAGGGTGAGACGATTTGGAATCGTCTAAGTAACGATTTGAATATGAAGGTTTTCTATAGGCACTAGTGCGTCTAAACTCCCATTTTGTTCCCGTTATATTTTGCAAACCAACATTACTGATTCCTTTTCACCGTTTTCTGATTCATAAGTGAATTAGATTGAGTTGACTACTGCATTTATATCTCTGATTTTAACACTAAACATGTCGTCTACATATTAAAACCATATTTTTGTATCTGAACTAAATGTCCCTTTACCCATTCGTTCCCAACTATATGTCAGTCACAATAGAGGATATTGGTGATCCTATGGCAACTCCTTCTGTTTCTTTGTACATTGTAGTCTGAAACCTAAAGATTGTGAACGTTAGGCATAACTGTACTCCCAGCATGATATCATTTATTGGTATCTTAGTTCGTAGTGTAAGCTCATGGTCATTATTGAGCTCGTTTCTAACTGCTTCCAAAGCCATGTCGATCATCGGCATACTAGTGTATACAAACTAACTACATCAAAACTAACCAATTTTTTCCATCATCGCCTAAATGTATGTCATCTAATCTATGCCTCAAGTCATAAGAGTTTGTAACTCTTGATTTAGAAGGGTTTCTAATTGGATCTAGTTCCATCACTAAGCACATTTTATCATAGATATTATCATGGAGGTCACCCTCTCGTCACCTGACTACACAGAGGTTAACCTAATCGTAGGAGAATTTTTGTTAGACCTACAATACGCAGATGACATAGTCCTGTTAGGTGAAGACGCCGACAAGATGCAGAGTTTTCTGGACACTTTGAGTGGCAATTTGAGGATGTTTGGAATGTGTTTCTCATCACCAAAATGCAAATTGTTGTTCCAGAATTGGTCTTCAACAGTGCCACGGTTAACAATAGAGAGTAAGTGTGGTGGTTGAGTGTGTCGACCACTTCACCTACCTGGGAAATGGAATTAGCCCTGCACTGGTGACTCAGTGGTTGATGAAATCTCTGCACGAATACAAAAGGCTCAGCTGGCTTTTGTCAACTTACGCCACCTGTGGCACCGCCAACATATCCGATTGTGTATTAAGAGTGGCGTGTACTGCACAGTAGTTCGCTCTGTTCTACTCTATGGCTGTGAAACATGGCCATTGAGGATGGAAGAAATGAGAAGGCTTCAGGTGTTTGACCACCATTGCCTACGTAGCATAGGTCGTGTTTCGTGGTGTCACCACATGAGTAACGCAGACGTCAGTAGTAGTTTTATGTGCAAGAGGTAAGTCAGTTGACATGGTTATGAACCTTCATAGACTGAGATGGCTGGCTGAGACACGTGTTACGTATGCCTAGTCGCCACACAATATGTTGGCTGAAGTAGGTCCATGTTGGATAAAGGCCCTAGGCTGCCAGACTAAAACATACTCATCAGTGCATGAATGTCTTTAACTGTTGGTTTGATCTATGTAAGTAGGGAAGTGGAGATTAGGTCGTTGAGGTTGGCAAGACAAGAGTAACCAGTGGTTAGAGACTCTAGGCGATATGGCTGAAAATCGATATGTCAGTAGCACAGATGCGTATCCCCACACACATTATCTTCATCTTAATGACGCTATACCAAATCTCACCATTTTCTCATTCTTCCTTTCTCTCTTTTAGTACCTTGCATTTTTGATAGAATTTTTTTTCCTTCATCTTCCATCCTGGTCCTATGTTAATTGGGATAGATGGATGGATCACTAAATATTCAGAAAAGTCATGAGTAGAAGTGTTTCTTAAGTCTACTATAGGTCTAATAAGATAATCTAATTTATAAAATTTAATTGAAGTCTACTGAAATTGAAATAAACTATTTTAACTCATCTAGAAATGCCAGTCTAATCCCAACCTTATTAAGAAACCTTAGTAATGCTTCTAGGATGCTTTCCTTGTACGATAATACTCTCTGCCCTACTTTTCATCCTCTCAGATTTCGTTAAACCTAGTTGATGGATTCACTTGATCGAAAAAAGAATGCTACATTCAAGTGTTTAGCATTATTATTATTATTATCATTATTATTTTTCCTTTGAGTTCCTAGTGGAACATAGAGCTTCAGTAGTACGTCTCCATTGCACTCTGTTCTCTTCAGTCTTCTCTTTTAACCTGGCTCCATGACTGCTCACAAGCTTTCATTTCTTTCTCACATACTATCTCCTCCATGTCAACCTCAGACGCCAAACTTGTCGTTTCCCCTTTGCGTTTCACTCGATGGCCTGGACTGACGCGTGATGTCTCCGAATGGTCTTCTCAGTGTATGTCCAATCCATCTCCACTCTCTTGTACATATTTGTTAAGCGATAGGTTCTTGGTTCGTTGTCAGGTCAGAGTTCCTCCTTGCTTATTCTTATTATTCTGACCATCTGATCTGATCTTCAGTATGGAGAGAGCGTAGGCAGCAGCTGTTGATGTATGTCTGTAGTTTGTTGAGAATGCTTTTCGTAGGCATATAGAAGCACTGACTTGACTAACTTAGGGTTGAAAATCTGGATCTTGTTCTTTGTGCTGAGTGCAGTAGACCTCCACACTGATTTCAGATTGGTGAAAGCCTATCTTGCTTTTCCGATCCTGGTTTTGACATCCTCGTCTGTGCCTGTGCCGTCTGTAGTTGAAACGATGCTGACTAGATAGGCAGTTCGGTGTAAGACACTACTTCCTTTAGATTTCTCCCGTTCATGGTGATTGGTACTTGTTGTCGTTGGTTGGGTATCTTCATCACCTCTGTCTTCTCTGCGTCCACCTGAAGGAAGTCCCTTCTTCGCTGCCCTGCCTCTTCTGCCAACTCGTCGGTTTTCGTCTGTAGATCTTCGAGTTTGTGCGAGGAGACATTAAGCATAAATCATCATCGGGAAAATCCAAATATTCTAGGTTCTTTTCATCGGTCAAACAGCCAGTGTATGCCCATCTTCTCCCTCCTCACAGTTTGTTGTGTGATCCAATCTAGTCGTGTTGACCACAATCAGGAAAATCATCGGTGATAGTAGCCGGCAGCCTTGTCTTATCTTACTCTTGTCTTCACTTCAAAGGCATCACTGAGCTTTCCATTGTGGATCACTCGGCATATGGCCTTTTCATATAGCTGTTGAATGAGGCTGATAAAGATTCGTGGCAATAAAACCGTAGTGTTGAAGCAACTGCCAAATAACTTCTCGGTTGACGCTGTCGAAGACCTTTTCAAAGTCGATGAAGTTGAGTTGGAGAGTTGACTGCCATTCTATGCTCTGTTCTATGATAATGTACAGCGTAGCGTTGCAATTTGATCCGCACATGATTTATTCTTCTTGAAGCCAGTCAGCCTGTTCCGGTTGTAATTTGGAATCCAGCGCATCTTTTAGTCTCTCCAGGACGATGCGGCTTAATATTCTGCTTAGGGTGGACAGAGGTGGAGCATGGTTCTACCCCAGTTCTTGCGAAGACTTAGGTCTCCCTTCTTTGGGAGTTTGGCGAGGTAGTCCTTCTTCCAATCAATAGGCAGGTACCTTTCCTTTCTTCGTTGCAAATCTCCTACAATACTGGTGTGGTGTGAGCATGTCCGCTGTTGTCTCAAGTGTCTCATATCACTAAAAGTGGTCTATAATGACAAGACAATTGGAAAATTCTTGATTAAGCATTTCAAATTGAATACGATACATTTTCCTGTTCTTTATTCGAGAAATATAAACTGAAATAACATTCATTCAATGGGAATAACTTACAAATATGCACAGGTATAGCTAAAATACGTGATATTGTATCCATCATAAATGATTCTAATTGAGTGTTGAAACGATATTCTTTATTGTTGAACCAGTGAGCAGTAAATTGACCAATCTGAGAACTGTACAAAGGGAAAGGAGGTAACCAGAAGATAGAGAAACTTACATTATAAGGCATAACTGATTCGAATTTACTTGTATATAGTGAAAAATTAACTCGATCAAAATGCAGACAAGTTTCACTCTGTTGATGCCTTAGTTAGCGAACGTTTCAATGTCCTGCTAGGTATCATCCTCAGTGCATAGATAGTTATAAGTTGCTAGTGTGTTGGGCATAATTTGATTAGTCGCTTGTTGAGTACATAGGCGTATGCTGAATCTGATTGGTTACCTTTCTGCCAATACTTTTTCCCAGAGGAGTGTGCAACTATATGGCTGGATGATTTCTTTCTCTGGCTTGCAATACGTCGAGGCAGCTGCTTCATTGTGATTTACTCACCCTTCTTATTCGTATGAATTGAGAAAGGTTGCCTCGCAAACATTCGGGATGGGATGCTTAACGCTGATTGGCTAGTTCGCTATAACTTCAATATAGCTCTCTACTACTCTTAGTTGCTTATACCTTACTGACCCCATGCAGACTGTTATTGACATCACAGAGATATGACATAGAGTGATTTGGTTATTGATAAACTTTCGTACAACTTAACTCCACTCCAGTTAACACGGAGAATTGGAGTAGTCGATAATTATACATGCTCAACACACCCTTGACTAATTCAGTAGTTGTTCATTTACAGCCTTATCAATGGAGTTAACATCCTAGTTTAACAGTTTATATTAGGCCTTTATAACACTGCTCACTTTGTAATCTTACCATAGAAGAATAATCTTAGAAGTAAAACCCCTTTAAACTATCCATTTCTTCTCATACATTCCTAAAACAAAACAGTGAACGATTGGGCAATATCCATGTCATCACGACAGTCATAAAAACTGATGTCACATTTGGTGAATAAAAAATGTAGTCAATATGTTGAAAAACTTCATTTCTTTATCCTTTATAATTAGGTATCAGTTTGTACAACCCGGTGGTCTACTAACTCAGTTATGAAACCCGATTACTGACCAGATTTTTATTTCACCTTTAATCATCACCCAGTATCAATACACTAGTCTGCCAAACCACGTCTATCTTAAGCGGTTGGAGACTCCAGGTGATATGACTGAGAACGGATATCAGTGGCACGGATGTATCCTCACCTTAACGACGCTATACCGAATCTCACCAGTTTCTCATTCGTCATTTCTTTCTCTCTCTGTACTTTATATTTCGTTGGACTGGACTTTCTTATCTTCATCTTCCACTTTACTACCTTTTTACTTGATGTAGTGATATGAGATGTGGCAACTCGGACAGTTACACAGTAATGTCTGGTCCTATATTGATTTTGATGATGATGACGTCTATCTCAGACAATCGAACTGGCTATCAATATGATGCCCCATCCTTCTAATTCAGTTAGATTCGGATTGAGATGAGAAGTCCCGACTAGGCAGCCAGTGTGAATACGACCAAGCGGTAGTAACACGTTACGAAATCATATGGTGGTCGGGCAAAATCTTCGGTGATTGAAGTGAAATAAAAATCTGGTGAGCAGTCGGACCTCGTAGCCCAGTTGGTAGAGTACCAGGGATTGGTAACCCGCTGGTTGCTGGTTCGAATCCGGCCGTGGTCCAAATTTTCATTTCATCTTCACCTAGTATAAGTCTGTCAAACCTCAACTATCTCAAATAGTCAAACTGACAATCAGTAAAGATAATATTCTTTGAAGGGTACAAAAATAAATAAAGAAATAATTACACCTTACCTATTATTAACTGTACTAATTTCAGGAAAATTATCCAATGGCAAAGCAGTAGTGAATGTAAATTGTGGAAAGGAGAAATTTTGAGCTAAATTCAACTTTATACCATTTGAATTAACTTCACTTTTAGGAAATGTTGACATGTAGTCCACTTCAACTCTTGTTAAAGGATCAGTTAACCTATATATAAATGTAAAAAAAGATATTTTATTTTTGATATATAAACCAAGATGAAAAGATAACGCGACAACAAGAATCAGTGGAACACTGTAATAATAATGTATGTAAGGCATATGAAATGAGTGATAAAAGTAATCACGGTTGATGTTACGAAGGTAACGGCGGTCAAACACCTGAAACCTTCTCATATGCTCTCTATATTTGATAGCCAAGTCTTATATCAGTATAACAGAACAGAGGAAAACTGCGGCACAGCACACTAGACTGTTAATCGACAACTGGACATTGCAGCGGCGCCACAGATGGTGTAAGTTAGTGGAAAGTCAGTCCAGTCTTTTGTATCTGTACAGAGATTTTGTCGGCCACTGACCAACGCATCAGGTCTGATCCGATTTCCCAGGTAAGTGAAGTGTTCTACGCCCTCAACGATTTCACTCTGTTGTTGGTATCTCCGAAGACTAGTCCTGGAGCAACAATTTTCATCTGATTGGTGAGAGACGCAACCCAAACATTCTCATATTGTCACTCAAGATGTCTAGAAAACTCTGCTTCTTGTCAGCGTCTTCACCTAACAGAACCCTGTCATGTGGGTATTCGAGATTTATCAAGGAGTCTGCTCTGATTAGACCGATCTCCATGAGATCAGACGATGAGAGGGAGACCTTCATAGGAACCTATATGATAAAAATGGATAGGAGTGGAGACAGTGGGCATCCTTGACGGATACCATTTGATGTACACAACTCACTTGACAACTCAACAAGGACATTGAGCTCCAGAACCTGGTGGTATGAATATCTAGTCGATACACCCACAAGTAGATCTGAAGTCTCCCTGGTTTTAGGGCGTTTTCTATACCTGAGATCCACTCAGATATCTAATGATAATAGAACCCAGATTTCGATAAAACATGCTGGTCATATTGAAGCCTGTGAAAATCAGTGATTGAAACCAATCAGAGGGGATCATATCTAACTCTCTTACACTACCCAACACTTCTGTTAACCTAAACAGTAATCCATACATACCTACCTCGTTTCAGATTACTCACAGCCTCCACAGTTTGAGCAAGTGTTGAAATCCCTATCACGATGTTCCATTAAAGATCCAACTGGATAGTGGGCAACTGAATAGTAGCTAGGGGTCAGTTGAACTGTTTCTTGAAGGGTTCCGCACATAGTCCCAGATAAATCCTGTGCAAGTGAACGACAGACCCATCCTTCTGCACTATCGTCTCACTAACGACTAAAATGTTTGCTTAAGTTTCTTTAATAAGTTTAAATAAATAATTGTATACTGTCATTTATCGCCACTGCCTTTACCATCTTCTCAGCCATCACTGCCCACTACTGTTCACGGTTATGTACATCTTTATGCTTCAGACGGAAACGAGCCACTTTCAGACATCATACGCCAAATCTATGCTGTTGGCGGTTTGTTGATTTTCAGTCTCCTAATCAGGCTATCTATGATTTGTTTAGAGAGGTGAAATGTAACGAAAAAGAGTTAAGTGTATCGCATATTTACACAAGTTCTAGGCAACTAAATGAAATTATCAGATCGTGTACATAAGATAAAATAAGGAAACGATACAGCACCATGTGAATCTTTGTACTGGTCATCAAGGCAGGAGACTAATGAAGTCGATAAACAATTCCAGAATTGGAACACTAAGCATTTGTATTATCTTTAAAGATAGACATTTTTGGGATACATTCAGTTGCCCAGCTAAGTCATATTTCAAAGGATGAAGAACTCGATTATAGCAGAAATAAAACTAGTGATATGTAGGTTACATGTTTAGTACACTATTACGAAAACCTAATTTGCTGAATAGATTACAATTTCACTTCAATGCTACAACAAACTTAGTTTATTCTAAATTTAATGATAAGTTTATCAACGACAGATTGGTCAATAATCGTTCAGATGCTCATATTCCCCTCCCTAATTCATTTACTTTTTTGTTGGAATGTGAAGACCAGTTAGAGAACTTCAATTACAAACAGATTAGTGAGGTTAGTTGACATTATTTGACCGCTTACACAAGAAGGTTCCTTGTCCTTCTCAAACATCTCAAGAAAGAAAAAATAAATTGGTAATATCGATGCGTGATTGAGAAGTTCAAGGAACATCTGCTCGAGGCCGGCCACATACACTTTATGAAAGTTTGCAGTTTAGCTTCGACTGATTTGCATCCAGCAATAGAACGCATAGTGCCAGTACAACCATACTCTAAAGCAGGAAGGCGTTTACTATTTTCACTCTCGAACTTTCTAACCTCTCATCTCTTCCCACTGATAAGGCAGCATCTGCATGGTACTCCTGGTCATCCCAAGCAGATACCTCACTGCTGTCACATTCAGTTCAGCAAGCCTCAAGACATTCTGCTTATACCTTCATCATAATGCGACAGTTTATATTGTAACACCAACTACTTTCAGCTTATTCACTATTCAACAGACACCTTTCTCCTAATGTAGAAAATCAAGGATATGTTCATAATTCTTGTACTATGCATGATGGTTATGTCAACATGTCGATGTAGGTTGAGACCAGGTCAAACCACCTTTCACTCCCCACTCATTCCTATCTTCATTCAACTTTATCTAAAGACATTCTACAATAAGACGTTCTTCATAATCTCTAAAACCTTTCTCAACAATCTCGATGTTATCAATGAATCGACCTTGTAACCTGAAACTATCCTGTGTAGACATATGGACTCATGTGTTTACAAGTGTTCTCCAGTTCCACTCGATTTCTAAACGGGTCCAGTGGAAGTTCTTCCGTCTTCATTTCTCCTAATTTCGATTTCACAGTAGGTTTATCCTATGTATATTACATATTATAAACACAATTTGACTGTGAATCTAGAGGGATCTTGTCCTTTAAATGAACTAAGGTGTTCTGCAATGTGTTTGTTGTTCTGCAGAACACTCTGATGATATGAAATTTGTTGAGAACTCTTCTAACTTCTTCATCCTATGTGTATGATTTGTAAGGGATAAGTATTGTTGAGGACCATGATTTACAATTTAATATTCTTTTCTATTTTGCAAATGAATTTTACCGGATAATTATTCATTTTAAGTATCTTTTTCACAGATTTTCATTTTCATCTGTTACTAGTGTGTGCTTTCCTTAGGAGACTGGAGGCGGTAACAGAAACAATTACACTGGTGACTGAATGTGATGAGTACAAATCTAAGTATTTTGTTCGAATGAGTTGTTTTCCTGAAAATGGTTATACCTAAATGTTCATTTTTGTTCCGCTTAACAAGATAATCAAAGAAAGGCAGTTCCCCTTTAATTCCATATTTATTTATTTATTTATCCCTTCGGTTCCTAGTAGCACATCTCCGTTGCACTTTTTCCTCTGCAATTTTTCGAACCTGGCTCCACGACAACCAAGACGCTCTCATTTCTTCCTCACACGATTTTCTCCATGTCACTCTCGGAAGTCCAACTCATCGTTTCCCATTTGGGTTCCACTAGAGGTTCTGGCGCGTGACGTCCCCAGTCTTAATTCTATATTAGATTTGTTTATTTGATTTATAACACACAGTGATCTAGTATTACTTACTTGATGACCACGTTTCGAGCATAAATTATCATTACTCATAATCATATCACAATGTAATCACACTCCACTTTCGAAATCTGATTTCTATAGTTATATCACTTCTTGTGAGTTGTTTTTATTGGTAGCGAAATTTTCCATATCTCTAGTGTACGTGTGTTGCATCATTTCTATTACATGTGTTGAGTGTTGATTGGATGAACAAAGATTCAGTAATCAATCTCTCTTTATACCTACCTACCTAACTACATTGAACTTAAGTACAGTGGCTTTATCCTACCCACCCTATTGTGTGGTTATATGTTAATGCAGGTATAGCAATAGCAAAGTGCTTTTCTACATTATTGATCTTATTTACACCTGTTATTCTATATTTAGCTAAATTCCTATGTTCGGCTATTCTAACTGACCCCGACCGACTAGTTTAACTGACCTATGTACTTGACCTGACTCACAGTCATTACATGGAATTTGATAGATTAGATTATCTTGCTTGATTGGTCCTTTCGAATGCTGAAGCCAATCGACGAAGCTTATCTCTGAGTGAGTTTGTAGGTTTATATGCCACCATAATTAATTCCAGCTCTGTTGACGATTCTGCGTAAAGTTTCTGAGGTACCCTCCTTATAGGGTAATACAATGGAGGCTGCGAACCCCTTGTTTCTCGTGTTGCTGTTATTAGTCGCACTCATGTGACTGTTATTTTTTCGTTTTTTTTTGTGTCCGTAAGAATTTCTTAACAAACTGTGGAGGATAATTACTATTAGCGCATCTCTTACGTGTTTCAATTCCTTGTTTAGGTTCTTGCTCTCACTAGTCAGTTTTCTAGATCTATCATCTAGACATTTGACTAATCCTGCCTTCAATGACTGACATTGGATGAGATGATTTGAAGTGTAGATACCTGTTGGAATGTGTTGGTTTTCTGTAGAGAGTAGTAGTATCCAAGCCACCGTCTGTTCTTCGTTTTATTCTACAATCCAATATAGATAATTCTCCTTGTTCATTTTTTACCTCGTAAGCGAATTGAATTGTGTTTACTACGGAGTTTATATGCATGAGGAAATTGTCGATATGTTCCGATTTCAACACAGTAAATGTGTCATGCACATAACGCCACCATATTTTTGGTGTAGGATTAAATGTTTGTAAAGCCATGTTTTCCCAACTATCCATAAATATATCTGCTACGATTGCGGATATTAGTGATCCCATTGCTACTCCTTCTGTTTGCCTGTATATTTTGTCCTGAAATTTGAAGTCTGTGGAGGTCAGGCATAACTGTATGTCTAATATAATCTCATCAACCGATATCGTAGTTCTGTGAGTAAGTTCTGAGTCAATACGGCTAAGTACTCTTGTGATTCGTTGCATGGTAAGAAGCGTCGACGAAGAATCCAAGCTTTGTTTAGCAGCCATGAACCAGCAACCCTTGATACTGAGGAATCTAGAGTTCATCTGATCTAAGAATGCGTTGTATAAATCGCGTTCTAAAATTATGAATGTGTCATCAACATATCTTAACCAAATTTCTGTCTTTAGTGAATGAGTAAAGACATTTCCTTTGAATATACTCATAAATAGGTTAGCTGTCATAGAAAAAACACAGGTGAACCCATAACACTCACCTTCAGTTTGTCTGTATAGTTTTCCTTTACTACCCTGATGACATCACTGATATTCAGTGGACATCTTTCAGTAAATGACATGTTCTGAGTCTAATAAATTGGAAATAATATCTAGGCTACCATTAATTGGAATGTTAGTTTGTAAGGGATTGATGTCATAGCTTATTATAATTTCATCTTCCTCAAGTGACTACCAGTCGACACCGGTTCGAATCCGGGTGGCGGTTCAAATTTTCATTTCACCTTTAATCATCATCACTTAGTATAAATACTCTTTGTCATAAAACTTAATTTCATCCCTTAAGATAAGTTAAAATATAGTTTCTGTATACAATTTAAAGATCAGATGGCCAGAAAGAATAAGCAACAAGGAGCTCTGGGAACGAACCAATCAAGAACCTATCACGCAACAAATATGCACTGGAAGGAAGTGTAGATGGATTGGACATGCGCTAAGAAGGCCGACTGGGGACATCACGCGTCAGGCCAGTTACTCGAGTGGAATCCCCATGGGAAGAGACGAGTTGGACGTCCGAGGGTGACATGGAGGAGATCGTGCGAGGAGGGAATGAGAGCTTCTGGGCTGTCGTGGAACCAGGTTCAAAAGACCTCAGGGGACAGAGGTCACTGGAGACGTGCTAGTGAAGCCTTATGTTCCACTAGGAACCCAAGGGACTAATAATAATACAATTTAAAGCTCAGTGTAAAAATATGTGAATTAACTTACCACAGATCTAGAAAATGTCTTAACAAGGGATGTCTTAGAAAACACTCTGGTAATTCTAAGGTGATATAATCATTGGATGATGATAATTCATACTTTCCGTCAAGTAAATCAGTCTTCACTTCTTTGTTCAACTCACAATTGACTTTATGTTTAAGTTCCGTAGGTATTGAATTCAAAGGTAAACGTAATTTAACGTTAGACACTATCTAAAAGAGTAAAATAGAATAAAAACAAAGAATAATAACATACACATATATGAAAGTAACATTTCATCAACTTTGAAAAGGCTTACGACAGTGTCAACCGAGAAGTAATTTGACAGCTGCTTTCTTCAACACTACAGTTCCAGTGTCACAAACCTTTATCAACCTCATTCAACGCTGTATGCTATATGAGGAGGCTACATGCCAAGTGATTCACAATGGAAAGCTCAGTGATGCCTTTGAAGTGAAGGCAGGAGTAAGACAAGACAAGGTTGACGGCTACTATCACCGATGATTTTCCTGATTGTGGTCAACACGACTAGATTGGATCACACAACAAACTGTGAGGAGGGAGAAGATGGCATACACTGGCTGTTTGACCGATGAAAAGAACCTAGAATATTTGGATTTTCCCGATGATGATTTATGCTTAATGTCTCCTCGCACAAACTCGAAGATCTACAGATGAAAACCGACGAGTTGGCAGAAGAGGCAGGGCAGCGAAGAAGGGACTTCCTTCAGGTGGATGCAGGGAAGACAGAGGTGATGAAGATACCCAACCAACGACAACAAGTACCAATCACCATGAACGGGAGAAATCTAAAGGAAGTTGTCTCTTTCATCTACCTAGGCAGCATCGTTTCAACCACAGGTGGCACAGGCACCAATGATAATGTCAAAACCAGCCAGAATCATAAAGACAGCAAGACAGGACTTCCTGCATTAACTTGAAATCAGTATGAACTGCACTACACTCAGCATGAAAAACAAGATCCAGATTTTCAACACTAACTCAGTCAAGTAATTCAATACTTCTATATAGTTCAGAAACTTGACACGTTACCAAAAGCATTCCCAACAAACTACAAACATGCATGAATTTCTGCCGCCTACTCTCACTCGATAATGAAGATCAGATCAGATGGCCAGAATAATAAGAATAACCAACAAGGAACTCTGACCTGGCAACGAACCAAGAACCTATCGCCTAACAAATATGCACAAGGAAGTGCAGGTAGATTGGAATGGATCTAACATATACACCGAGAAGACTGATTGCGGACATCACGAGCCAGTCAGGCCCTCCAGTAGAATCCAAAGGGGAAACGACGAGTTGGGTATCCGACAGTGGCAGGGAGGAGATGGTGTGTGAAGAAGAAACGAAAGGTTGTGGGCAGTTGTGGAGCCAAGTTGAGAATACTGCAGAGAACAGAGTGCAATGAAGACGTGCTACTGAAGCCTTATGTTCCACTAGGAATCCAAGGGAAAAACAATAATAATATTCGTAACAATCACCAATAGGATATACAACTTTAAGTATTTACTTCGATTTTTTTTGGAGCGATATTCCATCGAGTAACAGATAATGATAAAAGACTGTCTGGTCACTGTAAATTAACCGATTTCGAATAGGTGATACAGCATCACAGTGCCCTTCAATTGATGTTGACTGGTTGGAGGCAGTCTTCCTGGTGAGTGTCAACAGGCATGAAACGTAAGTTCAGAGTTCCCTACCACTTATCTTCAATCACTTGACAACAAACTTAATGATCGAGAGTAATATACAGACCTGAGACTTAGGTATATTATAACCTGTAAACAAACAAGAAAGCTACTCACTGTATTTAAATCTTGAGTCTCTGAATCACTTTTAGTTGTTGGTTTAAACAACGATGGATTACCACCATCAGTCGATAGAGAAGAATGATGAGATGAAGGATGAGTTACTTCTACCCATACACGACATAAATTATCTTCACCAGCAGTTAGCAATGCATTCGGTATCCAACCGCTAGAAAACCAAAATGGAATAAGTAAACAAACGAATCAATAAGATAAGTGTATAAATTGCCTAATTTAATCAATATTGAAAAGAGACAAAAACTAGAAAAATCACTTCGAGGCATTTCGTGTAAGCCATAGAATCATTGCCAAAGGAAAACACGGTAAATAAGGTGTATATAACCAACTGTAAAGATTGTCCATAACACTTTTATAGTCAATCTAGCCGCTAAACTGCTCAAAAAGTTGAGGAACATTAACCAATAGTTGAGTGCTATGATGTGACAGTTTACATTATAACACCAACTACTTTCAGCTTATTCACTATTCAACAGACACCTTTCTCCTAATGTAGAAAATCAAGGATATGTTCATAATTCTTGTACTATGCATGATGGTTATGTCAACATGTCGATGTAGGTTGAGACCAGGTCAAACCACCTTTCACTCCCCACTCATTCCTATCTTCATTCAACTTTATCTGAAGACGTTCTTCATAATCTCTAAAGCCTTTCTCAACAATCTCGATGTTATCAATGAATCGACCTTGTAACCTGAAACTATCCTGTGTAGACATATGGACTCATGTGTTTACAAGTGTTCTCCAGTTCCACTCGATTTCTAGACGGGTCCAGTGGAAGTTCTTCCGTCTTCATTTCTCCTAATTTCGATTTCACAGTAGGTTTATCCTATGTATATTACATATTATAAACACAATTTGACTGTGAATCTAGAGGGATCTTGTCCTTTAAATGAACTACGGTGTTCTGCAATGTGTTTGATGCTCTGTATAACACTCTGGTATTGTATTTGTTGGGTACTCTCATAACACAAATATCTTCGTAGCATTGCTCAGGTTCCATGGGATCACAACGTGAGTAATGTAGAGGTTAAGCGAAGGGTACTTGGAAAAACAGGTAAGTTGACTGAGATGGCTTGAACATGTACTGCGCAGACTGAGTTATCGCCTGTCTCAAAGTACTTTGCTACGAGAGTGGCCAGACCAAAACCTGGCACCAACCGATGAAGTCTCTTACTGTTGGTCTGAGTCATGTGCGTAAATGTAGACAGCCTCGTTACGGTCTCTAAGACAAAAGGAATCAATGGCTGAGGAATCTTGGCAACATGGCTGACAGTCGCTCATAATGGTGAAGACGTATTCACTCCATGATATCTTCCAAAGATTGGATTTCTTGACTAACCTTCGTTTACACCTTTGTTTACTTTCATATCAGCCATTTTTTATCCTCTTGTTCTTCGCATACCACAGTTTGGTAACTTGAATACATGCAATTGTGTGCAAGGTTTCGGGTTAAATTTGTCTGTGTATCTGTCTGTCTGTCTGCCTATTAGCCCATAAGGATCCCAGTTACCCTACCTCTGACACCAGGACATCAAGATAAAAAGCAATAAGAAGAAAGACAGATAAATCCAAACTTGTACACAGTCATTAGACGGGAAACAGAAGTGTTTTTATGTTAGTAAGGAAATGTGTGATATAATAGTCATGATGAAAATGGTAACTTAACAGGCCTGGGTCACTAAATAAGGAATGAATTGATTTCAACTGTAGTGAAATAAGGATCAAATGCTGTCAACAAAGTGAAAAATAATAATAATAAAAGAGAACTATGCAAAATAAAGTGTAGTAAAATTGACTATATTATTGTATTTTTGAGATGAATGGGGATTTTTAATTTACAAGTAGTATTCATCATGGATTACTGACATCTGTTGGGGAATCATTGAAGATCTGGGAGCACTGGACAGCTGCTTCGTCCAACTAGTATGGGACTCCTCAGCAGTACGCACCCACGACCCGGCTAGGGGTCGAACTAAGGACCTTCAGGTTTCACGGCGAACGCGTTAACCATCCAGCCGCTGGGTCGGTTTCTAGTGGTTCACAATTTCCAACTTCCGTCAATTCATGACATAGCGCGACTGTCACCCAAGGTCTTCAGTTAGCATCCACTTCACTTCCGACTGGTTGACTCCACAGGTCACGGCCTCTCATTAGAACTTCCTAACATCTATCTGGAAGCAAGTCACTAATGAGCACTATAGAGTAATGTATTTTTGAGATGAATGGGCACCCACGACCTTAGCCAGGTCGTGGGTGCGTACTGCTGAGGAGTCCCATACTAGGACGAAACAGCTGTCCAGAGCTCCCAGATCTTCAACGGTTCCCCAACAGATGTCAGTCCATGATGAATACTACTTCTAGATTATATTATTATTTGTCCTTTGGGTTCCTAATGGAACATAAGGCTTCAGTAGCACGTCTCTACTGCACTCTGTTCTATGCAGTCCTCTCGTTTAACCCGGCACCATGACTGCCTACAACCTTTCGTTTCTTCCTCACACACCATCTTCTCCATGTCACCCTTGGACGCCCAACTCATCGTTTCCCCATTGGATCCCACTTGAGGGTCTGGCTTGGCGCGTGATATCCCCGAATGGTCTTCTCAGTGTATGTCCAATCCATCTGCACTTTCTTGTGCATAATTGTTAGGCGATAGGTTCTTGGTTTGTTGGTTCGTTGCCAGGCCAGAGTTCCTTGTCTAGTCTCTCAACCATCACAAAAAAGCACTGACTTGACTGACTTAGGGTTGAAAATCCAGATTTTGTTCACGCTTTATGCTGAGTGCAGTAGATCTCCACACTGATTTCAGGTTAATCCAGGAAGGTCTGTTTTGCTGCCCTTCCGATCCTGGCTGGCTTTGACATCCTCATCTGTGCCACCTCTAGTTAAAACGATGCTGCCTAGGTAGGTAGATGGGTGAAAGAGACAACTTCCTTTAGATTTCTCCCGTTCATAGTGATTAGTGCTTGTTGTTGTTGGTTGGATATCTTCATCAGAAGTGAAGTTGATACAATAACCACAATGAATTGTTAAAGCCAAGATAGAGAAAGGTAGTGCCTAATCAGACAACGACTTAATGAATGGAAGGTTTTATTGATACCCTTTGACAGACGGTTCTACAACATCTTATCTCTTGCAGCCTCTTTGAATTGTAAAGTTATGATTAAGGTTTTCTTCGGAACTGTAATAAGGCAAGAAGTTATTCGATTTTACCAATAAGTCTTCCAGGGTATGGGATTATTCACAGTGATGTTGTAAGAGCTACAATATCAACAACATATTTATATTTTAAGTAAGGCATAACTTGACCTTCGATAGTGTCTGTAATTCCCCTTATAAATGTTGTTTCATCACTATAACTAGGATGTTTATCCATACTTGGAAGGTAGTTGAATATTCCATTCACATGATAAGTAATTAAACATTAGTGAATAACTTCAAAGCTTTTTAATTATTAGAAAATTTGAGAAAGAATTTTCAAATTTTTACTCTAATTAACTAAACAAAAGTGATAAGAACTCACCTAGGAAGATATCGACTGGTACGCCGCCAACTAAATGAGTAAACATTACACGGATGAGGTAAAAGAATTGATTCCCAATTCTCTGTTATTCGTAAATGTTCATTATAATTCTGCTTCAATTGACTCATTTCAAAATAAGGATCATGAAACCAGATATGTATCACATTACTCCTATTACAATGATTATTTTTATCTTTGTACTGAGTAATACTAGCGAAATACAAACCATCTGTACTGAAATCAATTTGTAATGGAGTACCTAGAGACAAAAGTTAATCAACATTAGAGTTGTATACAAAAACCTTTTTCTTTTTGTAGATAAAAAAATAAATAAATAATCTATTAAGAGCTAAGACGGTGTAAACCGTATCCGTTGTGTTAGAGATATATATCTAATCCATAAGAAAAACCAACTTATACTACGTATATATTATATCGTTAGAAGCGAATTCGTATTCTGGGTAAATTCTATGGGAACGAACCAACCAAGAACCTATCACCCAACAAATATGAAGAAGATGTAAGTGGAGATGAATTGGACATACACTGAGAAGGCCGATTGGGGACATCAAGCGCTAGGCCAGGCCGTCGAGTGGAATCCAAAGGGGAAACGACGAGTTAGGCGTCTAAGTGTGACATGGAGGAGATAGTGTGTGGGCAGTCATGGAACCAGGTTTTGATATCAACATGGTTAAATTAATTCAGGTATATGAATTAGAAGATAAGAGCTGTGAAGGTGATAATAACAAAACGAAATCTCCGGAAGTTTATATACATTCTCAGTAGTCAATCCTTGTAGGTGTGTGTATGTGTGGTGGGATAGAGGGAGATAAAATCATTGTCTCATGGCGATAAGGGCGCAAACAGAGATAATATTCACATTTATCCGAATGATCGGGAAAGAATTTATTGTAATTGTATCTGGGTTCAAATTGAAGGCCATGCGAGGGAAAGAGAATAAACAAACATCTTCTGAATACATAAACTGTCTGGAAATTTTAATTGCTATGGCTTCTGCTATGCTTAGGCAGTCGGAGACGCACAAACTTGGAGTATTATGATTGGACTTTTTAAATAATAGTAAATGCTGAGGTTTTGTCAATCTCATGCTCAGTATCAACTAGATGGGCGAGTACTGAGCTTTTGATGGATTTCACTGTTCCTTTACCTAACCACGCTGGACAATGTTCAGTGAAGCAATCGTGAATTTGCCGAGTCGGTCTGCCTATGTAACTATTTCCACAAGAGCAGTTAAATGCATAAATGCACATAGATGTGGTCGAATTTGGAAGCCTATCCTTCAACTGCATTGGTATCATACAGCGAGTAGTAATTTTCAAACATAGTGTGATGGCAAAGAAGGTTTTTTGTATCAGATTTCTGAGTTTCAGTGTCAGTGTTTCTGCATCTGCATCTCTTTTGAACCTTAAGGTTAGATACAATCGTTTCTTTGGCACCATTTGAAGGCGTTTTTCTCCAGCTGTTTTCATTGTTACAGCTTTTACGAACTTTTCAAGATAGCCGTTCTCATATAAGGAGCTCTCTGTTATTCGTAATTCATCATATAAACTATCAGCCGTGCAAATCTTACTGGCTAGAAATCTCCAATGTACGGATCAAATTCCTTTTGTACGTAAGAGGGATAAATGATCGGAAATGTGTCTACTGACCAATCCATAATTTCTTACGATAAATACTGCGTCTGATACTGCCATCCATTCGTCTTGATAGCAAAACATCTAGAAATGGCAGACATCCGTTTTTCTCTATTTCACATGTGAACTCGATTTCTGGATGAACACTATTGAACGTACCGAGAAGAATGTCAAGATTAGTAACATTTTCGTACAGAATGAAAGTGTCATCCATGTACCTACAATAGAAGGACAATATATCTATCGTGCTACACAGTGGCCCACTTTCCAATTTCGCCACAGCTAGAAGATGACTTAGTGGTGAACCCATTGCCACATCTATCTGGTGGTAAATTTCTTTTTTAAACTGGAATTGTAAACTCATTGTACAACGAAAAAGTAGCTCTCGTAGGGTTGCAAGTGGTATACCTACCTCCATCTTGTTATTTAGCAGTCAACTACAAATCAATTGTCTCTAGAAGAAAAAACATTGGTAAACAGCGAAGTAACAACCATAGAAATCATCGTCTCCTTACTGATGTTCTTCCCTTCAACTTTTGAAATAAATTCGAAGGTGTCATTTAAGCTATCTTTTGTTGCAGTGGCTTCAGCATATCTATTAGCCATCTTGCTACTTCATGATACGATGAATTGAACATATCTAAGATGGCGTGTATGGGTATGTTAGGTTTACCAAACAGATCAAGCATGATATCCTATGGTGGACAAGGGCCATATAGTTCCATTCCTCTCTCCTCCTTTGTGATATGGGTAATAGAATGCTCAATATTTCTGGAACAATTACTCAGTCATTTCTCTTGTGGAGTTGCCTGAAATGAATTTGGAGAGTAAACTGTCCAAAACCTCATCCTGTAAATAACACAGTTTCACTGTGTCATACATTTAGTAAATCAGACTATATGGAATAAGGTTCTAACACAGTACTCGAGTTTTACTCATATTGGGATATGTAACCTAAATATGCGTAGAGTTTTAGGTTAGAGAGGCAGGTCAGTTAGTAAGGTTATGAAGCCTCGTCGACTCATATGGCAGGGACATTCGTTGAGGAATTTTAGGTAGTCCAAACATTTTCGGTATGTTAGTACCTACTGGATTAATTCGTTCGAAAGTGTCTGATGAGATTGTGCCACTACTTGTAAATGTAAATTTAAAGCCTGACGAGAATTCACCCAAAATACGTATTCGCTTCAAACTTTGTCTTCTATCACAATGAGAATATTTAAATTATATATTAGATCATTTTAGAATTCAAACCTTATTTTCGCGCCCTTTTTACGACATGTGATGTGACTTATATTTACCAAAGTTTAAGATACTAAACGCTAATTGTCCACTTTACATTTTTTACATGTTATTTTGTCTTCCCTGAACAAGCCCATCTAAAGATATATATAAACGACTAGGTTTTCACCTATGAGATTATTATTCAGTAAATATACTTTCAATCCCATTGTCTTCTTCTAGTGTCAGCTGAATATCGAGTTGAGATACCATTGTTCTATCGTTAATCTATCGCGCCGGAGCATCGTATCGTTATATATCGTGGATTATAACACTATGTAGTGATTAACCATGTCACCAACTAACCTAGACTGCAATGAACTATACAGTTCAACAGGTAGATATGACTTAAGACAGTCAATAGGAGCGAGTTAAATTAGAAATTGGAAACATAGCTGGAACATATCAATAGGATTGGTTTAATGGTTAAAAGTTGATAAGATTTTAAAACTATCACCTTTATCATTAATAACAAGGGTAATAATAAGATATAACGTAAGACCAGATATATTTGTCAATCAGTTCAGGTAACCTGTAAAACAACGCTGAATTAAAAATGCCTATTAGGGTAGAAAGTTTCTGGAAAAAAGGTTACAGTGAAATGTCATTGAACAAGAAAGCCACATATTTATGGTAAAATAACAAATGAGAATATCAGAGACACAATAAATTACGACTTAACTTCTTTTTCAACAGTTAAATTCTTCCTTATAAAACCAACCCATCCAAGATATCTTATTTAATCCAACAGACATGTGTTCCACATGCCTGGTGACTGTTTACCCCACCATGTAATGTTAGTTGAAGTACGTTCAGGCTAGAAGACTCGGTGCAACCAGATTAAAACATGACTTCAGTACATGAAGCCCTCGGCTGTTAGTTTGAGTTATGTAAAGAGATGCAGACTAACCGGTTGAGGTTCACCTGATAATAGAAACCAGTGGTTGAAGGCTGTAGGGGATGATATGGCTCAGAATCGATGTCAGTGGTGCAGATGTATCCACACATCATCTTAATCGCCATACTGAAAACAGCATTTTCATACTCCTTCATCTTGTCTTTCTAATGCTTTTGACCGACTACGCTTTATTTCTTCCTCTTGATGCGCTGGTGTAAGGCGTTGTGCAGTAATGCCTTATCCTATGCTTTTATTGATGATGATGATGATCTGGCGTGAAAATGATATGTTAGCCAATAGAAATATGCTCTACATATACACCCTCAGCCATTTTCCTCTTACATTCACCAACGACAGAAGAAAAATGAGTATAAAATGATAACATATCGCTTCTAGCAAATAGAGCCAATTTTTCTGTGAATGGATTTTCAATCAGACATGAGACATGAATGATATGTGCAAGTTCATAGTAACTATACGTTCTGTAGTTTTATTAAACTATGTGACGATACTCAAATCGAAACTGAAAGTCACTCAGCAACCTTGTGCACATTCGATGCAGTAGGCAATCAGCCACACCTATTCTATGAGGGTTAGTGATACTACCACCTGGCTTCCCAAACCACAGTGAATATAGCGGTGATCCACCGGTTGAAAGTCATCTACATAAAACAAATAAGCCACAACTCCACATGTACTCCATGTATAAGTTCATTGCTTCAAGAGTCACACTAGAGTATCATAGAAACAGTTGGTGCATAAACTAAGATTTAACTAAACAAGGACATGAACAAGTATAGTAAAAGCTGCTTGAGATTTTTAGGACGATGGAAAGTAAATGAATTTTTGCTAGTGTGATTGGTTCTAAGCCACACTAGCTAGTGTCTTCAACCATCAATTTGAAGCATCTCCTGGAACCCAGCCAAACAATCTACACCTCTTTGAAAGAAAAAGAGATTAATATGAAGCCTTACACAGACGTACTTGAAATTGCCACATTTTGCAACCTTTCACAAGCAGAAAGTAGACAAGAATAGAACGACGTTAAGATAGACAAAAATAATATTACTTCTATCTGGAGGTTTGAAAAGGTTTATGAATTGATGTTTTTAGGTTGTAATTGATCATGAACTGACACCAGTTAGAGTAACAGTGGAAACTTGAGAGCACTGAGACAGCTGTTTCGTCTAACGAGTATGATACTCCTCACCAGCGCGCACCCATGACCGTACCCCACTCAGCCAGGGATCGAACCCAGGACCTTCATGTTCCGTGGCCAGCACGTTACCATTGAGCCAATGGGTCAGAATCCAGTAATCCACATTTCCGACTTCTGTCAGTTCACGACATAGCATCACGTCCACAAATGTCATCCTTGAGTAACTGTCCTCATGTTCGACATCACTGACGCCAGTGATGTTGGATGACAAAATAAATGAATACTAACGAAAATAATCAGAAACCTGAAGATGTCAAAGAATAAACATTAATTTTCAGCTTAATATCGCCACTGATTCTTATCCTCACCGGAACCCCAAAAAGACAACCAATATTCATCTGTACTACTCAGACCAATAGTAAGAAAATTGATGAATTATTGAAATGTCTTAGTCAGGATATTCCTATTTTTCTTCTAATTTAGTTCTACTTCGACTAATATAACGCATCAAGGTAGATAATTTCTTGATATACGCAAAAGAATGACCAAGCCACTCAAGTTGATGAAGGTTCACAACCTTATCGATTGACTTGCCTTCTTTGCTCAATATTCTCGATTGTTTACTCTTTAATTTCACCACACGCACACGATGCTACCAAACACATAACGGCAATGTCTCTGTTATACAGTGGAGCAAATGGAACGACTGAGTAGTAGACTGGTGTTTTCATAGACGGTTATATATATTTCACTAAGCTGAGATTTAATCACTAACCAGCCTAATATGGCTGATGAAACTTCCAAAATAGTTAAAGTGAACAATGCATCCTAATACTTTACCGCTGATTGGTAAAATAGAGGTCATCTAGTAAAATTCAACAAACAATCAACGGACTTCATAAGCTGATACATTTCCTCAATTCGATCACCTTTAATCTTGTTTTAATCAAATCCAACTTCGGTTAGCAAAGCAGACCTGGGTGTCATCGTGCGGTATGAGCAGTTGTTGTCGGTAAACAACTTTATCGACTGAGTTTTACGCCTAAAACTACTAAGTTAATCTAAATACTGTCAGATCAATGGGTTTACCATGTGCGAGAAGTGTTGCGAAGACAGATATGACTGAATGTCTGTAAACTAGTATCTCATTTCATAAAGCAGGATGTTTTCCTTGGCACATGTATGTAACGACTACAAATATGTTTACTTAAACAGACCAGTTCTGGAATATCATTAACCAAAGGAAGCTTTTACATATTTTCTACGACAGCTAAGCCTTGCTACAAAGTAAAAACATCAATTAGTCATTTAAAAATGTAAATCTTTATTAGGTAGAGGTATAGGAAATAGTAAAATGTATCGAGACAAAAAGAAGTCCATCTATAAGGTGTGATTTAAGTTAATATTATAATTATTAGCTCAATTTCACTGCAAGTAAAGTATTATAGTGAATAATTTAACCAGTAAATCACTAAAAATCATACCTTTTAATTGGTGATACCAAACAATCTTCCACTTTGATTTTGAATCTGGTGTAGATCCTTGTAAGACAGGCTCCGGGTCTTTATTATCACCTTCTAAACCAATTAAATCATTTCCAATATGAAAACGAGGAGTGACACTTGATATACTCTTCAATTCATTTGATCTCCACATAAAAATGTTTCCATTTTCAAGACCAGCTAACAAGACACAATTTGGAGACTGGAAAGATGGTCTATGTGACCAACAAAGACAAATCACTTCCACTTTACATGGTAGTGTTAAATGAACAGAAAAAGTCCAAAGTAGTTTTGATGAGCTAGTCAATAAACCTTCTACTGTTTCCTATAAAAAGAAAAGAGTAATATATATATTGTACACACATATTCAGCTTCATCGCATCACAAATAAAAATTAAAGTGAAAAAAGTAGTAATAATAATAATACCCGTCCACTACTTGTAGCCACTTTATCAAAAGTCATATAAAAACCCATTGAACATGTGTCTAGAGGCAGACAGAAGGCCGAAATCAAAGAACCTCATATATCGGTTCAAGTTGATACACTTTACATTAGTATGCAAAGAACAAGTGGTATCAAAGAGTAATATCAAAGTAGACAAAAGTGTATAGGAAGAGAAAGAGCTTGAAAAATGAAGGTTGGGGAAGATGTTCAAATTTTAGGATACGTCAAAGAATGCATATATTTGCATCATAGTGACCGATTGTCAGCCATGTCACCACGAGTCACCAGTTACTGTTTCCTATTATCCTGAGAACCCCAAACCAGGCAGTCTACATCTCCCCACAAGGCTCAAACTTCATGAGCTGGTAATTCGTCTTGGTTCGGTCCTCCTGAACCTTCTTCAGACCCAATTATACTTCGATTAACATAGCAGATAGGTATAGGTGGTAGCTTGGTACATCCAGAGGCCATATAGATTGGACTACTTATATTACATAAAGGTTCATGCTGGATATGACTGGTTGGGGAGGATAATTTGTTACTTCATCAGCTAGTCTAACACATTTCTTTGAAGACATGCTGCGCTTAACGTTTACAAAATAACTCTGCGGTTACTCTGGCAATTACTACCTAAAACTAAGTATTAATATCGAGTCATTGGTGGTGTTTTTGTTGGTATCTTCAAATAAAAGACCAACCAACCGTAACTGGTGGATTGAGAAAACAGTTTTCCGCATCAGAGGTGTGGCAAGTAAACGCACTGAAACCTTTTGCTTATCAGTCAGTCGACATTAACATGAGACAGGACACCACACTGCATTACACTTCAATTCGCCACATGCTAGTAGATCAAGACAGAAGACACCAGGACAAAAGATAGAGAGTGAATAAAAGTGGTATACAGTAGTATAAAATGAACAAGGATGGACGAAACAATAATGGAATTCAGTATGACGAGGGAGATGGAGATAATGTGAGGATACGAATGCGTCCCTGTGATCGATTCTCAGTCATACCACCTAGAGTCTCCAACCAACGGTTGTCACATGAACTAAGTGATAAGTCTACGTTTCCTTACACAACTCAGACCAACAGTCAAAGACTTCATAGACTGATGGTCTCCTTTTAGTCTGGTCCCACCTAACCTTTTAGCAGTCTTAACTTACTTTAGCTAACATACTTAACGTATGTCCCTGCCATATGAGTCGACGAGGCTTCATAACCTTACTAACTGACCTGCCTCTCTAACCTAAAACTCTACGCATATTTAGGTTACATATCCCAATATGAGTAAATCTCGAGTACTGTGTTAGAACCTTATTCCATATAGTCTGATTTACTAAATGTATGACACAGTGAAACTGTGTTATTTACAGGATGAGGTTTTGGACAGTTTACTCTCCAAATTCATTTCAGGCAACTCCACAAGAGAAATGACTGAGTAATTGTTCCAGAAATATTGAGCATTCTATTACCCATATCACAAAGGAGGAGAGAGGAATGGAACTATATGACCCTTGTCCACCATATATATATATATATATATATATATATATATATATATATATATATATATATATATATATATATAAGAATTTGCTATAGAATATCATGCTTGATCTATTCGGTAATTAATGTGAACTAATGTTACGAATTCATGTCCTTTTATATTTTAAAAGTACGTAAAAATTAGTTTTCTCTAGAGCCAAATATTGCCAACAATGTGTTTAAAAATCTAGATTTTCTGTTCACGAAACAAAACTTTGGCAGTAACAAGATAGATTCCGAGTTCCGAAAAGATACTTCTATCATGCAGCAAACGGATAAGAGCGTTATCATCTAATTTACATATTTTAAAAGCTTGTCCTTCATATTAATCTTGATAAGCCATTTGGCTTTTTATGCCTTATTTAAACTTATGTATTGTTTCATAAATCTACGACGGTATTCCATAACTTGAAAGAGAAATAAAGAGTAACGCTGGAATCACACCGTATCAATGAAGGTGCATGTTTTTAGGAACTTCAAAAAGTTGGTGAAAAGTGTAAGCATGTAGGATGCAACGAGATTAAAAACCAATCAAGCCTATGGTTATAGACAAAACTGACAATCAGCGCATGTTGAAATTGTTGTGCAGTATTTCATAGATGATAAGACAACTCAAAATCGAATAAATGTGTAGTACAGAGCACCATTATGTTCACAATATTAGAAAATGTCCACCTAGTAACTTTTCGAAAAAATACTATGATCATAAGCTGTTTAGCAGACTGGAGTATGCACCTTATCATAACAGGATAAGGTTGGTTCGTTTCCTGGTTTCAGTAACACCACACGAAAGTGTGATATCAAAATGACAAACGTTATCCTCATGTAAGACAGTACCAATACCGGAATACGAAAGCATTGTCTTGAAATCCTCAAGTTATGATTTAATCGCCTATGTCAGAGACACAAAAAACCAACATTGGTGACATTAAACCAAAACAACAAGAAGCATTATGAATTATAATTCATACTCCTCTAGAACTTTATAAGGTTCTAGAGGAGTATCATAAATTACTGCTTGAAAAAAACCCACACCAAAATTGTGCCATACACTGAAATTTTTATTTTGAGATAAAAGGGTGTAAAAAGTCACTTGACATACCTGTGGAACGTAAATGTATATTCCATCAGCATTCGCCACAGCAATCTTAAAAAGCTGAAACGAGGATTACGCAACAAACCTTTCCATCTTGATGATTAAAAGCAACAGATGTAACTACAGAATTTCCTAGTTCACGACCTGAAATCACTTGGCTACGGCAAAAAGCCTCATTCAGAATAACCACATCACATCCACTAGCATAAACCTAGTATAAAGTAAGTAAATCTTGGCTACAGAAACTAACAATGTAGTTAGAACCCCGAACTTTTGTTTGTGCGATATGTGAGTAGTCACCATTGCAAGAACCAGTTATTATTTGATGTACTCTCATCGGAAGTTGACCTAGCGAACAAAGTGCGAGCGCTTCCAATATCCAATATTGACAGTGAGAGCATAGAAAACTGGTAGTTTTTGATCACTCGCGTCTAGTTCTTAGGGCTTGGTTCGAGTTGTTCGGTTCACTCCTGCAGTAGACGAGGAAACCATCTCTGCTTTCTTGCTTTTAGCTCCGGTGAGGTGGATGTTTTGTGGGTTAGTAAGTTGTAATTTGTAGAGCTATTGGGGAGCTACGGGTTGCTGGAAAGTTTAGGGAACTGCTGTGACTCCTGTCTGTATAGGTACCTGAAAGAGAACAGTAGGGTAGTGGCAAAAGAATGAAGAGAGAAAAAAGAGAAGAAAGGAGGAAAAATAATAATGAGGGAAAAGAAGGGAGTGAAAAAGAGAAATAAGAACTCAAGAAAAGTATTTGGGAATTGCGCGAATGGTCGCGTGGGTTTGGTTCCTACAGAAGAATTAGTAGGTAATGTGGGTGTATTAAGAAGAGAGATAGTGAGTGGTAGTTAGGAGGGAGTTGGGGGCTACTGAGGTTGGTGACTACCTGAGTACGTCCGTGGTAGTCCATGCGAGGTGACATAACTGTCTAATCGCCTCTTGAAAGAGTCGACTGAAGGAGCTATAACGATGTGTCGCGGTAAGGCATTCCATAAAGCACATACTCTTAGGGAGAAAAATTTGGACCTGAGTGTGGTGTTGGCTCTCTGGTGTGCTATCTTAATGGGGTTTCCTCGTGAAGATCGTTCAGTTGCAGGCAAAATTGATTTGTTTGCATGGTCTGCCTGATGGGCGATCTTGTATGCCATAATGAGGTCACCCCTTTTCCTGCGATAACCCAAGGTAAATAGGTTGAGGTGTTTAAGTCTTTCAGGATACGTCTTTCCCCTTAGCCCCACAACTGATTTTGTTGCAGTTCTTTGTATTCTTTCAAGGAGATTAGAGTCTCTCTTGAGTGTTGGAGGAGCCACCGTATTGAAGACCTCTAGGTGCGGCCGCACGTAGGATTTGAAAATGGTGAGGAAGAGTTCGGGAGTGAGGGCGCCAAGCTGTCTACGCAGAAAGTGTAGAATGGCGTTCGCTCTGGTTGTCATACCTTTGTAGTTGGAGCTGGTGTCCAAGGTGTCGGAGAAGTTGAGCCCCAAATCTTTCTCCATGGACACTCTGGTGATAGCACGGTTGCTCAACATGTACTGGAAGTCGGTCGTACTTGCCTCATTTTTACTGATGTGCATTACTTTGCACTTTTCCAGTTGAAGCTCAGGCCATTTTCCGACGACCAGAGCTCGAGTTGCTGCAAGTCCTTTTGTAGTGCTGCACAATCGGCTTCTTCGTTTACCACCCTCCAAATTTTTATGTCGTCAGCGAAGAGGAGGATGGGTGAGGATATTTTGTCTGGCAGATCGTTGACAAACAGGAGGAACAGAAGCGGTCCTAGGATTGCTCCTTGGGATACTCCTGACGTCGACGGTCTCCACTCCGACCTTATTCTGTTCACTTTAGTGCAGAACTGCCTCCCTTCCAGGTACTCCTTGAACCAAGAGAGTAGGGGTCCACTTATACCAGCTGACATGATCTTGTGAAGCAGTACTGTGGGTGGGACACTGTCAAATGCTTTGGCTAGGTCGAGAAATACAACATGTACAGGTTTTCTATTATCCCAGCTTTGTGTCCAGTCGTCCCAGGCGGTTAGTAAGTTGGTGGCACATGAGCGACCACTACGAAAGCCGTGCTGAGCAGTGTGGACAGTGTTTTCCCTATTGAGGAATTCCCAGATGGTGTCAGCTACCAGGCTTTCCAACACTTTCGACACAATAGGGAGTAGGGCAATCGGCCTGTAGCTGCCAGGGCTTTTTCTGTCTCCTCCCTTGAAGATGGGTGACAAGATGGCACTCTTCCATTCTTTAGGGAGTTTGCACGAGTCTATTGAGTGCTCAAAGAGGTTGCGAAGTGGTTTGGTAAGCACCTCGGCGCAGTTTTTCAGAACCACTGGTTTCAGGTTATCGCAGCCAGGGGACTTGCCCGGACGTAGCCTAGATAGCTTCTCGAACACCTTTTTCTCTGTAATAGAGACGTGACAGAGGTATTCGTTGGTCGGTGTCGTGGCGAGTCGGTGTGGATCTTGTGTCAGTGCTGAGTTGGGCTTGGAAGTGTGAGCTCAAAAGCTCGGCAATCTCTAGACTGCTTAGCACACTCCCGTCATGGCCTGTGACAAGATTCACTCCCTTACTGGTCGACTTTCTTCTTGACATGAAGCGGTACAGGTTTTTGGGGTTGCTTTGTAACCTCGCTGCCAAGTTTGTTTGGTAGGAAAATCTGTCGTTACGCACTCTAATGTTACAGAGATTGCGAATCCTTTTGAGTTCAAGAAGTCAGACTCCCTGCGTGATGTACGCCACTTGAACCAAGCCTGCTTCTTGCTCCGGATAAGCCTCTCTGTCCCACGCTTTAACCATGAGGTTCTCATTGATTGTCTGTGTGTTACTTCTGGTACACTGTGACTGATGGCCCCAGTGATTATTTTCTTCACCTCCAACCAGTGTTCATCTATTGTGAGATGAGTCCAGTCCACTGGCCATGATGCATTCATGAGGTAGTCCCTCATGGTCTCATAGTTGGCCTTGCTGTAGCAAGGGAAGGTTTGGGCGTCTCCAGTTGCAGAGCCTCCCTAGTTATCATGGAGAAGGTGATTACAGCGTGGTCACTGAGGCCAAGGGGAGGTTGGATGCAAACATCCTCAATGAGAAGTTCATCGTTCGTCAGAACGTAGTCAAGGCGCGATGCGTTTCCGTTAGGTCCCCAGCGTGTAGCATCACCCACTTTCTCTGAGAGGCCAGCAGTCTTAATTGCATCCTTCAGCTTCTGATTGAAGGATCTGATGCGTCTCCCTTCCGTCTCGAAGAGGATGGACGGGGTGTTGAAGTCGCCGGCAATGACTACGGAATCGTAATTTGCAGAGGAAGTCGTTAAGATAGCCTTGATGATCATTTCCTTATGTGTAGGGGAGCTGGTGGGGGACCGATATATGACTCCGAGCAGGTATTTGGTACTGTGGAGAGTGAAGTAGCACCATAGAGACTCTGGGAGCTGGGTTAAGGCCGTATCGCTAACCATCCTTGCCTTTAAACAAGAGTTTACGTAGATAGCCACTCCCCTCCTGCTCTATGTTCCCTGTCCCTGCGGAAGAGTTCCATGCCAGTAACATGCATCTCTTCGTCGGAGATGTCTGGCGAGAGCCAGGATTCGGTGATGAATATGATGTCGGAGTGCTGATGTGCACGCAGCGTCCTCATTTCTGCTACCTTCCCTCTTAGCCCCCTAACGTTGCTGTACATACATATTAGAGTGTGCCTGTGAGGGGAAGCCGGTTGTGTGTTTTCGCAGGATGAGCGCTTACGTGGTTGGGTCTAGCCTCGCCAGTCCTCATAGGACTGGCATTGTTCCGTTTTTTGTGTTTTGTTTTAACTTGGGTGGGGGCTGTGGCAGTGGTGGCTTCTTTACTTGATGTATCTAACTCACTGGTCAGCGCCTGTGTGACGACCACTGACTCCAGAGGTCTTGGTGGTTGCCGTCTCTCCTCTTGCCTTATGGGTCTAGGCTTACTTTCACATATACGTATTGAGCCACCCATGCGATCTTTCGCATTATACCATGCGTGTAGAACGTCTGTGAGGGAGGCGTATGAGTCAAACTGGACGGCGAGTAGTCTGGGATTGGGTATGGTCTTTAGGTGCGCTGGCCTTGGCAGTCTACTGACGCTGTTGGCCGGTATACTGTCGAGACCAACTTTGGTTGAGAGCCAATGCCATTGTTGGACGTCGTGAAAGTACCGATCTTTGACTGAGCGGTCACTTGGCAATTCTGGAATCCCATGTACAACTATAGTGTTGTTTCCGTTGGGATTTCCAAACGCTTACTTTCTCTCCTCTTCTCTTCTTGACCATGGCTTGTCAGACCTGGCCCGAATTTTACAAGCAATAACGACGTCCAGTTGTCGCGAGGGAAGCAGGGTGTCTTCAGCCTCTTTGGCAGTATTTAGGAACACAAGTAAAGGGGGTGGCTTATCTCTGGGTGCACGGCTTCCTCGAGAAAGGCGACATAAAGTTGCAGGGAGGGGAGGGAGTCCCAGCATCTGACAGTAGTCGGTCCACATTCAGCTGTCAAACCGTTCCCTGTGGACCAACAATGAGTCTATCGATACATCGACGTTGAACAAAATGATCGAGTTGGTCCTCCTGTGACCTGGGTTCGCTGTGGGTGGTCTCTCCAGGTCTCTCCGCGTTATCCCTTGGTGTTAACCCCACCTTATTCGAGGATACTAGTAGCTTTTGCGCGGCGGAGAGCATCTTTTTCAGGCTTTCTGTGCGGAGTGTGGGCACTTTCCTGCACTCTGGACAGATGTACCACAACAACTTGCATAGCTGTCTCTTCATCAGCTTACAGTATTGTCGGTGGGCCTTGGTGTCGCAGTGGCGATGCGCCCATCGGTGACATAGATTGCATGCAAATGCCTCATCGACTACCGAAACAACTTTAGCGCAAACACTGCAGCCATAAATAAAGTGCTACGGATTGTGGCGAACCGCTTGTGGCTGCCTTGTTCTGAAGCCTTTTACGTCGCCTATTTTCAGGCATGGCATGATCATTGCTCAAGATAGGACTAGTTTGTGACGGGTTGGTGCTACTTTGTGTCACCTGTCTGATCGAGAATAGAATTCTAGAAACATGGGTTGGCCACTTCTTAAGAAGTTCGGTGTTCTGCCCTACCTCTGTTTGTCTACCAGTACACACTAGTGTGTTGTTTAGGGTGTTATTGTCCTTTTTTGTGCTCGACCGCGTTATCCGTGTCAAAGCTCCGGATCTAGCGTTTTGGGCAGATGTGTCGCTATAATATAAACTTCTTGGGAAAACAAATAGTTGACAACAACAGGAGGATTGAAGGCTGAATGCAGCAAAGGGACGGAATAGATAGGGGAAGACAATTTGTGTTGGCTCACCTTC